GCTCCAGTCAGATCCATACTATTGGTTTGGGGGAAACGAAAATAATAAGGTTATATAGGTACAAAATCGTAGTCACCCCTTTGCCTTGGCTTACATGAGATAAACCCTATATTCCCTTCCTTTATGACGAGCCTTAAGATAGAGACCGTATGTTCGTTTAAAATAATTTATCAGATATCCAACCCCGAATGCTTAAATCCCAGCTCGACATCCAAGTACTCTTAATTGCCACAAGCGCAAATCCAGTAATAGTCGAAGAGGCATCTGCCGTCAGGGCAAGCCGGATCACATATTTCTTTCCGAGGATAACGCGCCCCGCACTCCCTTTAATGATGCCAAATAGTCAGCAGACATGATCGTTCTTAGTGTTTGCGGAAGGATGTAGAAAACCCCTATTTTCTAGGTATTTCGGTGTGGTGATAGGGAAATGAGTAATAAACCTCGGCTAGAAAAAGCAGCGACAAGGGCTAGGAGATATCCTTCTAAAGTAGATAAAAAGTATAAAAATTTGATCTAATAATTCAAACGTACTCTGAAGTTTGCCTAGTCTGGAGGTTACCTGAGAAAGTGGGATTGGCGGCAGCAAGGCCGATGATAGTCGCGATAACTGTGATGGTGAAACGCATGATGAGCTCAAATTGTTCAGTAATAGAAGCTTCAGTTTGGTTCTTTGATTATATTCGGTTTAGAGATCGGAATAATATTAGTTTAAACTTGAACGCAGATGTTGTGAAGTGCGAGTGTCTAAGGAGTATTACGAAGGTCCTAGGCTAGGGTTTTATACTAAACACGCCAATAAAGAGCACATTTTCTCTATAACTCCTGTTAGAAACATGTGATGCCAGATTAACCAAAACCACAAGCCGAATGCTAAGGAATGCTAAGGTAGAACCGAGGGCCGAATAATAGCAACAGCTATCGTTCCAATATGTTTATCTTTCCTCAACCAGCGCAACTATGGTACAGCCGAAGCGGGCAGGTAATGAAGATATCCGTCTCTTACCCCGGAGATGCCATCGAGATAAGAGGTTGTGTATGGTTAATTTTCCGACGAAAGCTTAAATTTATATTTGCTGTGCCGCTTCTGTACGTCGGATGGACCGTATCTGCGGTAGGATTCTCAATATCCGGAAGTCCAGGCCGGAATAATATTTAATGAATGCATTATTTTCTTGTGGTTCGACATGTGACTATTTCATAGGAAAGGCAGTTATCTATAAACCACTTGCTTATGATCCAAATCTCAAAAAGTAATACAATAGCATTGGTAACGACATAAGTAATTGTTGGTATATAGAGTGTCCTGTCATATAATACAGTGCTCCTTTAACCACCTAGTATCGCGTATATAATCGTAAATACCCATAGGAACCCAGACATTGCTCATTCTGCTCTAAATATATAAATGTACTCCTTATCAATTCAGTCAAAGTGGATCCACAACAAAGGAAAGTTATAGGTACCTCTATCTGGGTATATAGTATTTGCTGTAATTCAGTAAAATCATGTACAGCCTAAATGACAAGGCCAAGAACCCTCGGTTTCTTCCATGCTGTTACCCCTATCATCGTTGTTGTATAGGTACCTAGGTAGGTTTCTGTATGAGCGATAGGGAAAGAGTTCTCCCTCTATTGCGTCGAGTAGGTAAGTATCCGGATTAAGCGATGGATCGTTATGTTAAGTAAGGCTCGAATCTGGAAAACTGGCTATCGGAATTCGTAGAAACCATTCAAGTGCTCATAATCGAAAGGAACCATGTCTACGGTTTCTAAGCTGCGTTGGATATGTTGGATATATCCATTACCGGGTATTCATTTGAAGGCTCTGGGCAGGATGCTACCCATTGTGAGATTTCTTCTTCAAGCACGGGGATATCTAGCTTCGTCCCTTGAGTCGTGAGATCTTGGAGAAGCTGGTTGAATAGATGGTTTGCCATATCCCGAGTAGGGTGCGAATAGGGGCAATCTGGTGGAGCAATCTCTTCTCCAAAAAGCTTCTTCCAAGTCCAATACCACTTATTATTGAACGTGGCGTTAGAGTTGGGGCCTCTGGCCTTAGGAATAGGAGGAAGTTGGTCAACAGCACAACCACCTGTTGGTTCGCATGCGGGATGTGCATCGAGTGACTTTTGATCAGCGAAGGAATTCCAGCAGCTTTTGCAGTGGTAGACACCTAATTTATGCTCGTTGTCTAAATGCTGCCTTAGAGCGCTGATGTTTTTGAACTTCTTTTTAATGCAGCTTGCATGTCGCGTTGGATCACGCTTATAGAAAAGACAGGCAAGGGGCCTATTTTCATCGTTGCTGGCTATTGACGAACACGAATCGCATGCTCTAAAAGCCTTGTGGACAGGTCTATCCTCCCGATCTTCCTGGTAGAACTTTCTCTTATTAATGCTCGGCTGACAATTGTCACTGTTGCGACGCAAAGGACTTTGGGGACGACGCAATTCTTCCTTTTGGTCTAGTAATGACTCCATGCCTGAAATTTGACGGGTAGGGTTAGAAAACTGATCTATAGGTAAATTGAAGGGTTGCTCGTATTGAAAGGATGACATGTGTAACTCGGAATATTCAATACTATGGCCTGTGCATGGAGCCGGAAAGGGGAAGGCATTATGAAAATGCGCAGGATTAATTGTATTGGTGTCAGGGGGAAAGATAAGTGCAGGTGTTTGAGGCTCAACGAAATTCGTAGGGTTAGAAGCTGGATCTAAAACTAGATCTAAATTGGACAGATAAACTTCGTTGTCCGAAGGTTCTACATTTCCTAATTCGTCTTGTGACCATAGCCAACTGAATGCACTCGCGTGGCCTTCAGGATCGGGAAATGATACTGGGCCGAAGAGGAGATTCGTGTCTTTGTCGATACCCTGGACTAAGTCAACTGTTAATTCGGAAATATCCTCTTCTTCCTCTTGATTGCTGCGGGGTGTGCACTCTCCCAACCCACTGACATCTTGGTAGGTATCTTGTTGAAACCCACCAATCAGGTTGGTCTTATCTTGGGTTGAATGAACTACAGACGCTAATTCAGGGTTGCTCGCTAGGGTATCCTCGGTATGCGACAGCTGTATCAAAGGGGGTTGAGCCGCAATTGTCCCTTCAGCTGACTGCGGTGCGGCTCTGTTTGGAATGATTGAGGCTCCATGAGCTCCATGGGCTTTATGGGGCTTACATCCATGCAGAGCCTCATCATTTGTGCCCCTCTTGATTTTGGGGGGTTTTCGGTATAAAGGCACCTTTTCTCCCTCGCAGTTGCTGCATCTTTTTTGCCCGCAACCTACACATTCTGGATTAATCTCTAGGGACATCCCCCCATATGAGCAATTGCACTAATAAATATTAGTTAATGAGTTAACAAGTTAACACATAGTAGTTATTCACTCGGTAAATGACTTACGCAGTACCACACAATTTCTTTGGGGCTTACTTTCTCTATGAGGTTCATAGCATTCGTCTCATGTCGCTAGGTAATACGTAGTAGGTATATAATCCAAATTGTGGTTTGTTTATTGAAGAGCATATTCACGTAGATCTACACATCCGACGGGGTTTAAAAGGTCTATCAATGTTCATAATGTCAATTGAAATGGGCAGCAATATCACACTTGAATTAGAATATGTGATTGGCTTGTTTCTCGGTTCTTAGCTACGAGTGCCCAATGCCCTCTATCGAAACGGAGCTGTCAACATGGATGAAGGCATATTTAATCATAACCAAGGTCAAAGGCTACTTCCTACAATCATAGCAATGATTAAAAGTACCCAGGTTAAAGTATACTTTGATCAAATTTATCATCACTTGGGATCTTGCATTGCATCATGCATTGTGGGGGTACCATACAGTTGCGTGTGACTATGCATCATTGGTTAGATATTCTGACTTGCATCTTCAAGCTTGTCATGATCAAGACTCTGATTGTTTACCCTGGTTTCGGCGATAGAATCTTGAATAAGAAACCCATCAATACGTACCTCATAGTTAGTGAACTTCCTATTAATAATAACCAACACTCTTTAAGCAAGAGGTATTAAGTTTGTAGAAATCTGGACCCCTAATGCTAGGTACCTAGGTATCAAAGCACAACTGACTTCAGCCGTGTTTAAGCTACAATACCCGAGTCCGAGATCACTGCGTAGTGTGTCTTACATATATGTATTATAGAATCTAGACCCATTACACGATGGTAAAAACGCTAATCAAAGTTTTGATCATATAGTTATTAATATGTCAAAAATAATGTGACATTGATGATGAGAGGTGCATCTATCATATTGGTATGCAATGCAAGATGGTAGCTACGTTAGCCGTGGCCTTAGCTGGGAGAGGACGAAATTTACCATCTACAATTTACGAGATGCGAGATGCAAGATGCCGGAAGCGCGTAGGTTCACACCACATAGTCAATGGTTCGAAACGACTTGGATCCGCTATGCGTAAGGAAGTTAAGGACTCAGATGGGCATTCCCGAATAGGTAGCGAGGAGAGTTAAATTACGGAAGACGCCGTAAATATCATATCCAATAACGGCACTCACCTTAACACATTCTCAATCCTATAGCTCTAAGACGAACCAGAGCAAGGAAACAATATTGTCCTATTTTAATACTATAAGTATGTATAAGCTAATCTCGTATATCAGGCGTCACGAAGATATCTTCCTTAGAAACGAAAGTTGACTGTTATCTTGCATAGTCGCTCCTTTGGATTGGTCCAATACCCGGACTTTGACTGCCATGACTTTCATTCAATGCATTTATTCGATCAAAAGTATTAAGCTAGTAAGAGCTCCCTAATGCCAGGTTCTGTAGTACACATATTACAACCGCCAATTATTCCGAGACTTGCAACTGCAGCCATGCAACGATGAAGAAAGCCGAATATCTCCTAAGCTAGGGTGGCCAGGCATTTACCTATACGGAATTATCATTATACCACCTCTCTCCTGAATCCACAACGTCGAAATATGACGGCCCGAACGTACACTATCCCCTAAGTTATTCCTCAAAAACTGAAGCACCGTTCTCTATCTCGATAGGAGAAGGCACGGGATCCTTGAAATGAATACCGCGGTGAGAAAGCCAATCATTCCATATCTTCTTCAAAACTTCCATGTTATCTGGGATATAAGTCTTAATCCATTCGAGCTGGTTCTCGCTAAACCAGACATTCTCCAGGCGTTCGTGATCTTTATCGTGGTTCTCGACCCACACCTCAAGGTTGTCGTTCAAATATAGTCTGGCTTTGATCTTTAACTCGGAGATGAACCTCACCACGTTTTCTTCGTCAAATACAATTTGGGTAGTATCTGTGAAATTCTCTGCGATCGCTTTCCAAATTGGATCGGTAATTGATCCGCTGATGGCAGTGTCGAAAGATGCATCTGGATATGCTAACTGCAGGGACTGGCGCACTTCAGAACAGACTATACGTAGGAATATAGTATGCAGGTAAGCCTTCTTTTTCTCGGGGAGATAAGCTGGTATCATCGTTGCGGGATCTCGCTCCCAAGCTCCCGGGAAGCTTCTTCTAATAACCCGTTTCAGTCGATGCGCTGCAAAGTGATCCCAATGGGACAATGTCTCAGCCCAGCCGAATCGGGCTGCCGCGTAATCCACTGCAAACTTCTCTCCAGTACGCAGAGTGACGCAAAAGACAGTATGAGGTCGCAACATGCTGGACTCGATAGTATTGTGTATGGTATGACGGACAATAGGACGATGAGCATTCTTGACTAAGATGGTGTATTGCTCAACGCTCTCGACGAGACCTATCCATAGTTAGCGTCCGTTAGTGTGTAAGAGGAAAGAAAGCTTACCGTTCCAAAGCCATTCTTGAGTTGAACTCAACATCATGAAGGGCAAGTCCGGATGATATTGATCTTGTAGGGCTGCCTTTTGGTGATTCTCTTCTACAACCTCGCTGTTGAATCCCCACATGATCTTATCCCCTAACATGGCCTTGAAGTGGCACGACTTCTCCTTCAAGAATATCATGCCGTCGCGCTCATAAGAACCTTCTAGGTAAAGAGTAGTCTGCTCCTTCTCCATAGTCAAGAGAATAATTTGCATAAGGCGCACACTTCGCGCAAAACGCTTACGCCAGAGACAGACAAGCATGTGGTCGTCCTGGTCGAGCACTTCGCATCTTCTACGACAGTAGCCAGTCCCAATAGTCTCACGAGAACCGGTGATCACCATGCAGGTTATGCAACAGAATTGGTGTCCTTCGCTGTTGCAATAAGCACACTTTGTCTGAGCGGTGAGCTTCTTAGGAATTTGATTGTATTCAACGTCACTGTCTTCATCCGGATCCGGATCCGATAGATCCCCGTCGTAAGCATCATGATCTTTCCTTCCCTGCAATATCCACTTGCAATGTGCAAGATATCGTGACTTGGCTGATTCGGGATCGTATTTTGACATGTCTATAATCATAGGTGCAATACCGTCGATAAACGCGACACGAACACCGTGGGGGTTCTTGCCTTTCAATACATTGCTGGCAACGGACTTGAGTTTTTGGCATTCGTTGTCATGCTCAGCCGGGCCAGTTTCTTCTTCCAAGAAAAGCCGGAGAGATTTCTTGTACTCGTGATCTTGTTCCTGATCGGCGTATCTATCGTTGGATGTTGGATTTGGCAAGTTTTCGAATAGCCGCTCGATGGAAAGCTGGCACGGGGCTTCCTTGGCATCTTCCATATCGCTGCCTTCAGGCTCGCCTGGATCTGTCAGATAAAGGCGAGCTCGAGACATAGTGGTGGATCCGGATGCCATTGTTGTATTGTCATCGACTGGATGTCGTTTGCCTGTTGAAACTTCCCTGTGATATTGATCAATGAAGGGGGGTTGTGAAGCTTGGAGGTGGTTAAAATCAACTGAAGAAAGAAACCATAGACCCGCATATCCTGTACGCAAAATATTAAGGGAAGGAAAGGAATTTGTGTCTTGAGGTATCTATGGCTTGTATGAGGTAAGAAGGAAGGACCAGAGCTGAAATACAGTGCAGCAAGTATTCTGTTGGCCTAGGTTCTAAGGGTGGGAGGCCTGTTGCCGCGGGAGATCGTGAGGAGTTGTACCAAAAGTCACTAATTCCTTAATATTACATTCACAGGACCACTGTCGACAGTGTCAAGCAGTGAAAGGCAAGAGCATGCATGTTAAGAGGACTGCTAGACAACGAAGATAATGCAACAGCCCTGCGTAGTTATGAAATCAAAGGGTTACGGTCTACTATATCGAATTATCATTCTATTAAGACGACACATAATTATAGGAAGAAAGGGTCGAGAAAGAATATGAAGCTGAACCTCAGCCAAGTGATATTTACCAATGCCTTCAAGTTAGCAACGTTGTGAATGTATCTGAGGCTCTCCATATAGCTTTCCATATACTACATTCTCTGACGACTCACATAGGTTTAAATAAGCTATCAGTTGAAGCTTGGGTGGCGAAGACTGACATGTTAATTGGTGCGGCTATACGGCTAAAGTCATGTAAGTATTCGTATGGTGGCCATATGCGTACATTATAGCATACTTCTTGCTATTTTCGTAACATTTGTACGATGGGTATATTTTAGAGTCACTTACCTAGGTAAGGACCTAACCTGATGTATTGAAAGATATTTATGATTTTGTAGGTAGTGTTGCCTTTGCATGAGTTGCTTCAAGATGAATTTGCTGATTGTATTGTTTAGGTACTATTGGACTGAACTTGACCATCCTTCGATTTTATAACAAGGATTTACTATACTACCTTAGTTCAATATCAGCGTTACGCGCGCTGTGGATCATTTCAGACCTCGTATTCTCATTTTCGTTACATCGCAACATCTGGCTGGCCTTGGCTGTTGAGATGTCTATATAATGGACGATAGACAACCCTTCTCTATCTCGTAGTTATTAAGAACTCCCATGTTAAGAGGATCAGGTCTCCCTACTTTGTGCATATAAAATAAGAAGATCGTTCAGAAGGCTGATACTTTAATCACCATCACCATGAAGACCACCGGTGTTGCAGCCGTTGTACTCGCTTCAGTTGTGCATGCTCATTGTACATTTCTAACTTCTTCATTGTGAGGTCTTCACTAATTCTAAGTAGACACATTCCCTGGCCTTGTCTACAATGGTATCACTGAAGAGGACTGGAAGTAAGCCTACCCGTCCTCAACTAACTCAGAGTTAAGGGATCATTGACTCTTCTATAGTTATGTCCGCAAGACTACCAACTTCGGCGTTCACGACCATGGCCCGCTTTTCAATATCTCAGCGACCGACCTCAGATGTTTTGAGCTTGAACCAGGCAAGGGCAGCCCCGAGACTATGCCCGTAAAGGCTGGCGACACGGTAGGCTTCCGAGTAGATGGCAATGTTACGCATCCCGGGCCTCTTCAGTTCTACATGGCAAAGGTTCCAGAAGGAGAGACTGCCAAAACCTTCGCAGGTGACGGGGACGTCTGGTTCAAAATTTTTAACGACGACCCGATATTCACCGGGAGTTGGCCAGATTGGCCTAACTGGGGCAAGAATGAGGTCTCGGTTACTATCCCCCCTTGCCTGGCCGAAGGTGATTATCTTCTCCGAGTAGAGCATATTGCGTTACACAATTCGCAAAAAGTAGGCGGCGCACAGTTCTACCTAGGATGTGCTCAGCTTCATGTCTCTGGTGGTGGCACCAAAACTTTCTCGGGCGTGTCATTTCCCGGTGCTTATTCTGTAAGCTTCACTCCCAATAGAAACATGGAATTCTGTTGAAAACGCTGTGTGCTAACTTTTATTGTGTAGGCCACTGAACCAGGAATTCTATTCGATATCAATTCTGGTCCTACTTCGTATGCTGTTCCGGGCCCTACCCCTATTTCTTGCTAAATGCAACTCGCCTGGCTGTCATGGATAGCGCATATAAAGATGATAATAAAATCTACACGAGATTTGACTAGTTTCAAACGTTCAGCAAGGTGGAATAAGATGTAGTAACCCTTAATTCAACATCGATATCTGTTGATACTAGCCTACCATCTCATGGTCTGAGTATTCAATATTTAGAGGTTCTAAACTTCTTGGGCCTATGTCTTATTCATAGCAATAATTGTACTTGCCCATATATGAGAACTGGCTATTACTTAGGGTTATAGCTCTTCATAATAAAAAGAGAAGTTCTTCTGTACAATGATACGCCGAATGGGTTAAAAGACACAATTAGCTATGGCGATTTGTGGTGTGAAGAATGTGAGAAATATCCACAGTAGATTAAACTATCATTCCTATTGATTGTATCAATCTCCTCGTTCCTAAAGTAGGGAAGTATAACTAGAGTGAAATGGTGGTCATTATCAACTACCTAAAGTAAAGGTATGTAGACCCTTTTCACAGTATAATGCTTATCCTCGCTTGAAGATAGAAAATACGATCTTAAAGACATTGGTAGTTCTTGTATTACACTAAACCGTTAATTATGAATAAATACTTTTTAATTAGCAAAAATTCGATTAGGCACTTGCTTTTGAGAAAAGATGGAATCATGCGGAGCGCTAAGTAATAATCGGAGGTATGTATCTATTCCGCACATAAGTTTGATATTTATAGAACATCGGATGGATAGGCAAGATCAGCCCTGGAATGTTTTAGTAGACTATGGATATGTGTATATCTAGGCCTTAGTGATATCGCTAACTACTTACCTATTTACTCTCCATGGGCAGGATTCTCCCCTCATATATGACTCATGTTAAAGTCATTGGCTAAGCTTTAATGAAGCTTATTATGTCGAAGATATTTCTAGAGTCTTTCCTAAGTCAGGTAACGCACCTACATATGAAATCACTAGAATATATCCTGCTGAGCTACGTCATGGATAACATCGTTATTCTGTCTGGCCTTAGTAAGTGTAAGGAGGCGCGAGATAGAGCTCTCAGACCTATAGTATTGGTATTGAGATTCTAGATGCGATATCTAAGTCACATTTGAAATAAACGATGCGCTGTATATATAATCACTAACCTCCGTAATTTAGTCTTAGAGCTTCTTGCGGAACGACTTCGTTGTTTCCATGGCTTCTGGGTCCTACTCATGATAATTAATATCTTGAGGGATCCGCCAGAAGAATATGAATCTGTTAAGATATTGGGTCCTTTAAAGGGTGCCGTCCGGAACTCATGTCGGACTCGGACTTCTTCATAGAAAGCCGGCCAAGAAGTGATTTGGGTAAAATTAAATATCGATTCGGCAACATGAACCGACGAACGAACCATACAGGATGTACCCTAAGTATTGTGCAATCCGACACCAAAGGCACAGACAGCGTCAAGGTCTTCAAATACGTAACCAAGATGATGGTCTGTTAGGTTATCTTCTCGTATTCTTAAAATAAGGGTCTTGACACCTGAAGCTTTGATACTTTAAGGGGGTGGCTGAAAATACCGAATTCTCCTGTTTGAAGCGTCGTCATCCTTTTTCAAATTGAATTCCGACTCGCCTTGTCGTCTGCTACCAGGCTGTCCCTCGCGTCGCGGAGTGTTCTCTTCGTTACATAACCTTTTGAGCCTATTTCTGGCCTTACATATTGGGGGATAGCTTATTATCGCTCATAGATATTTAAGGATAGGGCTGGATGCATCACGCCGCACGGTCACCGTCGGGTTTGCTCGAGCAACTAGACGCATCTCGGCCGATAAGAAGACAACTCATGTTGCTATGTATGTAATCTTCATAACAATTATGGGGCTGACCAAAATCAACGAAGTGTACAAGTTGCGTGTTTACATACCTTACGGGTATTTCCATATTCTAATATAGTAGTTCTGGTTCATACCCCATACATGTCCACGTGTTGCAGATGCAGTTAGATCCCATGATAGATGATGAGACCTATCAAAGAGTAGAAAGCTTCTAGAGTCGACGTTGTTGTGATTATCGATTCTGATCGGCATGCAATGCCGCGCGCCAACAGGATGCCAATGTTTGAGGCGGCTGGCTCTAGACCAGGGCCGTAGGGGTCAGTGCTGTGTGTTAACGATAGGTATATTCTGTATGCCGCTCCACAGCAATAGCCTATTTCATGATGGAATTCGTTTTTATATTTCGATTATAAATCATTTCAGCGTGTTGTCTTCTAGTCCCTTGCCCTTTTTTTTTCCCTCTTTCAGGGAGCGGGGAAGGTTTAAAAAGCCAGATTGTATTGGCAAAAGCCGGTAGTGAGCTCAGTATAAAAGATACCTGGGTACTTAACATACCTAACTTACAGTGTAGAGGAAGAACTCGAAGAACTGTGTGGTAAGAGGTCCTCTCATGATAGGTACATAGGTATGTATAGGTACCTAGATATATGGATAAGCCGAAACCTGTATATTGCCAGATTGACCTTGATTCTTTTTGATATCTTTCCGGATTACGTTAGGTGCTCTGCATTATCTCTATAACCTGACATCTCTGACTTGGCTAGTTTTCCCCATTTATACTGCAAATCAGCGACCGAATCCAATATGAGTTGAGCGTTATTATTTTATATTGGACCGTTGGGCGGGCGGCCGTCATGATGATGTAAGTGGTTTATGATGGGCCGACAATCCTCATTTAGATATGCCGACGTGTACGCTATTAGTGCATTCATACACCAAACCTTTTCATTTAATGAGAAAGGCATTACCCCTGGGTTAGTGCAGAATTGAACAATTTATTACATAGGATGGAGAGTTAGGTACTTACCTTAGGTATACAGTTGTCTTATAAGCCGGATCACCCGGACTATGTACTTGCAGTCTACGTCTATCCTGACTAATGCCTAATGTCAGGTACTAGTCTGGACTCAATCCCAATTAGGTAGATGTGCCTGGTGATTATTATCTACGAAGCGCTAGGCGCTTACCGCACAATAAATTAAGGTTACGCGAATATAGACAACATCTCTTATATTGACTCCCAAATATGCCCAGCTTACTCATCCTTGAGTAGCTCTAAACCTTCTAACTATTAACCGTTGGCAATTGCTTATTGACCTTTTATTATTCCTGTATGTACTGCCGGTACGTCCTTACTACGAGTGCCATCCCTCTTACTCCCATACTGTCTGCCACACATCCACACCCCCTACAGTCGAGTCCAAAGATCCAACAAAATCCATCTGGGCGCTTATTTGTCGTAGGTGCTGGTCTAGCTATCACGATTGCCGTGAACTACCCTTCTCCCCTTGCGGTGGATATTCATATACCGAGCCAGAGAACGAAATCCATATCGAGAATTGAATGTGTCATCGTTCACTACGATGCCAAGTATATGTGTGCGTAAAACCCCTTGACTTTGTCCTAGAATCTCATTCTCCTGAAAACGCCGGCCTGGTATCTCGAAAATGCAATGCAATGGTCCAATTGTGAACCCGACCAGAAAGAGATCGTGTACGTCATTAGCCGTTTCTGAGGCGGCTTCCCAATCCATCCATAGAAATTAGACCATGCGGTCTTATTCGCCATCGGGCGGGTCAGGATTTGTGGTTCGAAGTACTTTTCGCGAATAATCGTGGTTATCTTGGAGAGTGTTAATGCTCTCGTGGCTCTTATTCTCGCGGCTGTAGATATTTGCTGCAAATGGGTCCATGCGAGGATCATGCGGCATGAATCGACTGTTTCTCCGGCCTCCTGATGCGGTATCGCCATCCCATACCGAGGCCATCGCGGTTGTTGGCGTGCTCATCATACCTGCTGAACTTCCACGCTGACTCCCAGGGGAATCTGCGAGAGCATCACCTTGGTCTTGTCTTCTGCGGCGGAGCCAGAAGAAAAGGGCGGCACCTATAGCCATGCCCACGGCGGCAAATACACCAATTGCCACGCCAACTGCAGCACCGGTTGTGAGACCATGCTGATTCGATGATATTTCACTTGAGTCGGCATCCGGTGAAGTCACGGCGTTGGGGTCAGCTGTAGCTGTAGGCATTATGGTAACTGTCTTGACAGTACCTCCCGCTGTAACTGTAGATACGCTCGGAGTAGTGGGTGCTGTAGAGCCATCTCCCGTCGATTTCGATGTATCCTACTATCAATGAGTACAATATTTCCGAGAAAAAAAGTGGCTTTATAAAAAGAGAAACAAGGATCTGGGATTAGTAGAGCATACAGGAACGGCCGTGGTTGCGCGAACTGTTGGAGTAACAGTGACCGTGTTTTGTAACGTCCGTGTGGTAGGGTCCTGATGCCGGACTAAGTCTTAATAAAATATTCCTCCCAAGCTCGACAAAGAGCAACTGTGCCGAATATACGGCGAAGAAATGAGAACCCAGACGATATGAATTCGAAGAGGCACTGATTCCTTAGACGAAAAACAAAACTGGGTGACTTACAGGAGTTGGCGATTTAGTAGATGAGGCGGAGCCGGCAGTCTTGGTGCCCGAAGGCTTATGATCCAGAGATATATATCCCCATAGTCCATCACCTCCGCACGTATCAGACGGGAAACCAGGGCATCCCGAATCACACTTGTCGGTATCTACCTGTGTTGTTTTGTCGGGTACATAATCGCTACACCAGCACTCATCATCTTTAACAACAGCAAAAGCTGAGGTGGCTGAGCAGAAATCGTGGCACAATCCATCAGATTGGTATATACTGCTGTCTTCGGAAAGATTAGTCTAATGTATAAGATATACTTTGTTAGATGCATCCAGAAACATACTGCCTATTGTTGATGCTGTGTTGATGCTTGCGCAATAAGCCATAGGAATGGATTGAGCATGGCCAAGTTTGCTAAAGAAGGCCATTAGGCCCATAAGGGCCACGAATCGGGTGGTGAAAGGCATGATTCGAAGGTATCCAATATTTGAGGTCTAATTAGGGCTACTATTAGTAGGTATGATAAAGGTTAAGAAGTGATGCAACCATCACTAAATCTCATTCACAATGAATAGATAAGGAAGTAGACTCACCAGCGAACGAACGTAGTTTGAATAGCCAGTCAAGCAATCCGATATTTCACAGCAACAATGTCACAGGCAACCGAAAGAGTTGCTCGCGAGTATTGCCATGACAAGCCAAGCAGTTCTCAATTGAGGCAAGCGGATTCGCCGGAGGGTCACCAGTTGTAAAGGCAAATCTGTAACAGAAATGCCAAATACTAAATGCCAACGTGATCGTGGAACTGTGATGCCTTCAGAAGAGAGGCGGAAAGAAGGCACGGCTCACGGTGCAATGCGGACCAAGTCTCAGGAAAGAGGAAAAATACGAGCGAACGGTCGGGGAAGAGAAATGGAAGGGATAGATAGGCCTTAAAGGTAGTGGTGCACACACTGTGGTGGCCTTTGGTGGGTGTTGTGTGGATGGTAGGCTGGTAGGCTAGCAGGGTACGAAGCAGGGCAGGTAGACAAAGTTAGAGACAGGGGTTATGGGTGGAAGGAACGGATTTTGGGTACGTAGCGGCCGGGAAAGCTAGGATCACAGAGCAGCTGCTGGGATAACCTAGGATGGGATACGTGAGCACTGCAGCAGTTGCAGGTCGCAGATGCCAAGTCCACGGCCGATCGGGGTTGACGAGTGGATTAAACGTCAAAGGCCTCTTATTGGGACCGGGGAAGAAATAGATAGAATAGTAGATTTGGTAGTGTAGATAGTATAGATAGTGTTGATATCAAGGTGAGTGGTTTGTTTCTTTTTCAGTCCAACTCTGCCACACGTAGCCCAGAGAGACAAAGGACAAAAAAAGGTCGGTTTGATATGCGGAGCGGCTGTGCGCTGTAAATTCCGAATGCAATCAGTTTGTTTGTACTAAATATGTAACTTGAGAGTGGAAATCCCTATGAATAAGATATGAATAGGTAAGTGAGTGTGTGTGTGGTATGTATCGATGGATAGGTAATGTAGATAGCGAGTGTATGTTAGGCAGTATGTGAGTATGTGAGTACGAGAGCAGGGGTACGGTGAGCCACGACGAAGAATGAACGGGGGTCCCTGTGAAACGAGCGAAGGGAAGCGATCGGAAGCTGCCGTACTAGACTTCAAGACTTCAATACTTTAAGCAACGAATGATTTCGAATAGAAATGATGTTAAAACAGAGTAAAATAGAACAGCGTCGAATCTATCGTTGACAGGGGAAACAAAAAGAAGAGGAGGGAGGAAGTAAAAGTTGGGAACAGATGAACTTGGAATGAAGAAACTAATACGCGGTGGGCTCTGAAGAGGAATTTAGGGAATAGCGAATGAGATTTGACGGAAGCTTCAAATTCAAGATACATGTACGTGAAGACCGTGTATAGACCGTGTAAATAGGATACCTAAAATGTATACATTATGTATGTAGTACAGAAACGACTACCTCTTCGGGCTTAGCGGATGTTTCGGCCAAATCTATCAACTTCGAGGCCGGCCTTTTAGTTTACCTAGGTGCCCGCCTACTATGCAGTAAGTATGTAAGCTAAGCCCTTCGAACTCTTTCTGCTAGCCAAACATCAAGTGATGTTACTCGCAGATCTAGTTTATTGGATCCGTTGGCAGTTTCAAACAGCAAAGTAACCACCGAACTTACTGGTCGCAATTACTACACTGGGAAGGTGGATTAAGGCCTAAATAGGTGGTCACTAACGTTGATAACGTCACTTAACATTAACAGGCTTTAAAAACGCTCGCCTATTGACTGACCGACTGCAGTTATTGTCAGTCAAATCCTGCTAACCTCTTGGATTTACAATACATAGTAGTACGGTACCGAAAGGACTTCTCGCTTATCCTAGACCCTCTTGTTTCATTTCGAATCTCACTTATTTTTGCGGCACGTCTTGAATTGCAATATTTCTCATATATTTGTAGGTATCCAGGTATGTAGGAACTTCCTCGAGCTGAGACCCCTGAGAATGAGGATTTAGATACGAGATGCTACTGTTCCCGGCCGCGCACAAACCATGAGCTGAGCTGGGAGGCTTATTCATTTTATTTATCTCTTCCACTTGCCGTATATATGCATGAGCACAGTGGTTGTTTTCCACTGGGCCTGTTCAACGGTAACGCCACGCATTAGGTATCTCTTACTTACTTCCCTACCTACCTTAGTAGGTACCTACGCGTTCCATACACATCTCTACCTTTAGGTACTTACGGATTATCTAGCGAACCTATGTACCTAATACAGTAGGTATGGTGGCGTTCTGGAATCAGACAGTATTAAAACTCACTTTCTTTTCCTTATTTTCAATATAAGAAATAAGATAACCCCCCCAACTCCTTACTTGGTAGGTTTGACTCAACAATGCTCGCGTTAGCACCCATACAAAACCTACCTCTTAGCTACCGAAGACGATACATTTACTATCGCTTCATGATTTCCACTTCAGCGGAATTCGGACATTAAGAGCGAGTTGAGCGACCGTACGAGGCCTACGTGGTGTGCGATGCCAGCACGGAAACCAATCCAGATCATGGCTCTTCATGAAAGCGGGTTGAATTGCTCACAGACCAGAGAGGTGTACGTGCTGCTCGGTGTTGACGGAAAGTCGCAAAGGAACCACTTCAAACCCAAGCATCTCGTGAGACTTCCAAGTTGCGTAAATCACCCCACACTATCGGAAGCCCGAATCTCAAGTCGGATAGTCTCCAGAACGCCTCGTACTTTATTTACGCCGGAATCCCTTGTGATTGCTCAATTGCTCGTATCACTCGACTTAGTGTATCGCACTATATCTGCAACCCCCCCTCGAGTGAGCAATACGGGGTGGCTGTAAATAGCCGATCACATCTGCATCTCGCATTGGTTTGCCGAACCTTTAGCTTTTTGGGGCTACGCGGCATTATGAACAATGCAAGCCTTGAAGCTTGTGTAATATACATACGCATACATACATACAGTACACCAATCGGCAAGAGACGGTGAACCAATTTATTATTATTTTTCCTCATCCTTCTCTACCACATTGCTTATCTGTTTCTATCTATCTATGGAAACACTGGTTATGCCAGTCGACTTTAAATACCTTTACAGGCCGCCGTTATTGAACCGCTCATACCTAGTTAAAGACAACGATACTACCCATCACCATGCATAATCTACGGCAGAGATACGAAAATAAGAGGCTACAGTTGCAGATGGTTTGCTTACTTATCGCCCCTCCCCCACAGTACTATTGATGTGAAGAAGGAAGTGGTCATAAAAGCGTGACCACCTAGGAGCATTTACATATCTTAACCTCATGCAGCATAATGCACAATCAATACTTACCTAGCTTAGGTGTCCCTCACTTTACGCATGACTGACTTAGATAAGAATCCCTCCTGATCTCCGGGTATCGTTGTAAACTTCTCGGAATGTGGAATGTGGACCTCGTTACGCCGTGCACATGGCATCGAAAGAACAGAAATCGGTTGAAGGTGGTGCCAGGGTTGCAGATCTCTCAACCGGGATACGCCGTCTAAGAGTAAATCTAAGGTGTAGATCTGCATCTCGCGTCATGATACTGCATAGTGAGCTACTTTACGGCGCTTCCCAGTGCGGGGGTATTAACTCAGTCGCAATCCCGTCGACGATGGCTTCAATCGAGAACAGTTGCCTTAAACTTGGACAATGTAAAGTAAGTGTCCTGCACGCACTTCAAAATGAAGCCTGGAATTTAAACATTTAAGTAAAGGTAAGCTTTCCTTACTCAGCTAGGTCTCATCGCGGAAAATCTATGACGCTTTGAAGTTATCTCGGCTTAGGTGGCCTTCCTGTTCAGGATGGACTTGTCCACTGCTCCGCATGCAAATCCGAGATGCATCCTTTTGTCCCGATTTTAGGCCGGGAGGGCCTTAATAGCACGGCGTATGCATGGTGGTACTATCAACGGCAGTAATACGTACACGTGAAATAGTTAATATCGGAACTCCGATGTTTTTCTAATTCCATACAGATAAGCAATCTACTTCTAAGCCTGTTCTGTATAAAGAGACGATAGCATACCAACCTCTCCAATTTGTTACTATTTACCCGTTTATCGTCAAAAGATGGAGTTGCCACTTTCGACGACAAAGTAAGCCTGGAAGCACCTCATTATAAAATTCTCTTCTCTTGGTGAAACTAGTACATAACGTCAACTGGTAATCTATCATTACTTCGAAATCATAGATCCACTAAACCCTAAGCCGAAGTTCGTATATTATTACGAGTAACCAAGTACAGAAAACCTCTTTTGTCTCCTTGCCCAAGGCGGGGTCGGTGATAATTTTACAAAAAGATTGAGAAGTTAAACCCGTTGAATAATATTGTAAAGGTTTATAGACGCAGGGTTGTAGCTAACTTACCAAGTGTTGACTTCTATTCAGACATGGCTTCTTTTGGTAAGATATATCTACTTACAACGTAACCGTATTCCTTAACGGGATAGATGTTCGGATACGGATCCGTACACCTCAGCCGCATCCGTAGGTCGAATAGAGTTTTCAGTACCTAGTATATTATTGCAGGGTGAATATCATAAGATAAGATATTAAGGCCTAATAAGGTGCTAAATAGTGTCAAAATTGGTCTTCAGGCTCCAGAAGATCCCGTCGGTCCCGGGTCAGGGGTTTATTCTTATTCTCCGACGTCATCGGAAGGCCACTGAAGGTGTAGTGTATTTGCTAACCTTGAAAGCTAAATCCTATCGGGACATGTTTTTATTTTCAGGTAATTTAAAAACGATGCGCCTGGCTAGCCCTAGCGTAGACTCAAGCTCAAATAGGGTACAACTTGAACCAGTAAAAAGTTAGTGAAGTTGTTAGTGTGTAAGACGCCTCAAGAATCAACAGGTACGGACGGGGTATAATTGGTTAATCGAGGTTTATCCAATTCTTCGGAACCTCCGCAGATGTGCGTGGCCAGTGCTTAGCTCTCCCCCTGAGATGACGATCGACGATGCCATGCTTCATAGATCCTACACCATTGTCAGCCCTCTAACTCCTACATAATAAGCGGATGTCTAGGGCTTCGAGTCCTTGTCAGGCGAACACGTCGTCATCGCGATTATGCGTGTTGCTTAGCTACCTAGGTATTGTATCAAGGCATTGGACTAAAACTTAACTATTCTGCATAGGCTCTGCATATTTATATTAACCTGCCACGCCGGCGCCGTTTTAAGTCGAGAGGCACCTGAAGATCTTAATGAGCAAAAATCACGAGAATGACAATTAACCTACTTCATTTGTCGGCTTTTGTTATAGACTCTCTAGGAAGATGCCTCCCACACGGCTAGCTGCATTGACATGCTCCGACGACATAAACCCCTACGGTTTGTGTTTTTCCCTCACTCCCTAATCTCTAGGTGATAGACAGGCTGTAGAGTCTCTAAAACCTTCTCTAGACTATCTAGCTTCGATCGTTCTAGGTCTACTGCTACATTCGGCCAGACCAAATCGTTCGAATACGTATATCTTGTACCTGTTTGGTTAGGTATACTGTGTATAGTGGCTTAAGTCGCGTATTTTTGTAAGACTGTATTAGCGCTAAAACTACCGAGAAGCAATTTCGCTAAACGTCGACGTTGTGCGTAAGTGTTGAGCACCAGTGGCGGTTGTGGACATATTAGTTCAGTAAAGCCAAGGCAATAGTGGCTTAGAAAAATATCTCAAGAAATCTCGTAAGATTATACAAGTATACCTATACCACGATTACAAGATCCGCCACTAACTGAAGTTTTGGGCGGAGTGTTACTCCTTTCCAAGCAAGCATAGTATTGCCTATCCTTCTATCATTACTAGGCTAGTCGAGGCTACCCGCTGTGATTCTTTAGTATTAGATACACAAATATTCCAGGGCACATAGAACTCCTTAGTTGAAACAGGCGTGTTCATATCCAAGTTACACGGGTTACCTAGCTATCATGACCACATAGAAAATGGTAACGGTAGAGAAGACCGGTCGGAGATTCGCCTACTGCAGGTCTCAAATCCCCGTCTTCCGACATAATTGGATTACCGAAAAAGCATGACCGATCATGTTGGCTACCGGAGGCGTACGAAAACAGACCTCTGCTGCGCACCGTTTCGCCATTTGCTACGATAGTGCGGTTGTAGAACGACGGCGAATAGTGAACCCCGAATTCGCGTATATATTCCAGTCGCGTGGTATTCATGTAAAACGTGATCAGCTGCGACGTCTCATATAGTATGAAGCGACATTGTGCTGGTTTTTTTTTTTTTTAGGAATGTGATACATAAAAATACATCTTGAATTGCTACCTCAGGTACAATATGTACCTGTATTAGGGGTCGAGACACTCGTCTCAAATCTCTTAGGAAGACTTACTAACTGTCTTACGGGTCTGAAATGTAGATTGTCAATGGAATAGTTCTTTAAGCATAGTCAGAATTAGTATGTATTGATCTATCTAGTAACACGTGTTATACAGACTGCAAGAGGCCTCTCTACCTGTATGGCAAGATATTTACCCATCGATACGACATGTTAGAAGCCATAACTTTTAGAGAACAAATACGTCTAGGTAAGCTGTAAGGTACCTCCACCTTACGATCCAGAGCCTAGGTTAACTTAGGTACCTAAACTAGGCATTTAATATATACTATTCAACTTCATCCCTTGGATTGATTACACGTCACTGAGACATATATAATACTTATTGAGACGAGGAAATGAAGTAGAAATACAGGGACTCGCTTCTTACGGTTACATATAAACGCACTCAGCCAGCCCCTTACAAGATAAATAGTTGTATGACCATTCCTTCGTAACATACAAGACAGCGTATCACGAACACCCCTTCCATATCTTATACGCAGATATCACAATCACGCCAAGCTTTCTATCAGTGCGAGCATAGTTGGAATATGATCAGCTAAAACGGGTATTTTCTTCAATAAACGAATTCCATTCGCGACAATACATCGTAATACATGTACGTAGACCTATCTCTACTTTCCTCCAGTCCCCGTACCCAGGGGGAATATTCGATGCGTCCATTCCCAGTCCAGTAAAAAAAAAAAAAACAACGCGATCCAACAACGCCTTGGCCAAACGATGGTCCGCCATGCCCTGGCGATCGATAACTCCATTCGTTCCCGACTCCTGATCCCGAGATTGTACGTAGGTACGTACAGTTCATACCAGGTGCTAGACACTAGACAGTGCCATGTCACCGCGTAGGGGACGCAGCAGGGCTGTTCTCCTGGCTTTTATGTAGGCTCTCGAGGCTTTCCACCATAGCTAGGACCCTTGTCCGCGGCCGCTCCAGCCGCACCACCTGCGCGGAAAATACGTCGCCGTCTGGGTCCTCCACCGGCGACCGCGATGGCTTCCTCTTCCGGGACTCGCTGCCCGGCTCCACGCCCAGTAGACGCACGCCCTCCTCTCGTAACGACGTGGGCGTACGGTGCGTCGGGGTGTTTGGTTGTCTGCCCCTATTCGTGACGCGCTTCCACTCGGTCTCCAGCTCTTCGCCCACTTCACGCAGGATCTGCTTCTCGGCTTCCCTAGCTTCGGCTTCCTTAGCTTCAGCTAGACTTGTATCGTCCTCGCTCGAGCTTGGGAGCGGCGGAGTACCAATATCCTGCTCTTCTATCGTAACAGGCGCATCGCGACTCTCTGTTATATCCTGCTCCCGATTTACCTCGGGGCTCACAACCATGACATCTTTGCCGCTCTCCGCGTCGGGCTCGGCGTTGACCACGCGCAAGGGCTCTCTAGGCACCGTGAACATGACTTGCACGAGCCGTCTCTCGACGGCCTTTTCGATATCCCACTCCTCCTCGTCTTCTTCCGCTGCTGTGCGCTTCTGGTTACTCTCACTTGTTGTATCCCTGCCTTTACCTTTCTCGCTATACCTCTGTTCCATGCCCTCCCAATCCCCTCTCCCGCTCTTCCTGCGCAGCAACCCTCCAGCCGCCATTTCGCTCAGACCACTTCGCCGCATATCATAATCGTTTGCATCCGCGAAGCTATCGTCGATAGGCCTCTCTCTATCGGATGTCTCGGATGGACTGGGGCCGTTGAACACGCGGCGCAGACTGCCGAGCCAGTTGCGCCGCGGCTTATTCTTACTCGGGCTTCCCGGCGTCTCGTCATCGTCTCGGGATTTCCCCATAAGTAATGCCGGTCCCTCGGCCTGCAACGCTGCGAAACTACTCTTGGCGGTGTTATAACTAGGCGCCGAGCTCGAACTGCTCCCTCCACGTCCTTCCTCGTTTGTAGCCCCTAAGGCGGCGGCTGCAATGCCGAATCCGGTACGGAGGACTGAGCGCACAGAGTCCGAGCGACTCACACCTAGGTTGCTGCGGTTGGACTCCGAAATGTTACTTTCGGTTCGCGAGTCATCGGGACCCCGTCTCGTTGGGGAGATTTGTCCGGAAGCTGCTGATATGCGCGCCGTGCTGCGACTGTTTAGTAATGCGTCCATGGCCTCGACATCAGTCATCCAGTCCTGGACTTCCGGGTCCGTGGTGAGGCGGCGCTCTTCGGGGCTGGGTGTTATCGAGGCACGGTTGGAGGGCGGGAACGAAATCTGGTTTTCTTGCGTCGGTGTGAGGAACGGGTCGGAGTCATGTCTGCCGTCGGTATTCATGTCCCGCAGAGGGCTAACGGGCTCACTTGTAATGTCACCATCGTGAAGTGAGCCGTCTTCATCTGCCTCAATAATGGGGTGGATCCCACTTGATGGCGGATCATACGTGTTTCGGCGGGACAGCGGCTTCCTTGCTACCTGCGCTGGGGACATGCCGCTGTACCACGATTGTTGACCGTTGTCCAAGCTGGTACGGGCTGTCTGCAAGCTCTGGTAACCTCGCAAGCGGTTCCCCCGCAGATACGGATCCGAGCCACCTGCATACCACATTCCGCCAGGGTGATCTTGCTCCATCATTTCGTCGTCGTGGGGTAGGAATCGAGAGGTGTCCTGGGCGAGCGCGCGGATGGCGGAGTCTCGGATCGTACGCCTGTGGCGTTTCCGGCGACGGTATAAGAGGAATAATAGGATGGCAATGATAATAGCTACGCAACCCAGGCCGATGCCCAGTCCAATTCCTAAGCGTGTACCAACATCGCTATCACCACTACTCGAGTCGCCGCTCAGGTCCGTCTTAGAGAATTCTGGGTTTGTATAGTCGCTAGACCAGCTCATTGATGTGAGGTTGAGGAACATCGGCATGCTGTCACTACTAGAAGCTTGTCTCTTAGTTGTGGTTTCAGATGATGATATGTTATAGCCTCCGTAGACCATCATAATGTTTCCAGGCAGCAGTGCAGCACCATGTCCATATAATCCTGACCCTGGTGGTTGAATATCAGGAATAGACCACTGCCACTCCCCGTTCCCGCCGTAGCTAGCTCCGATGTTGAGAATAGCCAGTTGTGGTGTAGCAGCCTGAGTTAAGTCACCAACCCAACCGCCAAGAATAATTAAAGAAGTCCCGTCTTCACTTAGTACTGCTGTGTGGCCAGATCGACTGTCTATCGTGTCTATATCGTTGCTTTTGACCGCAAGTTCGGTGTTGGCAGAACTCGAACTCCCTATGTTAATGTTAGAAATGAAACTCCAACTTTCCTCCGGTAAACTCCATATTGCGACAGTGCTCATATTGATAAACGCGTTCTCGGTATGACCACCTAATAGTACATAGTTGATTTGCTGGGTAACTATGCCTGATCGATTTGAGACAGAGGGGGATAAGCCGGTGAATGTGAATCCAGCCTCGGGCACTGGAGGGCCATTATTAGAGACTGGGCCGACCACAAATTTCCCCGAACTAGTTGCAGATGGCTCAATCTTAACCATCTGGTTTGAATAGGCGGCCTTTTCTTGTGGTGTACTTCCATCGGCAGTCTCGTCGGGACACATTCCTCCATAAACATAAGTGCTGGCCTGTGATAGCACAGGGGCCAGAGTGTTTGAAAAGCTAAAGCCAGTGCCCAAGAAGCTTGGTCCTACTTGTACATCATCTGCCTTAGTCGCTAGCGTAGTGCTCGCTTTGATCCAAGACGACGACGCATCGTCGTTGGGAGACGGGTTGAAGGTCCAGATTTCGGAACTTGCTGGCGATGAACAATCTCCGGCGTAGACGATGAGTGATCCATTGTCCGCAAGCGACGGTATAAACGCCGTGTTATTCGTATCAAGAAAGGGCACATTTGACGACAAGGTTTGGAAGGGCAACGATGAAGCTCGGAGGTTTCCGGAAAAGTTGAGCGCTAACAAGTTGACCCAATCTCCTTGTGGTGAGAATATGTATGCCACATTGATAGTCGCATTGTCTTGGGCCGGCGCGGGTTTCGACTCTGGAATGAAGATACTCGTGGGGATATACGGTAATGTCTGAGCTACACCAAGTGTCGTGAACCGCGCCCAGGCCGTAACGAGTATCAGATACCGGATACCTGCCGTCACCCGCGACACTTTTAATGTATCGCTAGCAAACATCGACGTCGTCCCCAAGGAATAATTCATCGCTCTACCTAGCTCAACCCTGTGGGAAGCATCGTCTACCTGGCTTGACCCAATCGCATCCAGAAACCCGCGAGTAGCAAATCGAAAAGATGTAAGTCGACGACTATAACGCGAACCCCACAAGCCCGATTCTCAATTCATGACCTATAGGTGAGAGACTAGGTTTCACGATCAAGACAGCTAGGCGGGGATGAGTTATGAGTTGTTTCAAGCAGCAGGGTTAGGTGAAGAGCACGGAGCAAGGTAGGGTCTTGTTATTTGGCCTGGCGTACAAGACAGATGCCCCAGGTTATGGATTATGGCGGGGGGATCTATTGGCACCGCACACCTTGTAAGCTTGTCATACAAACAAAGTACTGGCGTTGTTTGGGGGCCAAACAATATAGAACAGATTGACGGAAGACGGAGTCGTGGTCACAAAAGATGAGAGGGATATCTCGAACAAATCAAATAATATGTAGTTACACAAGATCGATATTGGTCTATAGCAGGTTTTCCTATTACTTTAATTTTTTTTTCTTTTCTTTTCTTTCCGACCTTCTTGGCCAACTGCACATATCAGGATAGCACCGGGAAGTTCTTGTTTGGAGGGGTTGAAAGTCGGTTGTCAGGGCAACATCCCTAAAAAAGAAACAATATAACGGGAACTTCCGAGAAGTCTCAGCCATCACTTGATGAAGATTGACTCTCGTGAGATCAGCACAACGCGTAATTCGCAATTCAATACCGTACCAATACATACATACGCGGCGGTGTCACTACAATAAAATTATTGGTCAAATCCATACTCAAGTATCTCCTACATATACTACATACATTAGGTACCTCTTATTAGTGGAGAGAGAATAGAATAAAATCCATTTATCCCTCCTCTAAACCGAGAAATAATGTGCCCCAACCCCAAATCCATCTTAGACTACCTAACAACCGGAAATGTCGTGACTAAATGCTCGCAATCCAACCCACCTCCCTCTTTCCCTGTAGAATTGGTTCGGATCAATTGCAGTCGGCAATCTGCTCCATCCAGCCAAACTCTTCCCGGCTTATCTTGCCCTCCTGAGCAAGCTGCTCCAATACACTTCTGACCCGTTCGACACCTGCCTTCGCGTTACCCATCACTGCTGTGCGTTCTTCGTACTGCTCGAGCAGAGAGTGGGCTATAAGATAGCCGTCCTCGGTCTCGGTGGCTCCTGCGGGAACTTTGACCTGCGCCCGTTGTCGTTCCCGTTTGTACGTGGCTAACTCTGCCCTCAGATTATTGCGTTCTGCGGCGCCCTCTTCAAACTTAGCTCGGAGAGCGTCTCTTTCTGTCTCGATCGCTGCTATCCTCTCCGACGTCTTAACCGAGTCCTCGCCTTGAGCCTCTTCGTAGATCCTGTTGAGATGGTTTAGCCTCCCTAGTTCCTCTTCTTGTATCTTAGTGGCGCTTTCGAGATCGGCTTTGTTAATAGTTAGACGGGTGACCTCAATCCCTAGCTCTTTGATCTTCTTTTCCATGTCCCTATGCCTCCTATCCCAGGCCGACGTCCGGTCTGGGTTAGTTGGCGCTGGGATCGTAACTACCGTCGGACGATTTTCTATCTCTTTAGTGTACGACGTGTTGGGGCGGTCCGAAAAAGCCGGGAGGACGAATATAGGACCGTGGCCGCTACCTCTTAATCTGTAAAATCTAGTCTCGAGGTTGACGTGGGCGATACCCCGGAGGTAGTCCTCTCCATTGTTGTTTCGATCCCGTAATGCTTCTCCAACCACGTTCCGATGAGACCACTGGCGATCTCGTGAAGCGCCCTTTGCTTCGCTCTTGTCGAGCAACTGATGGATAAAAGTAAAAACATCCTCTCCGGCGTTGGCCAATATCCAGCGATCTTGCGGGAACACGATTTCTCTGCCAGACCGTCCGTCTGGGCCTTGTACGCTCAAGTGTTGCGCCGGAACGATAGCCTCGCTCGCAAGAAGATCCATTGCATTGGCGTAAGCGATCTCAAGTTCATGCATGCGGCACATAAGTTGTTGTGTGTGTAAGAGCCACTGCCCAACCAAGGTTGATTTTACGTCCTCTAACTCTGGGTGGTCGGTTACTTCGTCTTTATCAGTAGGAATGATTCCGAGTATTCCACCCATGGCCGAGTACTCGTGGTCGAGCCTCTCGAGACACTCGTTGGCGTGCATGAGTAATGTCATGTGAGTTTGAAAGGGACGGACTATATGGGTAAAATCATCTTCGACCATTTCAAGGTTAGTCTCGGTTAGTGGGCAATGGAATATCACGCCTTCCTCATCGCTATTCCGCTTCACCAAGTTGACTAAACTATTCAGTGGCATTCGGTGGGCCTTGTCGATGTTATCATACGGAACCTGCAAGTTGTTCAACCAGTCATAAGCTTGGTGTCTTGGAAATGTGTCCCGGTGTATCTTCTGTCCCTGTTCATCTTGCTGGGGAAGATTTTCGTTGTCGACTTCAGCTCCTATAGTACTCGGTGCAATGGTCGATATCAAGTAAGTTAGAGACTGGGCGTGCTGCTTTAGAGCTTCTAGAGTTGGCGGCCGGCCAGGGGTAGACAAGTAACTGCAATTGACATGGTCGAGCATTTTGGGATTCGACGAAGGGTTTTCATGGTAGTGGTTAGAATAATATGGCTTTGACCAGTGAGTGGCCCCAATGTAGCCATCCATGCCATCGTACACATCTTGCATTTGTCCGTCGGCCATCTTGAAAGCAATCTCACCCGGCACGTCTTAGCTAGTATGAGTAAAGTGACAACACTCCTTCTAGGAGCAGGATAGATATTTCTTAGGAAGGAAAGCGAGAGTAGATAGGAAGAAAGAACAGGTTAGTATGGGAACCATTCTTGATGAATCATTAAAAGAGTGAAAGAAATATCTTTTGACGCCGGAATAGCAAAACAATCCATTGAGCTGTACAACATTCCAGTGCCATTTTAGTGTCATAAAAATTCGGCGAACAATGAAAACGGCATGACAGATGCCTGTAATAAGCATATTTGGAGCATTTGCTTCGGGACGTATAATAAAAACGTCTATAGATACATGTACCTATCTATTCTGACGAAAAGACTGAGAAAAACTCTAGGGTTAGCGAATATATCTACCTATCTCGCTGAATGTTACGTATTTCGAGGAAAAGAGGTTATTGGTTACTTGCAGTTTCACGAAGACCTAATAGACACAGCATGAAGAAGCTCTAGGTACCGACTTCTTTATCCGGATTCGGCTGCCTCTGGGAAAGTGGACACACGTATGGAATGAATGAGTCCCAGACCCGGTGTGCGTTGAAACTATATCTTCGCCATACAAGACATGGCGATCTCACTCCTTGACCACAATAGACGTTTCCAATACTCACCGTGTTTCTAGAAGTCGAAGTCAGTATCGCGTTGGAATGAGACAGACCTGTTGCAGAAACCTAAATATACAAGATACTTTTAGGTCTTCCTACATCCGGAACAGGGCCAGCGCCGCACCTCAACGATATGTAATTTAGGTACTATCCAGCTTGATTAAGCGCAATCCTTAATGTGAAAAAGGAAAAAAAAACCCCCCATCGTGACTAGAGACAACCAGCTACTCATGCCTTTCCGACTCCAATGCGGTTCTGCACGACGGCGTGAAAATTGAGTTCGCTTGGTTTGATAGAAGGACTTAACTGCGTGCGCCATCTCGCAATTAGTTGCAATTCCCGTCTCTACATCCCAAATATCGCTTTGCTGTGCAAGTATACCCGATTGGGGTATATAGAGAAGAGCTGAACTAATCTATTGCATGAGTCGTGCAACTTGACATGATAATGTCGTACACAATTCTCCTCATTCTCGGTGGCTTGAGCTAGAATTTAGTTGTAGTACGAAGTACCGTCACATATTTTGGGTTGAGACAAGAAAATACCTATTACAACCACAACAACAACGACGACGTCCGTCGGAGGCCTGGCGTTGAATTCTAGCGTCTTTAGCTCGTACGCTATCCTATTATGATAGTACATTAGTACATTAGGTACCTAACGCAAGCGGGTTTGTGTGGCCCCATATATCGTCAGATATTTTTGCTTGGAATGGAATGGCACGTGAGTGATGGCTAGCTGCTTAGCCGCCTTGTTCATTAGTTGATAGCGGACCTGTAATAGTCTGAGTTTAATATATCGATAGTCTGATGTCATTGATGAATTGAGCGAACTAATAAAATAATAAACAGAAGCAGCCGAGACGATAAAGTTTTGCTCTAATTTAACCCACCTCCCACCTCCCACCTACATGTACCTAACGTACCTACCTACCTAAGTGAGGTCTTGGAAGTTGGAGCGTCGTGTTTTGCTGTTTTCGTCTTGCTTCAAACCTGCTTCTGTCCTGTTGGCCTGCACTATACGAAGCGCCAATCCTAAAACTTGCGATATTGCAACATTGTGACAGAGCAATAAAGCAAGCAACATATGAATTGTGTTCTAAAAAGATAAGGGTATACCCATCTTCGTTGGAACCTCCTGAAGGTATCGTGCAATTTTTATTTTTGTTTTGTATACTCCTTTCGCTATCTATAGAACTCTTTATATATTTGAAACCGATTTCTCAAACATTAATCAACTGCCCAAAGTTTATCGGGAGGATCCCGTAGATGTAAATGGTCGCGATTACTTAACATTTTACCCAAAAGTAAGTGGATCTAAAAAGGAAATTGGAAGGTTCCAAGGTTGAATGAACCATGGATCAGCTCGACAAGGGGTCCTCGAGAATCACCATCCTGCCGTCATAACTTCTCCACCCTTGTAAAAACACCTATCCTATCATCCTGCCATCCCAGTTCCCCGTCCAAGCTTGTGAAGATCTGGCGGCAAGGATTGTCTCTAAATCCTGAAATTTTCTAGTAACTCTCACACAAGGTCTAGACTTTTTTGGTAGTTGAGGCTCGCCCTCATATCAAATACCGGGCGTACAGACCATAGCATGCATTCACCAATTCACACACACTCTTTTTCTTTTTGTGTACTATATCGCTTTTCCTTTGATAGGGAGTGATATTCACGATATATATCCCAGATCTACGAAACGACGATCGCTAACGATTTGCTGGGGCCGATAGTTTCCTCTTTAGTTCGAGTTACACGTACCTAGCCTCCTACGTCTTCTGTAATCTGCCTTTGTTGTTCTCCTTCTCTATACACCGCCCGTAGCTGTTGAAAAAAATACACTCGGCGTGGTCGATTGGAATTGGATTACTGCAATTTTGAATTCTCTTCTAATACTACTCGAGGCTCAATTAACATCCATCTCCTCGACATCTTATAATTACCACGTCTCCCATTGAGCAGAGGCATCATCAACAAAAAGGATGAGCGACCCGGGTGACACTCCGCCGGCGTCGGCTGCCTGTAAGATATCAACACAAAAGCTATCAATGCTAAATGAAAATTGCTAATGTGTTTTGAATAGCTCTTTATCTCACTCTCGGGCCTGTTGCTTTGACTGCCGGCGTCTATTTCACCATCTTCCTGATTCTGCGAAAGAGCCAGAGGCGATTCTATGCTCCTCGAACCTATCTAGGAAGTCTTCGTACGAGGTAAGTTAGGAGCTTCATAGCCAATCGTCTGTTCCATGAATGATTTTACATGCTCACTCTTTATAATTTAGCGAACGATCACCAGCTCTCTCCAATGGGTGGTTTAATTGGATTGGCGAATTTTGGAAGATTCCTGATATCCATGCACTACAGCATCAATCCTTAGATGCTTATCTCTTTCTCCGATTCTTGCGCATTCTGGTCACCATCTGCTTCGCGGGATGCTGTATACTATGGCCGGTGCTCTTCCCTGTGAACGCTACCGGAAGCAACGAGAAGGCTTTGCAGGTAGATATGCTCTCTTACGCTCGCGTTGACAAGGACACGCAGTCGAGCCGCTACTATGCTCACACCTTTATGGCCTGGATCTTTTATGGGTTTGTCATGTACATGATCCTACGCGAATCCATATTCTACGTCAACTTGCGACAGGCATTTTTGCTTTCGCCTTTCTATGCCAACCGCATCTCATCGCGAACTGTACTCTTTGTTTCTGTCCCCGACAGATATCTGGATGAGGCTAGATTACGCAAAATCTTCGGTGACTCAGTCAAACATGTGTGGATCACGGGCGATACGGAGAAGCTGGACGATCTTGTTAAGGAACGCGACAAGGTCGCTATGAAACTGGAGAAGGCGGAGGTAAAGCTGATAAAGCTTGCCAATGCCCAACGCATCAAGTCGGCTAAAAAGGGTGGTTCTAACAACGAGAGAGTCGAAGCACCTCTGGACGCGGAGTCGGGTAGCTTAGCTGCCCGCTGGGTTCCCGAGAAGAAACGGCCCACCCACCGACTTGGACTCCTTGGTCTCGTAGGCAAGAAGGTCGACACTATTAACTGGTGCCGGACTGAGCTGGGACGCATCATCCCTACTGTTGAGGCTGCGCAGGGAGAATACCGTACTGGAAAATGCAAAAAGATACCCAGTGTCTTCGTCGAGTTCTACCGCCAGGCAGACGCCGAATCAGCCTTCCAAATTTTGTCACATCACCAGGCCTTGCAGATGACGCCCAAATATATCGGTATCACGCCTGGCGAAATTGTCTGGAGTGCACTTAAGGTTTCATGGTGGCAGAGGATTGTCCGAAGATTCGCAGTACTTGGCTTCATCACTGCACTCATCATCTTCTGGGCGATTCCGGTTGCCGTAGTCGGTGCCATTTCGAATATCACATATCTTGCTAACCAGGTTTTCTTCCTTAAATGGCTCCTGTCGATCCCTGATGTTGTTCTGGGATTCATTCAGGGGCTACTGCCCAGTGTCGCCTTATCTATTCTCATGTCACTTGTACCTGTAATCATGAGATGTAAGTTTGAATCCTCTATTGTATGTTATCTTACATGTCTAACACTTAGATATAGTATGTGCCAAGCTTTCAGGAGAGCCTTCCTTATCGCGAGTCGAGTTATTCACTCAGAATGCGTACTTCTTTTTCCAGCTTATTCAAGGTTTCTTGGTAGTAACAATCGCGTCATCAGCAACAGCTGTCGCATCACAAATATCCCAAAACCCTGGTTCAATTACAAGCGTTCTAGCGGAGAACCTTCCCAAAGCCTCCAATTTTTACATTTCGTACTTCATCGTACAGGGTCTAGGTGTCGCTGCAAGCGTACTCTCTCAGGTTGCCGGGTTCGTAATTTTCACGATCATGTATAAATTCCTAGCAGGAACGCCACGTGCTCTCTATAACAAATGGGCAAACCTCAGCGCCATATCTTGGGGTAGCGTCTTGCCGGTATATACCAATATCGCTGTGATTAGTAAGTTCTTCAACGGACCTATCCTTTGAAATTCATATAACTAATAATACTAGGTATTACGTACGCTGCTATCGCCCCACTGGTGCTTGGTTTTGCTACCGTCGGTCTCTCACTATTCTACCTCGCATGGCGTTACAATGTTTTCTTTGTTACGGACACCAGCGTCGACACTCGGGGCTTAATATATCCTCGAGCATTGAAGCAGCTCTTCTCTGGCATCTATATTGCTGAGTTGTGTATGATCGGAATTTTTGCTACCTCAGTGGCCATCGGTCCCTTGATTCTCATGGTGGCATTCCTCATTTTCACTATTCTATTCCACGTAACTATCAACAGCGCCATCGACCCTCTACTTTACAATCTCCCTCGGACTCTTGGGGTTGAAGAGGAATCAAAGTCTCTGCATGTAGAGAGTTCTACTCGACACGCTAGCTATTCTACTGCCCAGGACGGCGAAAAGGACGGTATCTCGGATGCCAAGAAGATATCCTCTGATGATACTGCCGTTGCGGGGAAGAAGCCAGGGTTCTTATCCAAGTTCCTGAAGCCGTGGCAGTATTGTGATTATGAAACAATGCGCAAGCTTGTGCCTCACGACCAGGTAGACATGAACAACCTATATACAGACGAGGTTGAACGTGACGCCTACTTCCCACCTTCGGTCAGCAGTGCAACTCCACTACTTTGGATCCCCGAGGACTCAATGGGCATCTCGAAGCAAGAGATCCGGGATACTAGCAAGGTGATCCCAATCACAGATGAAGGATGTATACTAAGCGACAAGAACAAACTAGAATGGGATACGGAGACCGTGCGACCACCTGTTTGGGAAGAAAAGATCTATTACTAAACCAAATGCTTGAGGTTTAAGCCTCGTGGTATAGCACACCAGGCTCACTGAAGAATCACTATAATGGAGATTTGGCTCTTCTATTGTTTTCTCCGTGGTTATTCCGAATTTGTCTTTTGTTTTGGGTTACGATATCAAGTTTGGATCACTAGGATTAAGATGAATTTTGTTTTAGGTTGTGATCGATCGTTATTGTTGAAGTCGATAACGATCAAGGATATCGCTTACAGGAGTACTTCAATGTCTATTATACCCTTCCGATAAAGTTTCCCGAGTGTCAGGTCAATTACTGATTATAATAATGAAGATGATGGCATTCAAATATAACGATGCTTTGTTGTGATAAATTCGTTGTCTACCTGCTATAGAATTAAAGAAATGTCGGGCAAAAAGAAAAAGTACACTAAGTCGTGTAATAGGTACATCTAAACAACCTTGAAGCTCAGGCATGTACATTACATAAGCCAATATTTCAATTAGCTGCTGAAAAGAGCCAAGGCTGGGGCAATTCAACCAATCAAAGCGTCACATGGTCGTCTCATGACGTGCCCACCCCAACCTTGCGTAACATGTAGCATAGACCTCCTTAGCCTTCTTAGCTTTATCGCAATCCACTGTTTGTCTCTTCCATACCTTCACCCACTTTCTGTTGAGCAGTTAGTTATCTACAAAGTGCAACCCGAAATCATAGAATAAAAACTCTCTTCGCTTTACTCATCTCAAGCAAGTCTTGTCATTAATCCAAGAGTTTTATCATCCCCAATTCACAATGAGATTCTCTACCGCCTGCGTGGCTGCCATGTCCGCTAGCCTGGCTTCGGCTGGAGGCTGGTTTGGCGGATCTAAAGAAGTCGTCATCAAGGACGTACAGAAGGTCCCGGGTGACTCTCCGCTCGAGTTCTGCGATTCGGACCACAGCAATGATATTATCAAGATTGAGAGCGTCGATTTGCTACCGAATCCTCCAGAGTCGTACGTTTGTCTAGTTTGATGATCGCGAAGATGCTGTGTTGGATAAAGATCTCTTTGCTAACTGATAAATAATATGTATAGTGGTGCTGAGCTGGTTATCCGCGCCACGGGAACCGTATTCGAGCGTATCGAGAAAGGTGCCTACGTCGACATTGTCGTCAAGTACGGTTTGATCCGCCTCCTTGCCACTAGGGCCGATCTGTGCGAACAAATTGGGAATGTTGATCTCGAGTGCCCCATCGAGAAGGGTGTTCTGTCTATCACCAAGTCTGTTGATATTCCCAAGGAGGTTCCTCCGGTACGTTTAATCCACGTGAAACGAATGAATTGGATATCGGTATTAACAAAGGTTATAGGGAACATACAACGTATTCGCCGATGTCGCCACCGCTGAAGGCAAGCCCATCACCTGTCTTCAGGCTACGGTGAAGTTTGGCGGCAGCAAGCAGGATACCATGGGTGATGGTGACCTTTAAATGGCTCCTTAACTACCGACATGGAGCTGGTATTACCGTATTATCATTTGAAAGCAGGTCCGATCTACAATGGGATGGATGACCACGAATTACATGGCACTCTTTTGATGGACGCAAGGGCATAATTTTTCCTACGTCTGGATTTTTATGGACTCGAAGACACCGCAGTTTGATTTTGTTCCCGCAAATTTGTTTCAACGTTTCTTTGATACCGCATGGTAACGGCACGTAATCAGATGGTTTTAGCATTAGTTCGCGCATATGCAATGATACCCCTGTGAGGGAATATTTGAGTCCTTGAATCATGGTCCTAGACCTCTGCTACTTGGATATCGTAAACCTATCATGCTTCACAATGACAGCTATAATACAATCCCGCCCTTGTCCGACGTATGAACAGTGTATGTTGAGCCCCCTTCGAAATATATTTACTCTCCAAAGAGACGTCGCACCCTTCTTAGCACGCTGTCCTTCTCAGGGTCATACGGATGTTCTTTGCTGGGGATTTCGAGTATGGTAGGAAAGGCAGATGTGTAGGTATCAATTCGATATCTGATCTTGTCGGCGATATGCTGGTTAATCAATACGATACCGATGTCTTTACGCTCTGTCGTAAATGACTCAAAGGCAGCTTCGATAGCTGATGTCTCTGTCTTGTTGTCGACAACTAGGAAGTTCTTCTGGGAGTCCGGAGGGTTCGTGACATGCTAATAATATTTGTCAACAAATACTCGACTTGGAGCAAATTAAAGGTATATTGACTAAACAGGGAGTAGAGATAAAAAGCTTACACCTATTCCTGCTAATAGCAAGCCTGTGACTGAGTCCTAGTCATTCCCATAATTAGTATTCTGGATATCTTTGAACCTATGCGAGGACTGTGCACACCTCGTCTCCAATTACAGCTAAGAACTGTCTGTCCTTGTAGTCCGCATGAGACGCCATTGTTACGAGTCAATTAGAGTTAGGCAGCGAGGACGTGATCCAGTCGAAATCGTAGGCGCTTTGGTCAATAGGGATAGGTTAGGTAGACTAATGATCTTAAGAGAATATGATGTACAGGCAATAAGGCACAATTGCGACCTTGGAAAGTTAGGTAGAACATTGATGACCGCTAAAAGAGAGCTCTTACCGCCTAAGTTACGGCTGCAACACAGTCCCAAGTGGCCCCCTACCCCGCCATTACTTAGGTACTTCTAGGCACGTATCCGCCTAATCCAGCCAGTTGGCAGCCGCTATTTTATATGTGCCTAGCAGGTAACTATGAGGTAAGCTTGGAGGTAAGCTTGCACGTTGCACATGCAGCACCTTACCCTAGCAGATTTCGATTAATGGATCCGCGTCTTCGCAAAATTTCCATCTACTTTCGCGACGTTCCATTGCCGTGTTTTCTTTCAGGTCAACAAGAATTACCCTGTCTAAAGGCGAAACAACCAAGCAACAAAGGCTCAAAGACAAATCACCTCTTAGTCGCTGCTTATTATTACAACTTCAACTAAACCACACATGCGAGCTTCGGAGGTATTCTGCTGTTATTCCCCTTTTTTCCAAGTCGACTACAGAACACGATGCCGCCGCGACTAGTGCGTCGGAGACCGCTCGCCGAGCGTGTCAAGGCGATGCTGAACCCTATGGATTTCCTCCTGTGGCTATCCGAAGAAATCGAGACGCGCGACTGGAACTCCAAGCTTGTCGGCACTCAGATGGGCGTGGCTATGAACTTCGCTTTCCTGCTCGCCAGGGCCAATAGTGGTGGTTCTCACGCTGTAGATCCTGTATTCGAAGATGGTTCAGTGTCTGGTTGGTTTACCTTCTTTGTAAGTTCTTAGATCCATTAGTAGCTTCGAGCTGGATTTGATTACTAACCACGTTTTTCATGGCTGCATCGTAGGTCGGCACTATGATCTGGTCATTGGCTGGCTTCTCGGCCGTTAATGCGACCTACACCATGTATCGATCCCGTCACTACCGACTATTCGAAGCGGATGTGGAGAAGGAGCCTGAAACCCCTTCAGCGCATCGCGTTCGCGTCCAGTCCTCCCCCGTATCATCATCGCCTTTACGATTCTTGACGGGTATGATGGGCTCAGAGAGTGCCGAGTCGCGAGCGCATCCCGATCGAAACCGAGACGTGTGGGAGGTGTCGGTTTGGGACCCGCTGCCGATTTGTCTGCAAATATTCTGCTTATTTAGTCCTGGCCACGTTTTGGTCTACACGATGTTTCTACCACTGGCCCCTTTGGATACGAGGCCAAGCATTACCGTTTTGAATTGCATCGTATTGCAACTCATCCTATCAGGGCAGCTACTCCTATTTCAGAACAGATTTACTCAGCAAAACAAGGACACGGCTATCATCCAAAAACAAGTTATGCACGAGTACGATACCAAATTTGTCCATCCCAATCTATATCCCACGGTCAGGGATGCAGCAACGCAAATATCGCAGAATGACGATGGTGACGATCTCGATGAGGATATACAAGTTGGCATGCCTACTGTTCAGCTTCGACGAGGCTTCCGAACGCGACCGAACCCCAACTATGTCAAGCATATTGATCCAGATCGTAGCAGTGGCTTTTCCAATAGTAGTTCCGGACTATTCACCCCTCCTGTATCAAAGAGATATACCGACAGTCTAGGAAGTGATATTAGAGGTCGCACTCCTTTAGCTGCTGCCAAGCCTCCTCATCGGAGAGGCACATCGGGTCTCTCTACATCATTTAACCCAAATTCATCCCAATTAGGAACTTCTACGAACTACACCTCTGCTCTTTCCTCTTCTACCAACACCGGTAACCACGGAGGCGATGGAGGATATATGGGCGTATATACCCACCCACAATCACCCCTGAAGAAGGCCCCTAGTTTAGGCGAGCTTCAGTTTAGATCACCGCGTAATAACAGCGAGATGGCTCAACTCGAGCAATACCAATCGGCAAGAGATCGTAGCGTCAGTCCTATGAAGAGTATTAGGAAAAGCACTGGGGCTACGAACTCTCAACCGGGTACTTGGGGACGAGCTCAACCATCATACGAGAGATATCCCTCCATGTGGCGATAGAAGAAGAAGGTCTGTGATATTTGAGGGTTATGCATCAACATTAGGGGCAGGTTAGGGGAGTATGGGATAGGCGTCTACTGTATTACACTGCTTACATTAAGGACTTTTTCTACATTCACCAGCATTTGTACGAATACGAGCTGCATCTACAGAGAACTGAATAAAATAGCGGCAGCACTATTGTAATGGCCGTTGACGTAACCCCCTTTTCTGATTAACTTTCTTCAGTTGATTGTGTCCCCCTTTAAGTTGGGATTAGAGCCTAAATGCTTGTGCTTTCTATACTATTGACCTCGGACGAGTGCCGATATCCCTTATCCGTTAAACCTAAGCCGCACATTCCCCAACGTCTTGGCCCGATACTTCCTAACTTTGATTTGTCTATTCACCTAAACAGTCTCTGGTAGTTGCGTGTCGGCATTGTCTGATCTCATAGGTGAGGGAAAACATGAACGGTGTTTCTTTAGCTCCGTTTCACGTCTGTTCCCTCTCCTCTCAGGCGAGTAGCCACGATTCTCTCTGTCGTCTGGGTCTAGAAGGACCACCAGAATGGCAACTTCAAGACGTGGCCGGTCTTCATCGTTATTATCGTCATCATCATCCCCACGTAGTTTAAGCTCGGATTGGCTTTTCGTTTCTTCCGCGAGCCAGAGCCAAACACCACCGCCGATCCGGCAGCGTACGTCAAGAAAGATGAGCCCCGCGAAGTCATCCGTTGCCAACGCCGAGCAGCTGTCGTCCCAAAAGAAGGCATCCTCGCTCGCAGGCTTCTTCAGCAAGATCCTACCGAGTAACCGTCCAGAACAAGGAGGCACCCGCCGCACGGACTGGACGGGTGATAACGACAATGCGGTAAGGACGAGTCGTAGCGAGCTAACCGGTTGGAACCTTGCCAAAGACAAGCTCTCCGCACACCATACGTCAACAAGCGGACCAGAAGAACCCGGTCACCGCCGAGTCTGGAGCTGGAGCCCGAAAAAGGGAGACTCCAGGTTCGTTGAGAACTTACCAAGGGACCGATCCCGTGGGCGTGGACAAGTGCCGGAAGTTTCAGATCATGAACCTCAGCCGCCTCGAAAGTCGGAAGCGTTGACAAGGACCGAAGTACACGAGCTCCTCCATTCCAAGGAAGAAACCAGGAAAAGTCGACGGAGCCTAAAGGAGAGTGGGGATTGGTTAGGAGTACAAGGTGCTGATCCATACTCGGGACAGTTCTCAATCCTTACACCTACAGATACTCTTAGCTCTGAGACGACTAGCACGTCGACACGTGCGAAGCTAGCCGGGTTGGCGCGGAAGAAGAAAGCCGCGAGGTTAGAATACGAGCAGCTCAGGCTATTAGAGGAGCAAGAAAAGGATAAGGCTAGGCTGGACAGGGAGCAGGCGAAACTCAACAAAATCGAACGCGTGAAGGAAGAGCTTAGACGTCAGCACCAATTCGCCAGATGGAGCCAGCATAAGCGCAACTGGTCTTCCGCCGCCGAACCCAACCTCAGTCCGATTGCTCAGTCCCTAGATAGTGTGGCGCTTGGAAGCAGTGAGACATCCAGTTTGCTGTTTTCGGAGCTGCCCACTGACTCTTTCCTATCAGATCCCGAGGATATCACATCAGGTATTCCAAATTTCTCTCGCCCTAATCGTCCGCCAGTATCAAAGATTACTTTACCAGACCAAGCCGAACGGCTTAGTTACGATAGCACACAGCCTCAGGGGCGTAGGCGACTTAATCAATCTACCGACACTATTATTCATAACTCACCAGATGTTAATTTCGAACCGACATATCTCACAAGGCCAGCCACCCAGCCGTCAGGGATACATCTTGACACTGAGCAGCCGGACATCGGGCGGACGAAAAGTGAGAGGCATTTTTTATGGAGGCGCCGGCGGGGGACAGATCCGGGAAAATTAAGTACAGCCCACCAAGGGGGGATGGTGGTGTCCATGGTAGCCCAGAATTTGACGTCGAATTCGATCGAGCACATTCACAAGGATCACTTCGCCGACCTAACGATCCCGGATTATCGTCTCCATCTCCTATCACCGGAACCAGTAGACACGGCCGACAGCCAGTCGACGTTTTCAGAAGACTCGCCGTTGACGACGCCCAATCCAAGTTCTTTGGGAATGAACAAGATGGCATTTTCCTCGACCACAAATTTAGTATACTCACAGGGGAACAGGAGAAGCAGCCAAAGCACAAATACAGCTCCAGTGATCTCATCATCTTCGAAGCTGAAAAGCATAATGAGACGACCCTCAATCCGGCGCAAACTAGTTCCAGGCCTATTAGCTACCAAGGACACAGAGAAACACCGTATGTCACCTCCGACTTTCGACGAACTTCAAGATCGCACGGTCAACAATTTACCAGCAGACGCTCCCGTGTGCCAGAGCCAACCTTCACAGCCGAGCCAGCAAGGAAGAACCAGCTTAGAGAAAGCAAACAGGATACTACACCGCACGGAAAACCACCTCAAGCGAGCCCGGAGAGAATCTGTGTCCACACCCACCACCACCATTACTGGCTGCGTTCCCGCTCAGCAGAGCCAACCCGATGCCCCGCAGCCAAAACGACGTGTCGAAGTCAGCCAGGTAGACGGCACAACAAACATTATCAACAGCCCGGCGACTCCGGCGTCCTTGCATCAACACGACCCTTGCATGACACCAGACTTAATACCAGAGGAGCGTAGGACACCTTCCCTTCCCACAGCGCCACAGAACAGCTTGCTGAATCCCAAGCGCGCCCAAGAGATACCAGGGACCGGTATTTCGTCAACCCGCCGTGTGACGCCAGAAAAGAAACAGCCAACCAGAGTTTCCACACCAACGACTCCAAAGCTTTGCCGTCTTCCCCAAAAGAATGGCGCAATGAACCAAAGGGACATATCAGAGGACGGGGATGCAGCCGAGAGGGCAGAAACGACCAAGACAGAAAAGGCCGAGCACCCAGAGACCAAGAAGACAATTCGACAAGAACGAGCCGAGAGAGTCAACCGAGAGAGTCGCAGCGCAAGTATGACTCGAACGCCAACAATAATTTCACGAGAAGTACATCAGCGCCTGTCATACGAGGGACCAAAGGAGAGCATAGTAGAAGAGGCGGCACGAATTGCCATGTTGCGTTCAAGGGCCAAAGAAATAGTGAGAAGCAGGTCGAGCGACCGCAAAATAAGCCGCAACCGGAGCCGAACTCCCAGTCCGGTAAGAAAACAAGTCTCCAACGGCAAACCGGCGGAGCCGAAGCGGTCGCTTCAAAAACGGCCGAGGAAGAAACGCCACGGCGAAGAAGGCGTAGACACCGAGCTTCCTTCCAAGTCTGAACAGATCGAGACGGATAAGAGCATTAATAAAGCACAGCATAAGAAAGGGGCTACAGAAGGATTTGCTAGCAAACGAGATCCATCCGTAACGGTGGTACAATTCTGCAAGACAGTCTACATAGTATTTCTAGGTCTAACATGTACTTGGTGGGCCATAGTGCGACCGGCTTTCAATCCGCAAAGCGATCTGTGGAGGAGGAGGCACAGGAAGGAGAGTACGTGGAGAGATATCGTCGTTTTCGCGTCGGCAGGATTATTCTGCCTGGCCGGCGCATTGTGCGGTTGGTATATGTCAAGGCTGTTCTGGTGGTTTTTAGAGCAATGACGCCTTAAAGGTTACCACGACTATTTCTGACCAATGGTTGACGATATGGGGATATAGCGTCGCTCTCGGAGAAACGAGACCCTCAAGACCGGGCTGGTAGTAGACTGCGGTATTCGGACATAGGTATGGGGCAGTAGGTTGGTCTAGACGGTTGAGGCTCCGACTAGAGCCGATGGTCCCGACGGAAGCAAAAATTGGAGCTTGTGAGGCTCGACGGCAAACATCGGAGGGTCACCGGTCCGCCAAATCGGGGCTTCTCACATAGACAATGCGTACCACGTAGCAATAGGTACTTAATATGCATTAGCCAAAGGTGCGGTGTATATATACCGCATTCATTAAAGGTAGTTTTATGGAAAATTAGCAATAGCTTCGCGTCCCGATTTCGCTATTTTTGGGGGGGGTTCTTAAAAGACTCGCACGAGACTTATCCGAAGTTTGGAAGAGAGATGCAGGTGTGGTTCGGATAGTGCAGATGGTTGCAGGTAATTCTGCGGTGTAGGAGTGTGTTCTATAATGGGTAACCTTACATGTACCGCTGTACCCCTTACCATCTCACAGAAAGAGCGGAGCGTGGGTGATCTGCCAGGGATCTTGTACCACCTACCTACGAAGTTATAGATTTTATTAGGGCAATTTCATTGGACTAGCTGAAGACCTAGAGCTACCGAGGTGACATCATAAGTATCTCACCTCTCATCCCCGAGTGGAGGCAATTGGGAAATCTTGCTGTGAGTGTCCGAATCGTGTTACCCATAACCCTGATTGATTAAGTATTTGCCGCCCTTGCCTTGAGAATGTTTTTTACTCCTTTCTCTGTAATGAATACGAGAGTACATAGTGTTGGATAGAGAATTGGAGAATTATATGCCGCCTGGTGAAAAAGTGTTCCTAGGTCCGATATGGGTATCTGTCTGCATGCAATCATCAGCGTACTTTTGCAGTTTACTCGCACCAAAGGCCCCTCACGTGGGGTAGCGGGGTGTTTCTGGACATGGCATTTCGCTGGCATCTCGCAACTGCCCTTGCACCAACCAATCACCGTTCCACAGATTCAAATCCCATCCTTACCGGTACATACATATGTACCCCGCTACCGGAGAACAGGGTCCTCCTTCCGATGTTCGGCGGATAGCATAGGGCAAGAGAGGAAAAAAAAAGCAAAACAAAAGTAGTGAACATCGTTGTACCTAGGTAGAGCTTTCCTGTGCCGGCGTCGCCGCCCCTTCCTTTGACTTCAACATGTACATTCTTCCCTTCTTTCCTTAATACTTATTTAAAGCCTCTCCCCGCATTTATAGATTTTCAATCGGTCAGCCGCCTGTCTTAGCGATTCTACTCCTTCTTCCCTTACTTTCTCACGACGTAGTTTTTATTTTATCTTCATATCTACTTCCTCTCGTTCAGAGTCTACGTGCGTGCGCCGAGATAAAGCTTCCTCAAGGGGTCACGAAAATAAGGGGAACCGTAATTCAAAGGTCTTTTCAAGATGCCTATCGCCGAAGGTGCTCCGCAGACCTTGTACGACAAGATTCTAGCTGCTCATGTTGTGGATGAGAGGCTTGATGGCACAGTCCTTCTTTATATCGGTATGCGATACCCAATTAGTAATTGCTTGAGAGTCATACTAATTTGCCTTCGTGAAATAGACAGACACCTTGTCCACGAGGTCACTTCACCTGTAAGTGCCACTTCAAACATGCGGGAGCTTATGTTTAGCGTACCAAATCTGACTGGAGCCATAGCAAGCCTTTGAAGGCTTAAAGAATGCAGGACGCCACGTACGACGACCAGACTGCACCCTCGCCACTACAGATCACGTATGTTATTTCATTATAATCTCTCATAAATCACTGGCTAGACAAAGCTGACTTTCAATTTAAGAATGTCCCCACAAAGTCCCGAAAAGGCATCAAGGACCTTGCCACCTTTATCGAACAAGACGACTCTCGCATACAGTGCCTAACTTTGGAGGAGAATGTTAAAGAATTCGGTATCACCTACTTTGGTCTAGGCGACAAACGTCAGGGAATTGTCCATGTCATCGGCCCCGAGCAAGGTTTCACTCTCCCCGGTACCACTTTGGTCTGTGGTGACAGTCACACTTCTACACATGGCGCTTTCGGCTGCTTCGCCATTGGCATTGGTACCAGTGAAGTCGAGCACGTCCTAGCCACCCAGTGCCTCATTACCAAGAGAAGCAAGAACATGCGGATACAAGTCGAAGGTGAGCTGGCACCTGGTGTTAGCTCCAAAGACGTCGTGCTCCACGCTATCGGCTTGGTCGGAACCGCTGGCGGTACTGGCTGTGTCATCGAGTTCTGCGGCTCTGTCATCCGTAGCTTAAGTATGGAGGCTCGTATGTCTATATGCAATATGTCAATCGAGGCTGGTGCTCGAGCTGGCATGGTGGCCCCTGATGATATCACCTTCGAGTATCTTAAGGGCAAGCCTCTGGCTCCTCCTTACGGTACGCCCGAATGGGATCGTGCTATCAAGTATTGGAAAACTCTCCAGTCGGACCCCGGCGCTAAGTATGACGTGGATGTCCAAATCGATGCCAAGGATATCATCCCAACTGTAACCTGGGGTACAAGTCCTGAGGACGTCATTCCCATCACCGGTGTTGTACCCGACCCCGAAACATTTAAGACCGATTCGAAGAAGGCAGCCGGCCGAAGAATGCTCGAATATATGGGTCTCACTGCCGGCACTCCTATGGAAGACATTGTTGTTGACAAGGTCTTCATTGGTTCCTGCACAAACTCGCGAATCGAGGATCTCCGAGCTGCTGCACAAGTCGTCAAGGGCAAGAAGAAGGCCGATAATGTCAAGCGTGCTATGATTGTGCCTGGTTCCGGAGTCATCAAAGACCAAGCTGAAGCTGAGGGTCTTGATAAGATCTTCCTCGATGCCGGGTTTGAATGGAGAGAAGCAGGTTGCAGTATGTGCCTTGGCATGAACCCCGACATTCTATCGCCTAAGGAACGATGTGCAAGCACAAGCAACCGAAACTTCGAGGGTAGACAAGGTGCCCAGGGTAGGACACATTTGATGTCCCCGGTCATGGCGGCTGCGGCTGCCATTGTTGGTAAGCTTGCCGACGTCCGAAAGTTGACCGAGTACAAGGCCAGCCCCCATATTGAAGCTTACAAATTAAACCCTGCAACATCGTTTGGTAAGGCCCACGTCGATGAGAGTATTGAGGATGACGACGCCGCCAAAGAAAGACTTACTGATCAGCCTGAGGATGTTTCGCCGCATGTTAACACCACTGCTACGGAAGCTGCCGGCTCCCAGGGTCTACCGAAATTCACTGTCCACAGGGGAATTGCTGCCCCCCTAGACCGAGCTAATGTTGATACCGACGCCATCATCCCCAAGCAGTTCCTCAAGACTATCAAGCGAACCGGTCTCGGTACTGCTCTATTCTATGATTCAAGATTCCACGAGGATGGCACGCCTAATCCTGATTTCGTTCTTAACCAAGAGCCATGGACGAATGCCAAAGTCTTGGTCTGCACAGGGCCTAACTTCGGATGTGGTAGCTCAAGAGAACACGCTCCCTGGGCCTTGAACGATTTCGGTATCCGATGTATCATTGCTCCGTCATTCGCCGACATCTTCTTCAACAACACCTTCAAGAACGGCATGTTACCCATCGCCATCAAGAACCAGGCCGACCTCGACAAGATTGCCGCGGAAGCCCGTGCTGGTAAGGAGATCGAAGTTGATCTTCCCAACCAAGTCATCCGCGACGCTGCCGGCAACGAGCTCTGCGGATTCGAGGTCGAGGAGTTCCGCAAGCACTGCTTGGTTAACGGCCTCGATGATATCGGCCTAACCCTCCAGCTTGAGGACAAGATTGTTAACTACGAGAAGGAGGCCTCGGTCAGGACTCCCTGGGTCGACGGCACAGGATACCTGAAGAGGAAAGGACGCGGCGGCCGATTAGCGGCCAAGCCGGTACCGGTACCTGCGACAAACCGCGGACAGGAACTCAAGGACCCTATCGACTGGTAAAGGAAACGGAGGGCGCTTTTTTGTTGCGTTGATTTGCATCCACAGGTTCGGCGTTTCGCTGGGAAAATGAATGGTCTTTTAAGAATCGACAATTTTAAATGCAGCACTGGCTTGCGTCGTTGATTTAATTTACTGCGGCTTAGGTTCGACGAGGAATGGAACATTATGGAATGGAATGATGGTAGTGATAGTTACCAGTTACCAGTTACCTTGAGACATCTCGGGTTAGGTTTAGTTATGCCCTTTGCATGAACGAATTCAGTTTCGACGCCCAGGGTTGATGACGATGCGGTGGATTATATAGTCCTAAATAAATGGATTGTCTTTGACAAAAAGAATGTCGTGTTTGCCTTGCTTCATTAAAACATGGAGTGATTAAGGTTACGGTGCTTAGGTATTCATTCTTGTGGTCGTATTAAATGCCTATGCCGAATTTATTCCCGCATACTATTGATCGCTTAAGGTAAGAGAAAGGAACTCAGATACAGTCGGTTGTTTAAGAAGTTACGTTTGGGCGGAGCGAATTAGAGATTGCCACAATTTATTGTGTGTATGTACGCATATACGCCATTAAATACTTCATAGCTGACATTCCCCCCTCCTTAGACTTTTCCCTATTTCATCCCCTTTCTCCTGAATGTTTTCCACTCTGATTGAGAGGATATTTTTATTGGTTTATGGCACCATTATAAATATCTAACTGAGATCATATATCACATAGTTACCGAATAATAAGATACTGCCCCGTTTAAAGGTTATTTATTACATATCACATTACGGCTCTGTACTAGTATAATAAAGACGCGCAATTAGCTTAGGAGATTATGTTCATTCCTTTTCATATCTACATACCTGAAGACTATTACCCTACCTAGGTATTGTTCCGTTGAGAAGACTATCTGAGAGCCAACTGAGAAGCAAGCATAAAACTCTAATATTACAATGCAAAGCTGTGGCTCTGTGCTGAGGCAAACTCCCTTTCCTTAGTGTTTCCGTTCATAACAAAAAGATATAGTTTCACAAGGGGTCTATTTCACTTAGACCTAATATCATATAAGTCGCCCAACTACTCGCTCACACACCACGTAAACACCGTACACCGGCTCTTCTCTAGCACCCGGGTATTAGGCAGTTTCCTGTCCCGCAGACAACCACCGTACATGGCGCCCGTATCATTATTAGACGTAGCGCGCTGGCAAACTACACGTTCCAACCTCGGGGTATCTCGGCCGCGTACTAGGTTCCTGTATGCGTCGTCGCCTTCTTCGCCGTCATCATTTACTTCTAAGACCAGGAGCTCGCGCAGTGAGACCGGTAGCGCGGCTCCTAGGTCCGCGGGCGTCGGGAAGTCGGCGCGGGACAGCGCTAGGAACTGTAGGTTGGTGGTAAGAGAGGATAGGGCGCTGAGGAAGCGGGCGCAGGGGGTTAGTGCTTTGGAGTTGGGATCGGATTGAGGGTCGGTGGCACCGGCTAACCCATCCTCAAACGCCGTCGTGTCGAGATATAAAAACTCCAGGTCCTGGCCGTATAGCTCGAGCGCCTCGGCGAAACATGGCGCTCGCGAGGGCCGTACGTTGCCGGTTCGCATCTTGATGAAGAGAGAGCGCGGGCGGCCGCATGCCGCGAGTAGAGTGGTCAGGCCCGCACCGCTAAGACGGCACGACTCGAGCGTTATGTCGACTGGGCCACGGCTCTGCAGGTGAGTCTTAGCGAGTTCGGGGAAGGGCGGTAAAGGCTGGCTGCCGTCGATGGTAGTATCTCCTAAGTTCCCAAGTTCGAGATGCTGCAGCTTCGGCAGGGCAAGCACATCCAGAGCGTCTGCGAGGCATAGGCCATTAACGTAATCACCTAGCTGGACGTATCGAACGGCGCTAAGCATAGCTTCCCGACCATCTCGCGGCGGATCCTGGAGCTGTGCGTGCGCGCATCGGAGTACCTGTCTTGTCCGCGGCCCGCATCCCCTATCGAGAGCCGGGACCATAAGGACTTCGATGTCGGTGCACAGAATCAGCACGAAGGCGAGTAGCGCATCGCCTACATCATACAGCATCTCGGTGACAATGCCGTCCTTCACATCGTCCGGAACAGCAGACCCAACTCCCGCGAGGGCCTCACGGTATCGCGCGCTCAAGTCCGCCTTGGCAAAAGCCGATTTCCAGTGGGCGTCTTTCCAGGGGCGGGAAGCGACCTCCTTGACGAAGCGGGCGAGGTGCGGCTTCTGCGAAAGCTTCCAGCAGAGATAACATAGGAGATCGGTAGAGCGGTGGAAGTTCCAGGGCGCGTGGGCGGTCCTTGGTCGATAGTTCTGGACGGCGATGTGAACGTACGGGGTCGCGACGCGGTGCCATTTCCAACTGACCCCGCGCAGGCTGAGGATGGTAGACAGGTCGGCCTTGCGGTCCAACTTGTCCATGACGCCCATGAGGATTTCTTCGGGCAAGGACTCCATGTTGGATAGTTCCGAATTAGGGATGCTGCCTAGATTAGGAAAGGAGAGGGACATGGCGGGGTATTATTATCAGGTAGATAGATGAACTTCTATTTGATGCGATAGGAACATTCGATAAGTCATGAGAAGGTCGTCGTAATATATATACCTAATATTAGGTACCTAACCTAAACTATTCCGTCTCACTCGGTCTCACTCGGTCTCACGCACCACAGTGATATAGCTAAACCTAGCCACCTCACTATCGTCTCATAGGGCTAGCCAACCAACCGGGTTTGCAGTGCATTCGCTCAGCTTGTTGCAGATCCGATGCTGACTCATCCGGCTTCTCATCCGGCGGACATAAGAGGATAAACCAATAATAATCGCAGGTTTGGAGCCAAGTAGTGGTTTTAATTGGCTAGGAGAAAGTCCCTTACACGGGGTGGATATTCTGAAGCTTGACCAACATATCGTCGGAAATACGAGGTAGCTCGGCGTAAAAGTCTTCTATCTGTATTTACATAATTTATATAATTTTGTAATGTCCATTTGATCTCAGCTAAAACATAATTTGTGATAGTTATTTCTGTTAATTGTAATGTTTAAAATGGAGATGATAGCAGTTGATTATAGACTAACCAAAGTAATTAAATATAACTAAAGCATTATAACGAATGCTTATATAATATACCTAATACCCAAATTCCTCTGGTGTTAGTTTAGGCGTTAAAATCGGCCCGGGTTACACGAGATGAGTCCATAGGTACCTACCCAAATACCTATACCTACCTTAGGTACCTTAGGTATTGTGCTTAGTATTAGTAAATCGAAAGCCGAATATTATTTCATAAAATTTTATATACGCACGTAGACAATAAACAGCTGCGGGATCACCATTTAATATCTATGTGCGCGCACCATGTTGAATGAAGAGAGCACCTATCCGTATTATCTATTACTACGCTCGCACCGAGTATAGTATTAGAGCCCGCAATTATCTGTATATCATAGTATCGGTATCTTGTCGGTATCATCAACCTGCCATTCCAAGCACGCCTATTTGCCCTGGAGCCGCTCAACGCCACACCGAGACCAAGACCAAGACCGAGACCGAGACCGAGACTGCCTATTACCGACCATCAAACTCATAGCAAAAGCAAAATTCCCATCCCGCCAACGCCCACGTGAGGGCTATTGACCTTCCTTCACTTACATACCCTAAGTTAGTGTGAGTTATCTTCCCGGGTTATACTACGGGGAGATACACGCCTATAGCTTTCTTCTGAAGCTACTGGGTTCTCTACTGTTTGCCATTCGTTTCTTCTTACTCCACCAGGTGGTAGAGACTTGACATGCCATTCCGTGACTCTAGTAATTCCCACTTCTCCAAACCTATCCGACAGGTAACCAAACCCGTAGAAGTAAACGCCAATACGCCAATTATCGTACTGGCGACAAACAACATTGGCCGTAGCCAAATAGACGATAAAATAGTCGATCCCCACGCGTCTATAAACACCTAAGGTGTCGTATGTAGCGCTTCTATCAATAGACTGGCTTGCCGATGCCTTGTATTCTTGCACACTTCGATTGGCCGTCAATAAGGAGACGTCTTGCCGAAATATAAGAAGGTGGGACGAAATGGCGCGGCATTCGTGCGGGATACATCAGGATCGCCAAAATTAGCGTGTATGTACTGCTGTTCGTAAGACCGGCCATACTATTTTACCTGATCTCTGAACATCATGAATTCGCGGATTTTGGCCTGATGATCTGCATGGGCGCTGAGCCACTGTTGACGAACCACCTGATCTTGCTCAAGCTCTGCCAGGTAGTCGCGTGCAGCATCGCTACCCCCCAAAGATGTATCAAGCCACGCTACCCCTCGCTGTTGACGACGGATCTTGAAATTTTCCTGGCGAGTAGTGAAATGAGCCATGATTCTAGCATTAAAGCTTTCCCACTTATCCATATACTGATAGAAGTCTTGTGCATATTTACTGAATTGTACTTGATTCGGACGGATCCCCGCTGTAAGTACAGCCTGGGGAAGCCGTGGAGCAACTGGCGGAGCTGGGAACTCGAGTGTTGTAGGCTTGGGCGGATGGTCCTTGTCAAGGGGGATGTGCTCCGAAGGCTTACTCTGAAAGGGCAATGTAGTCTTCAGATCCCCGAAATCCCCAAGACCCCTAGGAGCTGGATCGACAAATGGTTCTACTTTCTTGAAGTCTGAGAATGTAGTACAGAACTCATCGGTATCTTCTGATCCACCATGCTGGGCGACAAAGGGGTGCGCTGCAGGAATGGAAGCTGCCTCAGGAGCAGAGGTTTGGGCGAAATTTCCCTTTGCAGAATTGTCGTCTCGCGTCGGACTTGTAGACTTGGCACGCATATCGTTGACGTTACCTGCCCTCCATTCTTCTCTGTGAGGCTCAACGGGTATTTTGCGTGCACCATTCATCTGGGACACCTTAGGCGTGTCGTTGGACTTCTCCGACGGGGGTGAGTCAATATCCATAGCGGTTGCAGTATCCACGTTAGCCGGCGCAGATCCAGAAGATTGGTGAACTTCTTGCCATCCCTCACTCTCCTCCTCGTCTACTAGTCCGGCCGTTCCTGCCGTCATTTTAACAGGTTTGGATTTCTTCAGATTCGCGCGGCGAGATGGAGAGCTAGAGGTACTACGTGGTGGCTGTGGCTCGAAATGTCGGGTTTCTATCTTATCACTCCAGTCCCAAGGTGAAAACCCAAGTCCTACTCCATTTGCTACACCACCATTTTGCGTCGATGGAACGCTATCCGTCTCTGTATGTCTGGATCTGGGCACTTGTCGTCGACCTCCACGGCTGCGCGAATGGGTTGGTACCCTAGTTGGTGTTTGGGGATCACTTGCCGAGGCTGTACCGGCACTGAACTTCCAATCCTCGGGCAGCTCATCATCAACAAACCTAGTATTAATGCTGTCGGCGCTATTTCTGGTGAGTCCAGCACCCTGGCTGTGTATGTCGCTTCCGGTCGGGAAAGTGAAGCTAGAAGAGTATTTTTGGTCAGTATTGAGTCTGGTCCTCTTGGTAGGAGATATGTAATCTTCAACTTCATCATTGACTTCGGATGAAAAGGTACCAGATTTTCGGCTATAATTCGATCGATTATTGATGAGACTGTCAACAGCGATTCTCTGCTTCTCCTCGACAGGGAGTAGGTAGGGATTCTGCTTAAGTTTAATCCCTCCACTCGAAGGGTTGTGAACCTGGGGGGCAGGATAATAACGGCTCGCATTAATAGGATCAAACAAATGACCACTTATGTGGTCGTTTGTCTGTCTGGTATAGTGGTGCTGGGGATTGGATGAGCTGGAAGGACTGGGAAATAGTGGTGCATACACTGAAGGACCGTTGGTAGTCTGGGTAGAGCTAGGACCTGCTGCAAATACGGAATTAGTCTCAAAACCAAGAATGACACCATAATCTAAGTCGGCAACATACATTTACTAGCATTGGTTGTCGGTGGGGTTTCGGCAGTTCCTGGTCGGGGCGGTGGATAGACACCGTTAGCCTCGGCCGATTGCTTATATCTATCGTTGAATCGCGACTGGAAGGTACTATTACCACTAGGAACCTGTTGATTAGTTGATGGCTTAGTGCCCTTGCCAACCTTTCTTGAATCCTCAGATCCCCCGTCGTTACTAGAACTTCGCGGCGTGCTAGAACTTCGAGTACGAGATTGGGGGAACGCTCCAGGCATCTCTGCTTTTCGAGGTGATCGCGTGCTCGTAGTTCGTCCTATTCCTGGCACGTCGTCAAATAAACTTGTCTTCTCCCCGCCAGGAGAATGGTAAGGCATGCTCTGCCGCTCGTCCCATACTTTCTCCCTAAATTGAGCAAGTGGGTCTGCCGTAGTGGACGTGCGAGAATCAGCTGGTGTCGTATCGAATGGCACTTCGGTGAACATGGTTGGATGTGTACGAGTTGTAAAGTAATTCTTGTTCGTGACGGGAGGCTCGTCTGCTTGTCCAGGGGAGCGCGGTATAAAGCCTGTCCGCCTACTGCCAAACGATGCCTGGGCCTTCTGTTGTTGATATGCAGTTCTAGGCGGGACGGGTTCCGGGTCAGCCGGTTTTGTATTACGTGCTGCTGATGTTGGGGCTCGACCAGGAGTTTGGGGAGGCGCTCTTCGGGAGGCGTTTGGCCTCATATTTTCCCAGGCATCAGCATAACTCTTGCGAGATTGGGGGTCATCTCGAGGGGTAGCTTTAGCCGCTCGAGGCATATTCGTAGTGAAGCTCGTATAACGCTGGGCTCCCGAATGAGCTCTAGTAGGAGACCTCTGCGTCGTATGTCTCGTCGGTGGTGGCGGATACTGCTTGGCAATATCTTGCCATGGATTACCCCGAACACCAGATCCTCTAGGGTTGCGTATGGAATACGTCCTGCGAGCATCGTCATATTGCCTTCTCAAGGTCTCATCGCTTAGTATTTCGTGGGCAGACTGGATAGTTTGGAACTTCGGATTCACTTCAGCTTCTCTTCCTGGGTTGCGATCTGGGTGGTATTTGAGCGCTAGACATGTAGGAGTTAGCTAGGGGTGGATAGTAAAGATACTGTGAGGAGGCTCGGACGAGACTTACCCAGTTTCTTGAATTGCTTTTTGACCTCTTCGGTAGAAGCACTCGCGGACAGTTCTAAGTCCGCGTAATAATCGCGGGTTTTGTCCCACTTCGGCATTATGACAGCTCTAGGAGAAAAGTCTAGAGCAAGTAGAAGTGGTATGCGACATGCGATAGGGTAATAAAATCTTCTGCTTTATCATTCCAAAGCGAAAGGCTGTTAATTTGTGTAAGGACGAAGGAGTAATTGGGTGGCAGGTATGTGAGAAATTGAGTTAAGGGAGCTGATTTGGTAATTTGTTTTCGGTGACGATACCAGGACTGGAATGGAAAATTTGGAGTATAAAAGCGTAGGTAACCAAGGAGCGCAGCCCGATTTGTTTTTTTATCGCGATACGAGTGACAGGCACCAGCGGGGGGAAGAGGCTAGAGCTTATGGGATATGCTGAAGCCTCAGCCGGTAGAAATTTCCAAATAATTCTTAGAGAAAATAAGCTTGCAAATACGCGGCTTGACAAGGTGAATAAAATAAATAGAAGTTGTAGATTATTACAGTCGTGTTCGCGTGTACCAATACACCACCTAACCGTTCTGCCGTTGTAACGGGCTGACTGGGTAACTAGGTGACGGGGGTGGGGTGGATGATGGATGATGGATGATGGATGGGCATGCACAATAAGTGTATTAAGGTTTAAGGTGATCAAAGGTAACAGCGGTGCCCTGAACGATACCCTGAACGATACCTAGTATTCTGCAGGAAGGTGGGATAGTGGAGTTTAGTGGGACTTGGCGGGTGGAGAATGGAAAGAGATTATTGAGATTATACTACCTAAGGTACCTAGGTAGGTAGGTACCTAGGTATGTATGTAAATAAAACGAGGGAAACGAAATACTTGAAGTTATCTCCTAATCTACCTCGCTAATCTTTTTCAAGATCTCAGTGTTATTTGTATATTTTTTAGTTTTTAGAGATACATGTCTAATCATAGCGTTAGTAAGGGGTCAAGAGGGTAGATCAACCGACTTAAATATGCATTATGGAAGCTGACGATGATAAAAATCTCGTGAATGGCAAAACCCTTGTCGAGATGAAATGGTCCGTGTGATGTAGCATAACCTAATGCATGTCATCCACATAGTGCAGGTGAGCGACTCCGTCCACGATGCTTCTACATACACTAGTTGGCTGATGGTGTTTCTATATATGTGCTACCAAGGTACCTAGGTAGGTATCTATCCTAATATACGTGTACTTACATCTATGAGGCATGCATGTGTGTAATGAATGTATTAGTAAAAATCTAGTTTTTACTACATGTAAGTACTGTATTGTAAGTGGCGTTTTAAAACACAAATGCCCCAAGAAAGCTGAGCAGCTTGAAAATGACGTCAACTTTTATAGACGTGCATACCTAAACTACTACTACCCTTTTATATTCTCCGTACAAATCGGGGAATATGTTTATTTGTTATACAGATCTTGTATAACACGCGGCTATGTGTTTGAACTCGACAGTGTCTCTATCGGCTTGATACTGCAATAGATATCGTATCGATATGTAGACCTCGAAGCTGATTACCCAAAGTAGCAGCACTGGTAACAGGTAGTCTTAGTTGCTTAGGAGGTAGGTAGGTACCTAGCTTCCCGAAGGACCGGCTCCTTACATGTACTGCATGTCTTTCATAAAACCCCGTCAATTACCGTCTCGCCCCCCCCTTCCCCCCCGTAGATCTCCCCAATGAAACATCAGTCGTCATGACGCATTAAACCACGTTTTCCCCCGTAAGAGAAGACACACATGTTACAATTATCAAGTTACCATCGAAATATTATGAAGTATCAAAGGCCATCTTCATTCGAGGCTTAGTTATATTTCCCTATGTTAAGATCAGGCCAAGCCAACCCTATCTGCGTTTTAAGTTCTCATATGTCCATGAGCCTTAATGATCTTTCCATAATACCGTAAACGCCAAAACCCTCAGCCAAGCCAATAGAATATCATGATCAAGGTAGACCAACAACACCTGTTTGATGCAATAATTCCCGCTAAAACTAGTTCCCGTAACCCCTCCGTGAGGTCTAGTAGTAGCCGGCCTTCTTAATTTCTATACCATATCTCGGCTCATTTCATAGCTCCATCCACCATCCCGTCTTATCTTGTCCCGTGCCGCAAGATCCTTTCGAATATCTTCCTCTGTTAGCCTATCAGAGCCGCTCCAGTTGGCGCTCGAGGTTCGAGCGCGGAACTTATGGAATCGATCCTTGCTCTTGGCGAATACTTCCTCCATATTCAAGGGCCCTGGCGCTCCGAAAACTTGGAAAGGATCTTTGGACTCCTGCTCCACAAGCGCCTGCCGGAGGTTTGGTGAGTCGGCCCAAGATGCAACCATGTCCTTTCCACCGTCATCATCTTCATCATCTTCATCGTCCGTGTTAATCTCTGGCAAGTCAATCAATTCGCCATTCTGGAATCGTGGAGAAGACCTCGTCGTAGATTTGGCGACGGACTTGGCGGTCATGACTCCCTGAGGTCGCGCAGGTGTCTTGTAAGATGATCCAGCCGCGTTTGGATTGGGCGCAAAGGGGATAGGAGCCTTGGACACCTGAGCCATGTCTAAGGGGTGTGCAGTCTTAACTTGGCTGTTGTGCTGGTTTGTTACAGTAGTCTTGAATAGGTCCCTGTTATTCAACGGCACATTCGTATATCCAGATGTAAACATCGACTTAGTCGGCATATCCTAATAATCATTAGCCTCCTATCCATATATCTTGTTAAATAATAAATTACCTTTTTATAGCCACCCGATGGGCGCACAGGCGCCCCTTTTAAGCTCGGCTGCTTCTCTGTCTCAACATCGTCATCAAACTCGTCAGTCATGCGCATTCGCTTTGACTCTTTTGACTGATAACCCGTAGTGGTACGGGTAGGAGCTTGGCGGGCGTTGTCGTCTTTATAATCCTGCTGTAATGGCCGTTTTGTAGGTGCCTTGGATGCATTCGACAATACCGCGTTGACTGGACGCCCAAGATCCTCTTGGGAACGCTGCAGATTCGAGGCTAAGCGGGAGGGCGGACGGGGAATAGAAGCTTCGGCACGACTATAATCTGGGGGGCCGTTTGGCTGGCTTCTAGCCGCCGGCGGGGGAGCTCTAGTTTGCTTCGCCCTTTCGAGCATTGCCTGCCTCTGTGCATTCTTCTTAGCCTCTGCAGTCTGCTTTCGCTCTTCCTCCTTCTGCCGCTCAGTTTCTGCCTTTCTTTGCTGCTCTTGGCGCCTCTCCTCTTCCTGCATGGCAGCTCTCTTGCGCTCCAATTCAGCCTTTGCGTCACGTTTGCGTTGCGCCTCGCGTTCTTCCTGCTCTTTCCTTCTAGCCGCCGCTTCAAGTGCTTTTGGCCGGCCCGAAGATGACGTTGAGCTCTTAAGACTCTGCAACGACTGCTTGTGTAGGGGAAGCTGGTTGGATTTATTTTTGCCTTGAGATTGGGAAAGTGTCTCCTGAAGGCTTGATGACAGAGAACTGTTGGAAGGATGGTATTGAGAATGTTGCGAACCCATATTTACGCGAATTACGGTGGGCGCCTGTTTCGGTTTGGCCACTGGTTCTTTTCCAGGCCTGATAGGTCGTTTAATCTCTCGACCCTTGGTAGCCGAAGGAGGTGCAATAGATCGAGGAGCCGATGGCGGTGGCATTGGGTTGGGTGCGTCAACCATGTCAACATCATCTACCTGCTTCTCATCAGAAGAACTGCTAGCCGCTAGTTTCTCTTCGGTAGCAGGTTGTGTCTTAGTCTTTCGCGGACTAGGTCGAACTGATTTCGATGTATTGCCTGGAGTTTGCATAACTGTTTTCTTCTCCTGCTCCTTCTGGGCAGCAACCTGTTTCTCCATTGCGGCAACTCTTTCTTGCTCTTGGCTGAATACGTGAGCTTTCTCGCGCTCCTTCTCGCGAGCTTTCTCGAGCTTTTCCATTTGCTCAGCCATCCGTCGAGCTTCTTTCGCTTCCTTTTCCTTACGCTTCTCCTCAGCCCTTTCCCGCTCTATTGAAGCCCTCGTTCTTCGAGCCTCCAACCGTGCCGGACTACCTACGCTTTCAAGAGTCTGAGTATCCACAGCAAGACGAGATAGATCTGGGTAGAGAGGCTGCACATCCTTTCCTTTAGGAGAAGCAAGTGTATCAGTAGACGGAAATATATGAAGGCCTAATCTAGTGCTAGAAGGTGACAAGAGCGAAGTTTTCCCCTCGGCACTAATAGCGGCGCTACTAGCTAGCAAGCCCTTGGAACCTTTGAGAATCGACGACAGCTTGTTCTTGACCTGTTTTAGGGGACTGTCTTTAAAACCTCGTGATGGTGACTTCGTAGGTGTAGTAGGCCTATCCGTTTCATGGACAGTGGCAAGGGGTGGGTTGGACGCAGACGTAGTCTTTGTAAGGCTATCTCCATCAATCTTCGAAGCTTCTTGAAGCGGCAACAAGGGGACCGATGCGGACTTATGATGGCCAAAAGTATTAGTCGCCCGTTCCCCAGTTGGAGGGCGCTCGGGAGACTTGGTTTGGTCCTGACAAGTCGTCGGCAATGCAAAATCGCTACCGCTCACGGTATCTTTACCAGACACACCCTCCATTACGTCGGCAGTGTAACTTTTAGCCAGTCCAGGCCGAGGACTACGGAAGTCGGACGCATTCTCAGGCGAACCAAGAGGTCCAATCCAGTCATCTTCGTCGTCTTCGTCCGGAAAGGCACCTGGAGTTGTAGTCTTTTTGGGTGAGGGCAACGGCTTTGCCTGAGACAAAGACTGGGGGATGGGAACTGCAACTGTTGTTGGCTGAGCGACAGAAGGATCCGGAATTGACTTGGAACTTCTGGAAGTCTGTGTTTGCGCTTGGCCTAATTTACTGATTTGGTCCTGAAGGCGTTGCGTATAAGTCTTGTTATGCGCGACTGTATTATCCGGTACCGATTGTCGTTGAGGCTCTTGGGTAGATAGGTCCTCATCCATGTCCATATCATCATTTTCATCATCTGTAAGATCATGTCTTGTGTGTCCCAGACTCTTTCCTCCAGTATGTCGGTTGTAGTAACTTGTTCGATTCTGCTCCAAGTGGCTAGTCCTTGATACCCGGTTGCCTATGCTTTTATGCGTAATAGGCTCTCTTGCAGGCAAAGAAGCAAAATTGAGACTACTTTTCCGAACAATAGGTCGAATAGGGCTTGAGCTATCAGAAGATGATCTCGACGGCTCCTCCTCAGGTACCGTTTCCATTGCATCTACTTCCAAGATATTATCTTCAACTTCGGCGCCGAATACGCTAACAACGGCTGAATGCTCTGCGGGTGAGGTTTCTGGCGAGGTAGGTGACCGTAAGGGTGAACCTGCCGGTGTAGTACTCTCCTGAGGACCATCTACTTTATCAGATGAGACTCCTACCGGAACGTGGGCAGTAAAATACTGTGTGTCAAGGTCACCCACGTTCGTATCAACCGTAGGATTTGGCGAGTGAGGAGTTGGACTGTCATGTTCATGGCGGTTGGGAGAAGTATCGAAAGGCACATCGTCGCCCTGCGTGTCCACCTGTGGACTGAAGGGTTGTGTTACCTCATCATCCACTCCAACGTGATCAATATCCATTATGTCCTGAGACTGGCTACCATGATATCCAGAATCCACAACAGAAAACGGCTGGGCTGAGGACGCGTGTTTCGGAGAAGCCGTATGCTTCGAGGGACTCTCTGGCGCAACTGCCTTCAGAGGGGATGGTTGGGGGTCTGCAGGAATTTCAATCTTAGGCGTATTACTTCGATTCATATTGGGTATGATAAAAGGGTTCGGAGCCCCCTTGGGCGTAGCGGAAAAGATGTTAGAGAGGGGCTAAGAAACGTTAGTGCTGATATCACAAAGTCCAGCTCAACGAGACTCACGACACGAGCTTCTCCCGCGTTTATTTTCCGGGCCGTTCGAGGAGTCTTGCCTCGTAATTTTCCTGGGGTTTTAAATATTTCGGCAACGTTGCTACCGTAATAGTTAGCTTCAATAGCTTCCCATGGGAACTTAAGTATCTACGCACATTTGATTTTCGCTAAATATCTCGGCCATATGCTCATTCAACCAGTCGAAGTCGTTTCTAGCGGAGAAAGAGAATTCCTCAACTTCCGACTGTGCAATCTGCAGAGCAGAAGACCTCTCTTCTGAGATCCATGGCGCGGAGCCGACCGGCAGACGCGCCCCTCGTGGCCCAACCATCGCGAATGTGTCGAGAAACGCGTCTATTATAGATCAGGTCGCGTACGATTTTCCAGCAATGCGTAACAAGAAACAATTAAAATAAGCAAGGTTCAATTAAGCATTGTATAAAAGACAGAGACAAAAATGATGTCGTTGGAGGATAAGGAGCGCGAATCGGGGCGCGATTGGTGTCGATTGACGATAGCTAATAGATAGAATTAACAAGGTAAAAAAGAAGGAATTCGCAGATACGTCCAAGTGAAGGTAGGGATTGTGGGCGGCGGTATCGATTGCCGGCAGATCATTGGTCACAAGCGAAGTGGGTGTAAACATAGGAGCTTGGACCATTAGTGCATTAGTGGGTTACACCGCGGGGAACTTTTCAATTCTTTCAAGGTACCTAACACTCTATTCTTAGGAATTTCAATTCATATTCCACCCTATCAAAATACTATATACCTAGATCTATCATATATCGGTATATTTAGGTAAATTCTTAAAACAGCCAGACAGAAATATTATATACAAATCAAATAAATAATAATAATAATAATAATAATATCAATAACATGACAAGACAGCACCTTACGCTGTATATAAACTAATAGTAAACCACCTAGATACACTATCAATTAAATCAAACCATAAGCCGGCCTATACCTAAATCATCATCATTTTCAATATCGCCATATTCTTTTTTTTCTTCCTCCTCGGGGGAAGGTATATTGTCCCAGTTCGGCATCCCCTCTGACGTCTTAGAACTATACCAACGGCGATCCTTTGTATACTCATTTGCAAACCCACCTCCTTCAACGGCATCTATCTCCTCCCCAACCTTGACCCAGCTCCAGAAATCCAGGTTCGTCTTATCCTTAATCTCCTCACCTCGGAGTGCCTGGTAGTCTCCATATTCCTCCTCATCCTCCTCGACCTCTCCAACCTCGTCCACCACAAACTTAGATCCAGTCGACGGACCATAACCGTACGGGAACCACTTCGTTGCTCGGGCGAAAACAGCGGCTTTCTCGCGCTGTATGTCACCCGGCCAGCGGACGCCCTGTAAAAGTTTAGGATGCCTCGTCTGATTTGTTGGAACGAAGCTCTCCGGGTTACTAGGGAGCCCCCCGAAGTGCTCGTAATTGTCGTGGCCCCAATCGATATGTATCACATATATTGGGAGGATCTGTGCACTATCAAAGACGATGTACTCGAGTCCGCGATTAGAGACATGTGAATCGGCCCCGGGGTAGGCCTGGCTTTGATTCCTCCAATTATCATCTCTATAAACGTCGGCCGAACGGCCCATAATCGTCGCGCATACGAAAAGCTTGATCCCAAAATATTCATTAGGCTTAGTGGCCTGGCATGAGCTACCCGTGTAGCTGAGAGAAAAGTCTGCGTTCGGAGAGCTGTAAATTCCCCTGCCGTACGTCGAGCCACAGCGAATGCCGTGCGCTTCGTTCGTACCCGGGTTCTTCTGTCCAGGTTTGAGGAATCCGTAGCGTACTATAGATGGCACGAGCTGTCGTTGAGTCCCATGGAAGGTCATCGTGGGCTTCACGAGATGATCTATGTACACCTCTTTCCGTTTGCTGTGGTGTAAGCTTGCAGGTACGCAACCGTGAAGTGTTACTATAGAGTATTTTGACAACCGTTCCCTTATTTCTATTTGCTTCTTATAGAATCTACCGGCCAGGTCAGACCTTATAACTTCCTCCACATGGAGAACTCTGTAACAGGAGGGAATCTTGGAACATATTTCCTGGGGCGTTTGCCGTAGGAAATGGTATGCTGTCTCGCTAGATGTCATTATCGGAGTCGCGGGCTTCTCCTCAAATGGGAGAAGATTTGACCTAATACGGCCTTTTGGTTTCTTTGCAAGCCTCTCGCGCCATGACTTCAAATACGTCCTTGTCATATTGGCAAGCTCATAAACTGCCATGGTTGGCTCGAAAGCACCATATGTACTCTCCCCTCGACTGTTCCATCTTGAGATGTTATTAGTAGCTGTAGCACTCTCTATAATCTGTCTCAGTTGTGTGCGAAGCTCAATTATCGATTCTCGCGATAATTCGTAGCTTTCGAGTTTCCAAGTAGCGGACGCAGCTGGATATAGGGGCTCGGGGGTGATGTACAAATTTAGCTCGTCGTACTTAAAGACAAGCTCCTTATCCAAGGGCCTCGTCATTTGCTCGCTCTCGCTTAGGAATCCATCTCTAATAAGTTTATCTACCTCGAAGTCGCGTAAGAGAGACAACTCGACGAGGTCATCTTCGCTCAATTCAGTAGCACCTGACATTGAAACTTTGGAGACGCTCTGTTAAGTGGGCGTTTTTGTATTTAATTCGTTTCCTTAACCTTGAAGGCGCGCAATAATAACCTATAAGGTAATAACAAGGAATATAAATTTCCTGTCAATCGTGGACAAGCCTCTTTGCTCGATTAAATACATTTTTTTCGAGCAAACAACTACACAGGTTAATAGCCGTTTATCATCCCAGCGACAGGGCGAAGCTACTTAACGATGGATCCATTCGTATTGACTCATCACGGCAAGTGGCTCATTGTCAAAATCGGTCGGGCCCAACTCCGCAATTTAACATCATACACGTAGTAAAGATCAACCAACACTCTCTAGGCGGCAATCAGATTTGAAAATTGATCTAGAATAACACTAAATCTAGCACCATTAACATTGGGGTTAAGAGCTGAAGATGAGGCTCTACGCAGTCAACCACTGATATTAATATAGATAAGCAAGATATATGTTAATTGCATGAATTACAAGGCAAAGAATAAAAGCTTATAAAATACCTAAGCCGCGGAAACTAGGTAGGCTAAACATGGGGATAAACACAATAGGCACGATTATGGATATAGTCTTAACTGGAATGCTCAGACTTGGTTCAGTTGGTTCAATATACATAGGGAAACAGAAAACGTGGAGAAATGCAACCATGTAAACGGAGGATCCGCCGAATACAGATGTGGCCGCTGTCCTGAGCATGGTTACCTGGTTCGACGATCATCTTAATCACACGATATGAGCCGGCTATAATGTTTCCCAGATAAGCCATATAGGCACGTCGATTCCCACCAAAACCCCATCTCTCGTCATTGTGAGTAAAATCGAGTCAATTCTAAATACCAATAATGATGTTTTGGGTCTCGTCATTACTCATCGCACTTGGTGCTGTGCCGCTCGCTACTCCATCCTCTCTCGTAAGTCGGCAAATCGACTACGGCTCTCTACACTGCCCTACAGATCCCACATCCACCTTAGTAACACCCACGTACGGCACTAAAGAAGCAATATTTACCATCTGCTCTGAACTCGTGCTTAATACCGGGCCACTGACCGCCTACAATGCGATTCTGGATTTCAAGTCGTATCCACAATGGAATTCGTTTATAATCGACGTAGCTCTCCCGGACAACGTTACGTCAACTCCCGACGATATATACGTTGGCATGGAAATGCAATTCACCTCTAATGGCTTGATCGGCACCCTAAACACCACCAGTACAGAGGTCATCAGCCTGTTTGATCCTTCTGGCGCTGAGGGATATCTCATCAACGCGTGGCACTATGACGATGGCATAGGCGGCGTCGGATCGCGGGCAGAGCATCCCAATATTTTCGTCGATCTAGGAAACGGCTCGACACGGTATCTTTCTTACGAGACTTATTACGTGGGTTTGAGTACAGGCACAATATCTTTACTAAAGCTACAGCTACAGCACCAATGGGATATACAAGCTCGAGACTTAAAGGCATATGTTGAAAGCCTCTGAACTCCAAGAATGTCGTCTGGACCGCGAGGAATACTCACGTATAATTCCCAGCTACCTACCTACAACCAAACTGGCCATTAGGCTTACTTACTATAACTATATTTTTATAAATCATTATTCACTTAGAGAATATCAGTGCAATGGATTTGAAAATCCTATATTGATGAATCAAAGCATGCCTGTCGACTCGGGCATTTGCTACGCCCGTGACTACCAAGCATGAAAGCCATATGTTGCCCGCAATCAACCGTGCCCCTTAGGTTGTGCATTCCGTGAAAACCAACGCCACCCTGTTTGTAGGCTCGTTGCGCCTTGCATACTGCTCAATATCACAGACAACCATCTTTCGTCAGGGATCTTCCCTTCACGGCAGAGCAGTATTACTGGTCTCCAAATCTGCATAATGCAGTGTGAGAGTACGCTATAGGTTGTATCAATAGGTGCATTTTAGGCATCGAAGTGATAATTATGCAGTCACTTACACGCTCCTTTCGCCAGTCTGTTGTGCTCCAGATGATGTAGTAGCCCTCTTCATGCTGGGTGCTGAGAATTCGGGGTTGCATTAGTTCGTCTTTAGTGAGCCAAATTTTCAGCTTCTTGTGCCATCTCCAGGCGCGGTTGTAGCTGGAAAGTGTTAGTATCGCAAGGTCGCCAACATGGTGGAGCGGTATCCTACAGTTCATGAGCAGCAAGATGCTGTTTGATATCTCCAGGACAACTGTAAAAGATCCACATCAAGGTTTCCTCGTTGAAGTTGCTGATCTTGTTTTCTAGAGGCTGTACGTTATTCACGCTGTAGCACTCTGGCAGTCGAAAGTCGGGAATTGCTGGTCGGGGAATGGAATCATTGAAGAGTGAGTATATTTGCGTCGATAGCAGCCTATAATTACGTTAGTAAGAAAAAAAACTCAAAAACAAAAGTGGTGAGAAACCTACTGAGGCGACGTAAAATCTACTCCTAGTGTTGTTGGATCCAAGCCTGTAACAGCTGCATTGTAGTCGGGATAGTTGTTCATAAGGGTGCGAAGACCCTTGATCCCCCACTTATCAATAGGTGCCATACCTGCTAAAGGGTCATGTACTGATGGGGATTGATCATCTTTCTGATCGCCGTTCTTGTTCGAGGATGCGTCGTTACTACCGATGGCACCAATGGCACCAAGCGGATTCAGGACTGCCGAATCTTGTGTAGATGACTGAGAAACCAAGTTGTCCTGGAATCCGGGGGGTTTTTGGCGAGTCTCGTCGTTACCGCCGGTCCCAGTACCTCTGATGTCTTGCGGTCGCGAAGAGCCTGTAGACCTATTAACGTACTGGAATATAGTGACAAAAGAAAAATAAAAGAAATTTGTGGAATCTGCATACCTGTAGCAGTGGATCCATCTGGCGAACGAACATCGGTTGTTCGGTTGTTAGCAGACAGCGCATTAAGCAGGCCATTTCCTGACCTAGGACCCTGGAGGGAACCAGGGGCGGTGCTACCTTGTGCACCAAATCCGAGGGTCGACATTAGATTTGACCCACGTTCTTGACCAATATCGCCGTTGCTGTTTCTGATGCTGTTATTATTCAGAGGCGGAAACTCGTCGATACTGTTAGGTTGAGGCTGTGATGACTGGGCCACGCTATTCTGGTTCCCGAACCGATATTGACCTTGGCTGGAGCTCATCCTTGAAGGCGAAAAAAAATCGTCCTGTTGTGCGTGTTGAGAGGAGAGGGGAGTGGGTTGCTGATTCCTCTGTATTGTACCGGTCATACCTCTTGAGGCTCCTGTTGACCATAAAGAGCTAGCACCTGCGCTTTGTAATTGAGAATTGTTGGAGAGTGACGGAAATTCGCTGCTAGAAAAATTAGCTTCGAAGAGTGAAATATGATTTCACAGCATAAAAGGATTTTAAGTTGGTGTGTGCTCAAGTTTAACATGACAAAAAAAAACCCATGTTTGTTTACCGATTGGTACGGTCTGGAGAAGGGCAGGCTTTGGGCAAGCACTCTTGATCTGTTCGTCCAGCAACAGTAGCATATGATAAGCCCGTATCTGGGACTACCAGGGGCGACGGGGTAGTAGGACGTGGCGTATGGGTCTTAAGTATGAGTCTTGGCTTTCTCGCCTTATGACCTGGCGACAAAGACGCCATGCCGCCTAGTTACGTGAACTAGATGAAGCAACGAACGGGAACGAAGGATATGGACAGTGAGTAAAACGAACAATCGTGCTTATACAACGAAGTTTGGCAGTTGCGTAAAAACAAGTGCATGGTAACGGTGACGGTGACAGTGACAGTGACGGTGAAGCTAGCACGAAATGAAAAATACCTACGAGAGGTCAAGAGGCGTTGCTGGTTGCGAACCGCTTAAACTTTGAGCAAAACTGAGGTTTCCTCCTAGTTGCCTCGACGATGTTTGTAAACCTGCACCCCCCATAGGAACACCACCAAACGCCCATCCGGCTCCGTTATTCGCTTTTATGCGACAGGACATCAGCTTCGGATCTAGCAATTACTAGCACCTTGATCCCGCGATCATACCTAATTTTCCGTTCGGTATCCTATTAGACACTGTTCTACCTGGTTGTTGGGGTTGTTGTTGGCCTCCGAATCCAGTCGGTATCCCACGAAGGGTTTGTGGCACGGCTCCTGAGGACGTTCAGTATTAGCCAAGTGTATGAAGTAATTTTTTGGGGCACGATGAGTGAAATAAAGTGTTCGTTAATTCATGACAAGAGGTATATCTATTTGTTATAGATCTAGGACGCAATAGTTGCTCGTGGTCTCCTCACTCCCCTACACGAGGCTGATATTTCGAGAAGGCTGAGGCCAGGAGAATATAGTGAAAATAATCCTCCTAGGCTTTACCGTCACCCCTGGGGGATCCAATGACCGGGATTATATATTATACGTCTCGAACCGGGAAATATAAAGTTTGTCGAAGAGGATCGGAGAGTGGGTGACGGAGCGCGATAACGATGTGGTCGACATCACAATTCAAAGCAAACAGGCGGGGCACGCGAGGCAGAGGGAGAGAGGGTCGGCACTACCTGTTCGATTCATGGCTACGATGCCACACTGGAGATGTCCTGATGTGAACTCCCTATAAACTTTGACTTTGGAAGATTTAACTCGTCGCGATCGGTGGGGTTTTCGTGGAGGGGAGTAGCTATCCTTAATGATGTTCTATTTGCGAAATGGTGAATGTGGATTCACGAAGCTTTGCGATCGTAGGATGGGAAGTTTTACTGGGGTTGGCTTGTCCTAAGCACAGGCTAAGCCTAAATTAGTTAGTCTACCCATATCGCCTTATCTACACACGGTGTGGATAGGCGTGCAGTTGCCTTACGTAGAGGCAGCATTAGACCGGTGCGCCTTGCCCCCAGCCTGTGCAGCCTCAACCAGCCTCATGAGCCGCGACTTTCTCATTCTTTCCACCAATGCACTATGTAATAATTTAAAGTCCCCCGCACTGCAACTTCCCGACAGCTACGCAAACTACGTCAAATACTTGTGCATGTGCCCTTTCACCTGTAAGGGCACGTCTAGATGGATCCGGTACATTCTAAGGTACATGGTTACCTGGGTACCTAATAGAAAGAGGCAGTGTTTTTAATTGAAAGATGTTCAATCCATTTTATTTTATATACCCTCAAAGACTAGATAGGAGACCATAGTTACCTTAGGTACATAAGCTCTATATTATGACGGCTGAAATTTATAATCCATCTTTATCACCAACAACTATTGATAGACCATAGCATTCATTTATGTAGTTAGTCGTTGCTTAAATACCTATCTAGGTAGGTGATCAATTAGCAGTCAGATAAAGCCTCTAGGACATCATAACGGTATAGCCAGTTTATTCCGAGAAACGCATTGGCTAAACTAGCAGAATACAAAAGTTTTAATGCATGTATTTATGAGGATTGTTAGTTGCCCGTCTTCTTAAACCTGTCGAACTATCATAACCACGTATTCTAACCTAATTGTATCCACGATAGATATTCATAAAGTGTAAATCCTACAGGCAATTGCCCACATGCAACTTGGCCACGAAGACAAATATATCATATTTTATTAATTCTAAAGATATTTAAGGCTAATTTTAGACGGGTTACAAAGCTTGCTTAGGGTAACAATCAGGAGACTGCTTTGTCTGAGTGCCACCTAACGGCAGCGAATTATTATGTATTATCAGGACAATATGTGGCAGCTCAAGCTTGACTAGATTTTTTGTTTCTCCTGCAAACCAGCGCCGTGAGGCTTAATGCCTCCACGGATGTTTGATGGTGACATTCTAGCTCTCTATATCTTGGATTGCGTTCAGTAGGCTTGTCTCAAAGTTGATCCCCTGCACACCCCTTCCAATAAGAACAAGTTTCCCAGCTTGCGGAACTACACCATCTTCATTGGACGCTTGTTCTCCATCGAAAATTTCAAACACCTCCCTAACACCCTGCACCATCTTCACCTTGCCGTCCTTAAAAACTAGACGGGATTTTAGGCGATGGATTTCGATAGGTTCAGTCGAGCTAGTCGGTTCTCCCAGTACTTGGCCTTCCCATAAGAGCAATCTTATCCAGCTATCAACTAGTTCAAGTTGCCCAGGGGCTAAAGGCGGCACATTGATAGAAACCGTGGAAATAGTCTACAGGGTTATTAGCTTAATTCCTAGCCGAGTAAGGGCATTTAACGAACAGGGTCAAGATGGCTGTGTCCCTTTCCTGCAGTATCCAAAGCCTCAACTTGGTCATATGCATGTAAGTCCAGTAAGAAGCCTTCCAGTTGAGGCACAACGCTTTGATTCGTTATATGAATCTTTGCAAGGCCATTAATCGCCTGTATTCGTTCTTCGACATTCTTAAGCTCCGCAGGTTCAACCAGATCTGACTTGTTAATAACGATAACATCTGCATGGGAAATCTGGACATGGGCGGTCGTCATGAGGGGTCCATGGTTATCATGGCCCTCGACTTTCCCTGATGGGTCGTCTAAGCTTCGAAGAATATTCTTCGCATCGACCAGTGTGACGATTCCATCGAGATAGATGGTACTCCCTAAACCGTCGTCGACCCAAAATAAGGGGGCTAAGTTACCAGGATCGGCCAGTCCAGTAGTTTCCAAAAGAATGTAATCAAAGGCACCCTTCCTCTCCATAAGTGACTCAATAGCATTGACTCCGGAGTCCCTACGCTGAGGTTAGAATACTACTTCATTGACTAACGTAGTTGGACGGTACTTCACCGAGCAACAGATGCAGCCGTTGCCGACGTCGAGCCATTCTTCGACTTGCTCGCCGCCCTTGTTGACCGTCAATGACTTCTCAATATCGAGTGCTAGAATAGGGTTAGCTTAGCAATTGACTTTGAAGGATACAGGTTCCTGTTACTGACAATCACCGAACTCGTTCATGATGACAGCAATTCTTTTGCCATGCCGAGCAGTTAATATGTAGTTAAGCAAAGTTGTTTTTCCGGCTCCAAGGTATCCTTCAGAGAGTGTTAATAGTGGTATATCAATAGCGTGTAACATCAATTTACCAGTAACGATGGTGATGGGCACCTTGACAAGTTTCTCCTCTTGCAGGCCTGTCTCAGCCTCGACAAGCTCTGGAGGTACATCTTCGTCAAAGTTCATGATATATTCTTAAAATGGATAGATATGGTGTTTGCCTATGATTTTATACAATAAAGTGGGGGTTTCTAAGAGAAGAGCACGTAAAGTATTATCAATGATTTCGGATTGTCGTCTTGCGCCCTCCCAATGACATCTGGTTCCAAGTGATCTCAGACAAAAACACATATATGCTTAAATACATGACTCTAATAGAACGGATATTGTATGCTTTAATGCGGTCTGATTACCTTATATTGATGTAGTACTTAGGTACTTGATACATAGGTACTTCACATATATGCCTTTACCTAGTAATATGTAGGTACGTAGGTACCTAAGGTAACCCTAGCTTCGGAGGTACCCTAGTACCTATCTTAGCTGCTTTCTGGATCAAGAAGCTTGGCGTCTCTGCGCTTCTCAAATCACACAACAACAATTCACTTAGCGACAGAACAACGAAGCAAGGACGCCAACTGATTACCCAATAAACAATCCGCACCTGGGGCATTAGCCTCAAATATCTACCTAGATACTTTTATCATGTCTTTGGCGCAGGGTTCGCCTCGACTACCCAGTCCACCACCTCCCGCCGAGATTCAGATCGGACCTAAATCTCCAGGACTGGGCAGCACCGCAAGCCGTCAAGCACAACAGATGGAACAGAGCATGGCCGAAGCAAATGCGAAACGGCGCATACATCCGGGCACCAAGTCTGAGGATATGGCTGCCGGGCCGCCTCTTATTCCACTTGGCGAGGTGCGTTGCTTCACTCTAACCCCTTTTGCGACAGCAGATATTAATACGACACGTTGCAGCTTGACTCAGCCTTTCAACTTCAAGAACATCTCGCAGCGCTTCACTACCACCATACCGCCTCTAATACGACACCCATCACCCGAGCGGCTGCTTTGCAACTGGCTACGCCGCCGCCAGGCATCGATAGGACGCTATGGCTCTACGAGCTCTGCCGTTTCCTCATCGCCCAATGTAATAGTTTGATAGTAGGCTTTCTCTTTGATACGCCACCATGTTCATCCATAACATGCCCCGAGATGCGAGCCTCCGAATGGCAATTTCTATGTGCCGTCCATGACCAACCAAAGAGCTGCTGTGCCATCGACTACTGCTGCCATACTCTCGATTGGGCTGCGAACGTAGTCACCAACCCCAAGATCTTTCCAAGCAGATTTGTAGTGCTGTCGGAAGGGCATGACAAGAGCTCAGTGCTGAAGAATCTTATCAATGTGTTCCGCCGACTCCATAGAATATTCGCCCATGCGTGGTTCCAACACAGAGGGGTGTTCTGGTCGGTTGAAGCTCAGGCGGGCTTGTATGCATTCTTCAAAGCGGTCTGTGACATGTATGACCTTCTCCCTGCCGAGAACTACAAGCTCCCACCAGAAGCAGAAGGTCTGGAGCCGGCTGAGAAAGAAGATAAGAAACCCGTAGTAACCGCCATTGCGAAGCCACCGCAGCCGCCGCCGCCGCCGCCGCCGCAGCAGCAGCCGCAACAGCAACAGCAACAGCAGCACGAGAGCACCGAAAGTGAAGATGATCGAAATGGTCTACATGCTCGTAGAAGTAATACGGCTAGACATTCGAGCAGGCCGTCAACCGGTAGTTCCGTGACGACTGTTATTGAAGAACGAGAAGATGAGCAAGACGTTGCAAACAAACTCAAGAACATGCACATCTCAGGCCCCGAGATAGTGGAAGAGGAGGAGTCCGGAGTCGAAGTACCTGTCATTGTTGAAGGTGAATTACTAGGAGATCCTTCTAGCGTCCAGGAACTTGGAGTACCTCAAATGTCTGAGCCCCAGGAGCAACAGGGTGGCGTGCATTCTCAAGGTATCAGGATAGAAGTACAGGAGGATGTGCCGGCAGAACCAGAGATATCTACGGAAAGCGAGGCAGTGGAGGCTGAGGGCAGCAAAGAAGTACCCCTGCTTGAACACGAGCAGGTAGTTGAGAACGAAGCACCTGCTCCGAGCATAGAAAAGCAGGAAGATGCGCCAGCAGAAGAAGAGCAGCAAGCCGAGCCAAGCACTGTTGAGGAACCTACACCAGAGACGGAATCTACCGAAGCAGATGCGGAGAAAGAGGAGACTGAGGAGGCGAAGAAAGAAAAGTCAAATTCCAAGAATCTAGGCACGGACTAGGATTTCGTAACTGGCCTGGAGCGATTTGAAGACGTGGATCCGGCGGCCGTGGAGGAAGTCATCCGTCGTGCCAGACGAGCGCTCGAGCGGCTCCGCCGCCGATGGGATCGCACTGACGAACCTGACGACGAGGATCTGAATGACGAGACGGACATGATTCTAGGACGAACGGACGCCATCGTCGGCAAATTACGGCAGGTGAGGGGCGCCGACGATAACGAAGATTCAAAAAACGTTGATGATGACCAAGACATGTTCTAAATTACCATTAGTTGCGACATATGCATAATATCTGCATCTTAGAGCTAGTAGGGGGCGAGCCTAATGTGAAGGTTGTGCGTGTATGAACAGTGTTATGCTTATAGGTCGGGGAAGGGGAGGGAAGAGATAGTCCTCCGGTACATAATTAGGATGCGAGGCTGGCGAACGGGTTAATCATGTGTAAATGCGGTACTACAAGCTGGCGAGAAGCTTTCTCTAGTAGTCCTACTAATAATGGTTATGTCTTATGCACGAAGTTCTGAGCAACGTAGTGATTCTGTATCTAACACCGTTGACTTGGCTATCTTGGAGCTTACGCTTCATCGAGTAAGCCTCCCCATGTTGCATTGTTTACAGCCCTAGTGGCTATGTTGTCTACCTCTTATATTGTTGACTACGAAGTACAACATGTAGATTTTAATGACGAATTACCCTTGCTACGCTATTATCTACCAACGCTCCTCTTTCTCGTCGTATTTCTCCTCGAACCAAGCTCGGCGCCACAACTCTAGATTTGAAACCCATATAAAGATAGACTCTTCTTCGGAACGGACTAAGTCATTGCGACTTATGCGAGTTTGTAATTCACCATTGGCCCCATTTCCTACCGCTCCCCACCTCCCAACATGGCAGTAAAGCACTATACGTAATTCATTAGCGGTGGCCAGTCGCCTACGTTAATAAATATATAGTAGATCAGGTGCCTACTAGGTAGATAACTTAGTATAGCAATATGATACCGACTTCAAGCTGGCGGGTTTAAAGGAATATTTTCGATCAACTTAACTTTTTAATAAAAGCCGAGTTATGGATTTCTACTATGTATCACCCCAAGCAAACGGGATGTAGCGACCATACTCTTATGTATATGTAGGCATTTAACTAGTGTAAATGAAGCCGAGCCGTTGACTTAGTAGTAGTATTATTGACTCTCTTGGGGTTTATAAATATTTTCCTTCTAGTTGCACAAATTGACGAGTCTAACCATTAGTTACTTTACAATATAATAATAGAAATGTGTCGAGATGTATAGGTAGTATAGCATAATAGGAAAGAAAAAAAATCTTATATGCACCGTCCTCCTTTTTCCTGGAATGCCTTTGGTATCTGGTATCACTGCCCTTTTATAATTATTTTCCTCTTCCCGGGTATCTCTATTCTGCCCTGTAGCACCTATATGTCTCAAGCGGAATTTATCCTGGTTCTAATTCCATTTGTGAAGGTCCAAATTTAAGGGGTATATTTATGGAAGCCTTTCGTGTTTGCGTATAAACTTTTCTTATGTCCACTCTCGTCTTAAGTGCCACTTATGCGCAATAGCGTTATAAGATCAGAAAACGTTTCCCGATAGTAAGTTGCCGTTGTGATTATTCCTCTTTGGCGAATAAATTCTGAGAGGGCATAGTTTAAAAAAATGTTATATAAAGGTAGGTGACGTGTATACCTCCATTTTCTTCCCTTTTTCTTAAATTTTTTTGTTCTTCTCTTTGTGGCCGATGAATATATATAGGAGAACGTAGAAAGAAATTTATCAATATGCAGGTGTGCGGGGACACAGTTTCGTTGCACTAGGAGACTGCATATCGCCACCGAGGCATGGAGGTGGCTAATGAAACTGCATATTCGACGAGGCTTGACTGCTACTCTTCAAGCCGAGCTGCGTAACGGGAACGATATAAATAAGCATACTTCTACAATGAAGTGTATTATTCGTGGAGGGGATAGTGCTAGTGCTGATGTTGGTATTTGCTGGGTTGAACTGGTCGATGCTTTTATACATCTAAGCTCTGTCTCGTACGATTCTCTGATCCGTCTACAATAGCCGAGTTTTCTTGTCTTGGCGGGCTCCAAAACCTTTCATTACTACCATCCAATAACCCCCCGAATTATCTGATCTATATGTAATAACTTAGATCTGAAATTATGGGTTAATTTAGTTCGTCTGATGAATGTAGGGGGTAGCGGGTAACGAGTAGGGGGTAGCGGGATGGTTAAGGATCTGTGGGAAGCTGGACCAGGATAACTACTGGGACTGAAGGTTGGCTTGTAACCATGGCATTGGTAAATTTGCTATGGCTGCATGCATGGTCATCTTATTCATAAGATCCCCCCAATTTCAACGGGCTTTGGTGTTGTACGTAGTACCTGGCCGCATAGTAGGTCCCCTCACCTCCCAAGCATCCCCTGGTCCTGCAGCGCAGAGTTGCATCACGGCTCGGTTTCCATTCCGGTCCCATTTTCGCCGCATGGAGACCTCATTGTTTCGGACCCTAGTCCGTCCACAACGTCACAGAAACGTCTTTACTGCATCACTATGTGACTTGTAATAAACCAGCTGGCTTGCTGCCAACGTATAAAGCTTTATCAACCTCGCTTCTTTTCTTGCCAATAACGTTAGGATATACGTCTAGTATGGTCGTCGCCTGATTCTCTTGTGACACCTTGGCCTTGTATAGGGGTACAATATCAGCACCTCAGAAAGAAGAGGCGCCGCTATTGGATTCACCGCCAGGCGATGATACGCCTTCGTGTTCGGGGTCGAGGCGCATCTTTGCGAAGATAGCACTTATTTCCCGGAGAGATTCGGTTTGCTGAGAAACAGGATTCGCGTTGCGTTCGTCCGCAAAAGCACGGATGCTTCGTAATACGGGACTTAGTCCTTCGTCGTTTGGGAGCCACCATTGTATACAAGAAGGTTCGCGAAATATTTCTGCCATTCGAGCTCGTATGGTGAGTGGGAAAACGTATCTAATGATTTGAAATCAAGAAAAGTTAGTTATTGAATTCTACGTGTTTACTCCGTGCTTGCTCGGTATATTAGAGCTGGAGACGATAGAAGGGTAAGCTGTGTAAAGACCTGTATAACTTACCCTAGTGATTCTAACATTGCATATTTCCGCCTTAACCACATATGGTGTTTCTCGTCTCGAGGAAGAAAAAGCGCTGCGATAGCGAGACAGGCCTGGACTGGAACGAGGGCACCGTTTGGTGCTGAAGGCCACCGCTCTACTGCCTCAAAAATTTCGCATATAGCATAGGCCAAACCCCTTAACTCATCCGATGGCTTCTGTTGTAATGCAAATGCCTCTTGACTCTTGTGCATGACGAGGATAGAATTCCACTCTGCTATTAACTCGGTGGTCGAGAATAGGGGCAAATCGTAAAGGAGGCCCGACTTGTAAGGATCGACGATGTCATCTTCGCTTATCGGGACTTTGTGCGGAAGATCAGTTACAAGAAAATTCGGATCAGTCAAAGCAGGATCTAAATTGGCTCTCCATCCGTGGAGGCGTTCCGTAATATGGTTGTGTTCTGTAGCAAAATTATCACCCGATATCTCGCCCCGACCGCCTCTCGCATAGAGTATTGACATATCCCTAGAAATCAGTCGCAACGCAGAAGCATGTAGTTCTGTCTTCATCCCTACATCCTCCGGATCCCTTTCAGCGTGCTCCTGGCAGAATTGTACAACTGTTGAGAACCATTGTCGCGGTAGACTTGTTTCGAATCCTCCCATCATTCCTACAAAGACGTCGAATCGAATATACCAAGTTAGCAGTATTCGGGACGTAGGCGAATTCATGATTGTCTGGGGTGTGAACAGCCGGGTCAAAATCTCGAAGGCGGCTTTCTGGTGTCCCATAAGATTTACCCAATCACCTAGGTATTCCTTGTTCTAATTAGCAATGGCTCTCTGCAGGTTGCCTTTAACGTATGTTTACCTCGATAGTTGCGAGCTGCAATATGGTTAATAGCGTTGCAACACCCTGCTTCTCTCGTCTCTTGAGGTAACTTAGTAGTAACGTAACACTTTTATTATAATATCGTAAAAAGTCTTGGATTTTGCCATTGGGATTCCGAACGGTCTGATGGTACACCGAGAATCCCACAACCGCATTTAGAAGAGCTTCGTTACCAGCCTGCACGGCCAAACTAGGCAGGATTGCGCGGAAGAAGTCGTCCGTATCATTGACCAACCCGTAACTATAGTAACTAATGTTTTCGCAAAAGTACGTCAGGTGAGACTGCAGGTCCGTCGGCAAATGAGACCAATCCGGGCGAGGGACGGCTGACTGAAGGGAGGAATCTGGAATCTGGAAAGAGATCGGAATGCTTGCGGAGGTAGCCGTTGAAATTGCTGGTGAAGCACTCTTATTACCCTCTAAAGATGGCGTTTCGGAACTCTGTCTTGTTGTAGTCCGGTAAACGTTTGAGGTTGACGTCGTACTCGTTCTTCGTAATCCTGCTAAATACGAGGTCGGTGATAACGCCTCGGTAGGTTCCTCTTCGTCAATGATTGGCTCGAGCCGAATATTTTTCTCTCCTTCTTCGTCTGCTTCGTCTTGTGAAGAGTTCGGGCTGGGTTCTTGAGTCAATGCTCCTGTATCTTTCGATGAACCTGGCTCGGTAGCTTGCCCCTTTGCAGAAGAGGCTTCCGGGTATACACAATCCCTTTTGCCTTTGCGACAGCCTGTAATTATCAGCTCGGCTTCGAAATGTTTAGCATGGTGACACTTACGCTCACAGATAGGATGAGTTTCATCGCACTAAGGTCAATCTAAGCATTACCATACCAACTCCAAAGAACCGATGCTTACCTTAACTCGTCTACTTCGACAAGTGTAACAACCCGATCGTGTCCGGCGATGCTTGACGTGGTCTGCCCCCGACGCAGATTTCTTGCGATTTCGATTGCTCTGGGCTTTGGGAGCCTGAAACATAATTGGATCAGGAAAGCCGGTGAAGTATCCTAGGCTTTGATATGGAGTTGTTAAGGGTGGACTGATATTTCCCATATGTGTAGAATGTTGCTGAGGTTGATATTGGGCATCTTGGGGGCTGAGGTTTGGTGACTCCCCACTCCCCGCCGCTGAGGGCAGATATTGTTGATAGTAATCACTCATTGGAAGGTATTCGTCAAGCGGAGTATTCGATGTGCGTTAACTTGGGTGACTTAGGCAGGTTTGAACCACCTCCGTACGAAAGCCGTGCGGCACCGCCTCGGCACAGATTCGTTTCAGAGAAATACTATCGCAATGAATAAATTAACAGCGTCGAATATATTCCTTTTAATAGCAAAAGTGAGTTAAGGCGTATCTCAAGAAATTGATCGGCTAGGACAGAGAACCCTCTTTGACGGCCCAACGCCTAGTCTCAACCAGTCTTCCGTAAAAGAGACGTTTACAGGTGGAGGGGTTCTGGTTCTAATGACTTGAAGAGGGAGAAAAATATTCGACCCAATACGCTCATCGAGTAGAGAATCCCCCCTAACCAATGAGTCGGATGGGTGTGGCCTATCGAGAGGGTCTTCTACGCCTATGACACTTCCCTCTTGGTCCTGGGAAGTTGAGCTGTCCGCTTTGATCTTTCTCAACACGAAGTTTTCATAAATGGAGAAGGAATCCCTTCCGCATTGTTCGTAGAGGTGGTAGATATGGTATTTACGCTTGGGAATTTCTCGGAGCTGCACTTGTGCTTGGCTTAGCTGGCCAGGCTGCGCTGTTCACGGTAGTTACAACCAATCCACAAGCTTGACGGCTATGGATACTGGTGACTAGGAGGTATTGAAGATGAAATAGTTGTGGGGCTCTTGTAGTACACCTTGCAGGAGTCCCCTAGTGCTGTTGAGCCTGTACACTACCTATGAGGAGCAGGGTCTCGAGGATCTGCTGACAGGATGATAGCTATAGCGGGGCTTCCTTATGCAGCGGGTAGCCAAGGAGGCGAGGACTAGGTGCCATGGAACAGAAGCCGATCTTGGGATTCGGCAGGCTGTACCTCGAAATACTAGAACCCACCCACAATTTAGAAAACGCCCGAAGGATAGAGCCCGAGGACGAGTCTAGTATCAAATTCCCGGAGCAACCAGCTCTCTATCAACGCTGGTAAATCTGGATCGTGGCCGCCTTTTCTCTGCCTTGACCTGGCTTGTTCCTCCTAACGAAACTAGTGATGAGGTGTGTGGCAAGAGTATTAGATCGTAAGGCTAAGTAGGTAAGAAGCCTTGTTATTGCTGGAAGGTATTTTCTAACATTGAAGGAGGTCGACACGAAGCTGATATCAACGTAATGAAGTCATGACGAAAGAGTGGCCGAGCGCTAGATTCGGAAGTATGTATCTTGGGACTAGAAGAGACGGGAGCTTAGGGGTATCTGCATATATTCTATCCAAAGAGGGCAAATGTTGCGTTGAGGAAAGGTAACACCTATCCGGTTTAATATTGTAAAATTCCAGAATTATAGAGGTAACCCCGTATGTAGACGATGACTTGAGATACTATTTTGGAATCGGTTAAAGGAGTTTATCGTCCGCAAGAGACTACGATCAAGTGAATTTGTCTTTTGCAATAAATGCATGGGTAAATCAACCAGCCTTAGCCCACTATGCTGGTACGAAGTGTAGTAATTGAGTGCATACAGTACGCAATAAGGATCGTTGCTGTCCGGTTGGTGCTAAAACAGGGGTCCCCTGAGCTAGAAAGATGCAGCTACTGGGTGAGTGGGAGTCGGGATGTCAGGGAGAGGAACCGATGACACGCAGCCATCTGATATTTGCCCGTACTTCCTACCGGGCTAATTCAACGCTACTCTCTTATACATAGAGATACAAATTTAAACGTTTAGCTACCGTAAAAACTACAGCGTACAAAAAAATATCTATTATTCTATACATTCAAGGCGGGAGGTTAGAGATATTGCTGCCGCCGGCCGTTTTACAAACAATACAAAGACGAGATAAGGTCATGGCAAGTAGGACAAGGGTCCTTCATCCACAGTCATGGGGCCACCCAGCGAACCAGGCAGCGGGGAACTGGGGCGCACACGCTGGGGGTTGAAGACTTGCTCAAGATCCTACCAAGCGGGTTTGATCAACGGCGGCTAGTGGAAGGTCCTCGATCTGTTGATCTCATAACGCACATGAGACGAATGAGGGAGTCCGAGGCATCTGTGCTTTCATCTATCAGTACCCTGCTTGTACCTTGACGCGCTGCATTTCATATCTGCAAATTCTGTCAAAAAACTGACTGACCTAACCTAGCAGTATATGCTAATGCTAGATTACTGTAAGATGTGCTTATACTGTATAGGCGTTTAGGATCTTGTTCGAATATTCTGGGGGTAGCTAGTATGTAGCTAAGCTCAGCGAGATAATTATAAAATTCCCACTATTGATCGACATGCCTCTTCAAGCTCTTTTTTTTTTTTTTTTTTTTTATAAGGAAGCCCTAGCTACGCGTGTAGTGTACCTAAACTAGTTGAAGTCCGTCTCTGTCAAAGCTGTAGGCCCGGTACATTTAGCCCAGGTAAAAGCCCTTTTTTGGCCCTGGACGATTGGATGCTACGTTGGCTGCCAAAAAAAAAAAACCCAAAAAAAAACAAAAGGAACGGTGCTCGATGAGTCTTTGGGGCCGTACCAGCGTTACTGTAAACCACCAATTTTGGCTGATTGGATCCGCTATGACAGGGACCCCTACGTTTCTAGGATCATCAGGGACTCATCAAAGAGGGCGAACCTGAAGCACAGATCATAGTGTTGGAACTAGCAATCCAATACAGAAATGTACAGGAGGCCTGATAGTAGAAATATGAGAATGAGGCTCATAAATAACGCAATGATCGAATTAATTAAACTGATTTAGTTAGGCCGTTGTTTAATGGGGGGTTTTTGCGACATCGATAGACCACCCGAGGCCACGTCGAGGCATAGTAATGATAATCTCGAATAGGGATCCAAGTACATATTTAAAGAGCTCTGTTATTTCATGTGGCTGGTTTGAGCTATCCTGCAGGGACCGAGATGTTACTGTCGAGTATTCTGTACAGAAATGTCATTGCGCATGAATGCATAGCAGTTAGCCTTGATCCATCTTGCTATATACGTGGGTGGTTGATCATGATCGACAGGGCCAGATTTGCTGTCGTAGACGTACATAAACCGCGGTTTGATCGATGGTGGTGATGTGAGATGAGATATATTGGTTTGTTTCACTGGTATCATTCTTCATTTTTTTGAAGTAAACAGGGCCCATTATAATGTGCTCTGTGTAGGTGTTCGGAATGTTCCTTTCGTAATATGAGAGTGATGGTGGACCATGTCCAACCCATCGTTGCATCCGCCATCCGCCTTCCGCCATCAGAGCTTGCTCTGTCCCGGATTTCCGGCATAGTAGCACTACGGAAACCTCTTGTGTTACAAGGATAACGCTGCCATCAGATAATTTCCTCACTAGGGATTGTGTACTCACATTTGATGTAATCGGTTACTTTAACCTTAATTGCAAAAGTGGTCTCGACTGTTTCGCTGCAAAATTGGAATGTCCACCTTGTAGGTACCTAGTATCATACAGGATACAGGGGCCTTACAGAAATACAGATGTATGTAGTGACGTACACATGAGCTAACATTACTCTACCTATGTACATATGTAGGATGTACCTAACAAACCCTTGTCAGCTATGTATAGTACGTACTTATATTGCAGTTCGTGAGCATGGGTAACGAACACCAACACTGATGACGAATAGCACCAACGTACCAGTCTACCAGGTTCACTTCTCAATGAACGGCCAAAGTACCTACATAGGTAGGTAAGGTGAGTTGAAAACTTGGTCGGTAAGTTAATACCGGTTTACCTTCTCTAAATCCGGTCTTAGAAATATCATATATGTGATATATCCCATGTGAGGTTACCTTTATAGGTACTTTAACGGATCAATCAATCAAATCGCTATAGGTAAGTTCCGAGTATCATTTTTTCGTATTTTTCACAATCGTAAACATCAAGGGTGCGCGAATGCCTTTACGGCTCCGCATGCCTCTTAATTACTCTGGGGTTGTATTAATATGTAGTTGCTAGCTCATTCACCTCAGCGCATGGCTTGCCCGCGCGGTTGGACTACCTATAATACACTACTTATGATCATGGAGCTGTAATAAGCTTCATCTTAATATTCCCAGCCTCCACGTACATCTGTACATCTGTACATCTATACATCTGTGTACATATAGATATGCAGACTTCACGGCTCAAAGCTCCCGAATATTCTCCACCTTAAGAACCTAGCAGCGAGTACGATGCTAGAAGATTTCGATGCGGCGCTAATACAATAGTTTGTATAATTTTCACTTTATATGTTGGTTTAATATAGCGCGGCTCGTTATGACCTACCTCTCCGCGCTGTTGAAATTACAATCGTACGAGTATTTATCGACCGGATTGTCTTGGACCCCCATGCTTGAGACCATCGACGGGAGACCCATGTTACGAATCCACAGAGCCTTATTTGACTAGTCGTCGTGCCCTTGTGCAAACGTGCATAGTATTGAGATTTGGTCATATCTCACAATAAGTCCATATGTAGGTATGTATATCCATAACTATGTAGATAATACCAAACTAATAATCTCATAACTCAGTTCGCAAAGCAACTTCAATAAAGGAGATGGAACGTTAATGGAAATCGTATTTAGAGATTGTTGTTGTTTGGGGGGGGGTAAACCCTCTCTGATGCTAGCAATTCGTGACAAAAAGTGACAATGGTAGTAAAGCAACCTACATAGGGTAAGTATTGATTTAGACACATTACAATAAACGCTAGATTTGGCATTCCCGGCCGAACCACGGAAATGGAATCCCTGTTCGGCTCTCGTAGTTTTGGCTGCCGAATGACGATAAGGCACATCATTGAGGAGGGGGGGGAAGGAGGATAACTATTTGATCATGCTGTCTAGGGCTGGGGCGGCTGGGCGGCTCTAAAAGGAGTAATTGAATTTCCCGACTCTATGGGACCGTTGCTTATTAATAAATCGACATTGTCGTAATATCAATAGTTTATGCAACGAAGCCTCAGTTCCCGAATTAAGGGCCTCTCAAATTTGACGCGATAGTTTAAACCCCGGTAATTATCAATCACCTACTATGTAGGTAGGTATATACAACGCATCTACGCATCTACATACCTAACACATCTACGTACATAGTACCTTGCTGAAGACCGTGTGTACCTCTTAGCAAAACAAATCCTTGTAGCACAGATGGCCCCCTGAATTCGTCAGAACCACCATCATCGAGGTGAGGCTACATCTTGAAGACGAAGCGTATCCGTATCGTACGCACAGTATGCATCTCTTTCGTCGATGTGTAAATTGAGTCGTGTACATAGCACCTACTTTTTACATAAGGTGTTAATGGCCTTATCCCCTTGGCTGGCATAAGACAGCAACTCCATAATTTTCAGTATCAATACATACGGATTGGCTAGAAAAGAAAGAAACGCTCGTGCGGTACTGAATCGACCAATAATATTTGTGGGTTGCGGTTTTAGAGACTAATCATAAGGCCTTTTCCTATTATGTTAATGAATGACGTTAAGCCTTATGTACTAATACTGAAAGTTATGGAGTTGCTGTCTTATGCCAGCCAAGGGGATAGGTACCCGGCTAGTTTGTCTGAAGATTCGAAAGTAGCAATACGGACCAAGTAAGTAGTAAAGATCATCCATGTAACGATACATATTGCGGAGTACCTAGCTAAAGAGTCTCCGCGAAGCTGCTAAATTAGCTAGCTGGCTGGCCAGCTGGCTTAGTTCATGTAGCTTCTATTCCCGATAACGTTTGGATCTACGTGCAGCTTCAACCAAACTATCTCAAGCTTCCAGAAGTCTAGTTAGGGCTACTCTATAGTAGCTTTCAGCTGGCTCGATGCTATTTGTAATGATATAGGTTCTGGCAATTTCATTGGCTCTACGAATTAATGCTCCGCTTCTAGTTTGGATATGATGTGTATGTAAGTAGGTATATGAGGTGATAGGTGACAGCAGATCGATAGATGTAACTCCGGGAGATAGGCCGTTTTGCAAAGCACCAAGCAACACCATAACTATTCTAACCATCTTCGCCGGAACACACTAACATAGCACCCGAAGGAAAGATGTGGAGAATATCAGCTCTTCCGCGGAATCAGAGTCCCGCCATCATCTTCTCAATGAGGAGTTTAACAGCGTGTTCTTGATACCATCACTGGTCTAAATTCAAGTCGGTCCTAAACAACCTACCTAGAATGGATCGTTATGTGCGATCTGGAGGAGAGTTTCGTCGCAGATCGTCACTGTTTCTACAGTAAGCTCATGCAAAAGCATCGGCGAATTGTTAAACCCTCGGCAGCGAAGACTACTGACGCGGCTATGAAGCTGGCTTTGCATATGCCTCGAAAATGATCAGTCAAAAAATTTGGCCATGCGTACAAGGTCCTTTTTACCTACGCCACGCGCCCGCCGATAATAATATTCGCCGGCGGTGAGTATCTTGATGGAATTGGAACTTTCTTCGACAAGTTTACCCACACGTGCCCCTATTTCCTACCCAGTCAAGGCGTCTGGTACCTTGCATTAGTTGGCTAGTTTCTATCCCGATATCTCCGAGTCAGGGGCCACGGGAGACAAGTCATGGTTGCATCCGATTGCGGTAGTTCGACTCCGACATGTCCAGGTCTCGGGCTTTCACTGCATCCGGAATGCATCCGCGGTTATAGTTGCCATCTTGCTTTTCATCTAGCACATACATGACCACTTACCTACATAGCTTGTGGAGTCTACGACCTCGTAGACTCGTGCTTTATTGGATTTAACTAGCTATGACTTACACCAAAGTTAGATTCATTCATTCATCGACCAGGTCCTACATGATATGAGTTGTTTAACCGTTAGGATAGCAGTGAAATCTTGCCGGTGGCTATTCGGGTTTATGACGATCTTTCTGCGTCGATTTCGGTTTTGATTATTTCCACCAACCCTACTTGGTGAGTACGTCACTTAGAGGATGGCTGGGGTGCCATTCAGTGCTACCCTCACATCATTGCGTGGGCAACATCATGGTCTTTTTCACAACGCAGATTTGAGAGAAAATGTACTATGAGCTGTATAGACTGTTACTGACTAGGTTATCTAAGACTATTAGAGGTACCTACTTATAATCTGGTAAATGCCGGATCGACCGTCCGCCTTGTTCGATTTAATATAGTTATCATACACTTGAGGGTGAGATTGTCATGATTATCATGAACATCCACACCACGAATCCCACGATGCCCCAACTGTCTTCATTACTGTTACAATGCAATGCTCCCATGTCAATCAATTCCATATATGAATTCCCTCATCCAGTGGCCGCGATGTAGATGATTGGCTCATGTTGATGAAAAGTCAGAGACCATGTTCCCTACGTCCGATTTCATATGTAGGTATTTTATGAACATTTTGTAGCATTAGTGACTGAGCAGATTTGACTGAAGAGATTTCCAAGATCCGTTCTAAATTTATTATTTATTAAACCCGGAGACCTGACAACCTACCTAGGCTTTGATAACTTTAGCTGTGTCACAATGTATAATGTATATTTTTGGCTGTAAGTTTAAAGTATGTACAATTGGTATATATAGTTATGTATTAGGTAAGCTATGGTAGTACGTAAAAAAACGAGAGATAAAAGCACGTGTCTCATTCACGTGACATATATTAATGAGCCGATTTCACTCTTCAACGTCTCAAGATGTTTCGTCGAGAAATATAACACGTAATCTTATCAAAGCACTCTTTTCTTTAAGCTTCAATTTCGGGGGCTTGAGGACCACCCTCTGCTCATATCAATTATATTTCTTTCTCTTTTTCTTTTCACTTCTTTCTTTCTTTTTCCTTCCGTATTATAGATTCGGAAATCGAGAACGCTTGCTGGCCGAGCAGTGCCGTAGAATTTCCATCTCGATTGCTACTAGTAATTTCAACGCGCCATCATGGACACCACCATGGACATAGGTAACCATTCTTGGCTGAAAACCCTCAATCTAGACAGCGGCGCCATATTCCTCTTAACCATTACCATCTGTGCTTTCTTGATACCGGTGGTCATAATTCTGCCCCCAGTTGGGCTCCAAAAGAGTGATGCGCTGGTACAGACGCACACAAAGGCCGGTGTTGAAGGTTCAAAGAGCAATTTGAAGAACCAGTACTCAGCTGAACATGCACCACAGGACGGCCAGCCACCTAAGGTCCATAGTTTGGTCATTTATCCCGTGAAGTCATGCAAGGGTATTGAGCTGAAGAGGAGCAAAGTCTTCCCGACGGGACTCCAGTTTGATCGTCTTTTCATGTTTGCTCAACTCAAAAGCCCTTTCCCTATGGCTGTAAACTCAACAGATGAGGAAAAGTCAAAGCACAAGTGGGAATTCGTTACCCAGCGGCAGTTCTCCAGGCTGGCGAATGTTACCGTTGATCTCTGGCTCCCAGATGAGATGAAGCTGCGGAAACAATCAATGAAGTCGAAGGAGGCCTTCGTAATCTTACGTTTCCCTTGGAAGGAGGATGGCTGGCGTGGTATCTATTCTACAATCATAGCTAAGCTAGCAAGAGGGCGCGCCGCTGAGCCCGAGATAGAGATCCTGCTGCCAGTAGACTTTCCTTCAACAGAGGATATCAAGGAGAGGGGCTACACTTTCGATGATGTCAAGATATGGAAAGAAACAATCAACGCTCTTAATATGGAAAAAGATCTACCCATTGAGCTACAACGGTACTTGGGTGTCAGTAACAAGCTTGCTCTGTTCAGGGTCGATCCTGAACAGCTACGCGAGGTTTATCGAACCGCACCGAGCAAAGAGGAGGCCGGCTACCAGCCCGTGACCGGATTCCAGGATGCCGTACGACACCCACTTATCCAAACATACCGATCTCTAATATGAAACTCATACTGTGTATAGTTCCCACTTCATTTAATGAGCCTAAACAGCGCACAGGCGTTCAGCTCAGAGGTACCGAAGGACGATGGCCTCAATGAGCTCGATGTGCTTAGATTCCGGCCTAATATCATCCGTGAGTAGAAATCATTTAGTTAAATACGTTCTCCGCCCCTCTAACTTGCCTACATTTAGTTTCCGGCGCCGAAGCCTACGATGAAGAGACTTGGAAACAGATTCGACTTAAGCCGGGGAGCTCAGGCTTATATAACGACGTCGCGTTCCACGTTTCGTGTAGAACTGTCAGGTTAGCGAACAATCCCTTCATCGCTCCCCGTTGCCCGTGTATAATCTAACCATACGTCAGATGTAAAATGCCCAACGTAGATCCAGCAACTGGTCTCCGCCACCCAACTGAGCCGGACAAATCACTTAGGGCGAAGCGGGCAGTCGACGAAGGTGCGCCGCTGAATGGTTGTCTAGGCATGCAACTCACTCCTCTGTTCGACCCCAGCCTGGGAGAAGATCGTGAAGCCTGGATCGCAGTCGGCATGACGGTTGAGGTCGAGCAAAGGGGGCACCATGTGTATATCAAACAGTGAGACACCTCTACTTCCCCCTATACTATTCAGATGATAAACATACTTGTATATCATATATATAGATAAGCAAGGGCATATATAAAGAGGAAGTGGGGAGTGCTAGGCCGTGAGAAAAAAACGACTGTAACATCAGACAGGGAGGAAGACCCGTAATAAGCACGACCGCCAAAACTATAATTAGTCAGATAGATAAATTAGATAGAATAAGCACTTCAGCACAAATTTTTTTTTTTACGAGAATATGGTATGATAGTTTGGTCGTAGAATTTATCATTAGACGCAGAATACGACGACCGCCGACTTAGACGAAAAACGCTTAAGACATAACGGCTTGTCCACCGTCGATCGTAAACCATACGGGTGCGGTATATCATCCATTCATCCATTTCCATCTCCCTCCGAATCCAACCATCAACGACATAACGAGTAATGCTCTACAGTCAGTCATGCAATCGTCACAATATCCCACATTTTTCGCATTACACCCGGCGCATGCGAACTTAACGCGTGCAACCTGCCGAACCCCACACCATCCCCGTAGAGGTGCCAGCACAGAGAATTATGTATGTACACTTGAACGAATTCCATCATCTACTTAAAGTCCGCGGCGGTAAGGGCCTGTACCATACTCGTACCCTCGCTGAATCGGGTGCGGAAGATGCGGTTTGCGTTCTGGAACATGCCGTCTTTGAGGGAGACAACGATGAACTGAGAGCCCTTGAAGCGTGTCTTGATGAGGCGACCGATATTTTGCGTGTGCGACAGGTCCAGCGCCGCATCCACCTCGTCTAAGATGTACATGGGCGCTGGCTTGAACTGTAGTAGTGCCATGATAAGCGACAGTGCCACGAGCGATCTATTTGTTATAGTTAGTGGTGTGGATGATATGACAGGTAAAAGGCAGATAGCTATAAATTAAGAGGAGACACGAAAGAGAGTGTATGAGGACTTACCGTTGACCACCACTTAGCTCTGTTAAGCTCTGCTTCCACACCTTGCCTAGGCAGACCTTGACCTCTAGACCCTCGTTAATAGTTTTGCCCTCGGGCGGGTCTAGTTTCGCGAAGCTGCCACCGGGCAATAGTTCAGAGAATATCTGGCCGAAGTCACCGTTGACCTTCTCCCAGGTCTGGAGGAGGGCTTTCTTCTTGTAGTCGTCGAGGCTGATGATAGTTTCCTCGATCTTGCGCTTATCACGGATGACCGTCTTCATCATGTGCTTAAGCGACACCTCTTTCTTCTCGACGCTATCGATCATGTTCATGACCTTGGGATTGATCTTTTTCTTCATGCCCTGGAACCGGTCCGTGAGCGTCTTCAGCGTGGCTTTGCACTCCGTGATGTTCTGGCCCTTGAAGTCGTACGGTGTCCCCGTGCGGCCAAAGTTGTCCTTCTCTTCGGCAATCCAATCGAACTCCTTCTCCATGTTCGCCACAGCTTGTATCGCATGTTGCTGTTCCTTGTGGAATTTGTCAACTGTGTGACCAAGCTTTTGCTTTTCAAGACCTTCTTCGGCAATCCGACTATTCTTTGACCGGATTGCCTCTTCAAGCGCATGCAGCTCATCATCAAACCCGGTCAATTTGGCCCTTTCGTCGTCAAGCTGTGCTTGTACGAGGTCGTGAGTCTCTTGTAACTGCGACTGTTTCTTGATAAGGTCCTCGATCTCCTCCTGCTGTGACTTGATAGCCAACTCAACTTCTTGTAGCTGCTCCCTCGCGGCGGCGAGATCACCTGAAACCTGTTCCGAGTCCAGCTGAGCACCTTGAAGCTCTTTCTGTAAAGTTTTGACGGTACTCGAGTTTTTAGCCAACGTCGCCCGCAACTTGTCTAGAGAAGCTTGAAGTTCTACAAGTTTCGAATCTTTGTTGTTTTCAAAGTCTTTCATATCCTTCTCGATCCTCTTGACATCTGCGCTGGCCTCGGCCTGCCTCTTCTTAGCTTCAGCACTCTCATTCTTGAGTTGTATGATCGCCTCCTTCATATTTTCCACCTCCTGGATGATTGATGATGAAGAGTTGCCACTAATTTGCTCTTCCGCGAGTTTGATTTCGTGTGCCTTAAGATCGAGATCCTGCTTGATCTTACGAGCCTGGTCGAGTTTAGACTTTTCTTGAGAGATCCTGGTCTGGAGACCATGTAAAGAACGCTCTGCTTCTTTAAGTTGGCGGTTGATCTCGTTTAGCTTCTGCAATGTGACCAATACGCCACTGGATTTAGGCGCACTGCCGCCCGAGAGCGTCCCCGAAGGGTCGTACGCATCGCCTTCAAGAGTAATACTCCTCATCCTTACATTGGGATCGAAAGTCACCCTCTTAGCTATCTCAGTGTCTTGGCAGATTAAGGTATTTCCGAAGATATATATCATTGCCGCGGATACCTCGTTATCGTACCCTACGATGGATAGAGCTAAATCGACCTTACCGGGGGCAATGTTTTGAGCTGTAGCAATTGTCTGCGCCGAAGCTTTGGATGTGTCGATCTTGTTCAAGGGAATAAAGGTAACTCTCTTCCGTAATTTACCGCCTTGTAATAATTGTGTACCCGTAACTTCGCTGTCTACAACAACATTATACAGACGACCGCCGGCGCATATCTCTAAAGCCGTGCCGGCTCTCGTATGCTCTTTGTCAAGGGTAAATAATTGGGCGACCAACCCCTTGACTTTCGAGCGATCGAAATTGGGAGTTGGGTCAGCATAGTTGAAGTCAATATTAGCAACCTTGCGTTTTAGAACATCTGCCTCTTGGCGTAAGCCTCTGATGGTTTGCTGCAATGTCGACTCTTGCTTGTACATCTCTTCTTCTTGTCCTGGCTCGAAACCGAGCTTCGCAAGTTGGGCATGTAGCTTCTGCGACTGGGTCCTGAGGCCATCTAGCTCTTTTAACAAGCCGGCGTTTTGTTCTTTGGCCTTTTTAGCTCGGGGCTCTTCCTCCTTGATTCGTTTCTCAAGATGGGCTACTTTAATTTTGGCTTGCTCCTGTTCAGTAGCTGCCGCCGCAACCCGATTCTTCGCATCTTGCAGTTGACCTTGGTAGCCGCTTTCTTGTCCTTCTTTGGATGCGACACCTGTTTGTAATGTCTGAAGCAATTCTTCTTTCGACTCTGCCTCCTGGTTCTGCTTCTCGTTTGCTTCCTTCGCCTCGTCGTACTTGGCCTTGGTTTTCTCGTAAGCTTTCGTCTTCTCCTTCAAGGCTGCCTCTAATTCGGCAACATTCTTCTGCACCGCAGTCTTCTTCTCTTCTTCCTCGGCTTTACTGGACTTCTTCAAGTCCATGACGGTGGCGAGTCGAACCAGCTCGTTAGAGTGCTTCTTGACTTGATCTTCTAACGCTTGGGCTTTACCTCCCTTTCTCAGCTCTTTGTCCCTTTCCGCTTTCACTCTCTTAACATCTTCTTCGAGATGGGATATCTCGCTCTTTAGCCTGGCCGCGGAATCTTCAAGGTCTTTCTGTCGTTGTTTCTTATTCTCCAAATCAGTCGCAGATTGCTCTAGTCTCTCCTGGTACCTCAGGTAGTCGTGTGCGACTACTACTCTCGTTAAGCGCTCCAAGTCATTTTGTGTTTGTTGGAAATCTAGGAAAGCTCTCTTCTCGGTCCGTAGCTTCTCAAGCTTAGGCTCAATTTCGTCGCGCAAGAGCTCAGTGATCTCTTGAAGTTTCATTTCCTTTTTCGCCATAGTTTTTAATGCCTTATCTCTTCGGTCCTCAAACATCCTTGTGCCGGCTGCTTCCTCGATCATAGCTAATATCTCGACGGCCTTCATGTTCAGCACCTTGGTGATTCGACCTTGCATGATAAGGAAGTTGGGATTATTTATATTCAGCTGTACAGATTGGAAGAGGTTTTGGACTGTCTGTTGCTGTGCTCGGTGTCCATTTATTAGATACTTCGAGGTGCCTCCTAGAACGATCTGTCTAGTGACGCTGATAGTCGCATACTCTTCAAATCCAATTGGCGACTTTTGTTTATCTCTATTATCGAACACGATCGTGACGCTGGCTTTGGTGACACCGGCTTGACCGCGCTTGTAGATCAAATCCTAGACTCGATGGTCAGGCCCTGTAAGATTATAGATTGGGGTATATCTTCCTTTCGTACCTGTAAATTTTGGGCTCGCACCGTCGACATGTTTGTAATACCGAGAACGAAGCAGATGGCGTCCAGAATATTGGACTTGCCACTACCGTTCAAGCCGGTAATCGAGTTGAAGCTCTCGTCCCTTTGCGACAAGAATTTTAGTTATGCGACGTAGGAGACGTAGGGGGATAATCGTTATTTACTAACCATCCTGATATGACTGTTCGAACGGCGTAGGATTTGAAGCCCTTTTCAATATATTAGTAGAGGTAGCTATACTATATTAGAGCATACGTACATCTATAATCACCTCCGTTACCCTCATATTGGCGAATGCGACGGTTCCCGCATGTAAATCTTGGTGTTGTTGTCTACTTACTTCGCGGTACCTAAAGCTATTTTCTACATTTAAGTTACTATCTAAGCCGTTGCCGACGTGATTAAGGTCAACAAAAACAAACTGGAAGGCAGAGGCTGTCATTGGCTATTAATTATTTATGTGGGGTTCTTCAGTTGGTTCAGCCCTGATTGCTAGTGATTTACGTAGTGGTTGCCTACACAGTCCACTTTCAAGGCGGTAAGGAATGGCAGAATTGTGTAGCCCCACTATCTCCCCTCTCCCTTCTATATAAAAATCATCTTGCGGTTCCTCTCTCTTTACTTTTTTTTCTTCTTTTCTTCTTTAGCTCTCTTTGCCTTTTGGCTTAGATCAAGTGTAGTATCTGTTCTTTTCAGTTTAATCTCTGAAAGAGTCCTACTGGACTCAATCGTGATTATTCTTATTTTTGTACTAAGGGAGCGCATCCTCTGTGCTTGCGCATGATAGCTCCCACTGTGTCCCTGGTATTACACTGCCTCCAGGTGACGCGAATTTGTTTTCATTATTCCCACTGGCTTGCCCAGGGCAGTGAAGAAGACGACCATTTTGTATTACCTACCTAATATATATAGGTATATAATATGTGTGTAATTCAGATTTGCCTGACATATATTAGGTAAGTGAGTGTAACTAGAATACAGTCTTTCAGCTTAGATGAATCCCATTAGAATCCATTTCCTTGCTCAAGGTGTTATCCGCTCATTTCTTCCACGTATGCCCGAGTTTACGAGGGATATTGTCTTGCTGACCTCAATTTCCTAAAATGGACGAATTACTCGAGAAAGGAAGTTCGTCTGTGCGCTACTTTTAGGCCTTTTTTATTGGATGCATCCCTAGAATAAACGGACCTTGCACGTGTTTTTCCAACTTTTCATTTTCAAAATTTTTTTTTCGAAATACGCAATTTTTTTTAACCATTATTAATTATGTAATTACCATATCTACATATTATTAAAAAGTAGGTAAATAATTTAAATTCTATATATATAAATTTTTTAAATTTTTTCTAATTTTCTTTTATTTTCTTTTCTTAAAAAAGTCCTGGTAGAGGTTAGTGTTTGAGATTTTCCGCCGCTGCTGCTGGGGGAGGGCGCTCGGCGCGCTGCGCGCGCCGAGCGCCCTCCCCCAGCAGCAGCGGCACGTGATCAACCAACCTATGACCTTTGTAAACTCGGGCTATTGTGGCGCACCGCAGGGGTGCCCTCATGTCTTCTACGTAGTATTTGTCTCAGTTCCAGCTGTTGAAGATAAAATTTACAAATGTCTAACTGCGTGTGTGGTTCGACAAGCTACATCATAATTTCCATTTCTAAATGGAAGTACCTTAGGTACTCAGATGCATGACCAGTTGCAGTGGTCGGCTTGAATGTTATGGCTACTAAGGTACTTATGTACATGCTAGAATCGATAAGCCTAGGTACTAGGTAAATCTACCTCATACCTTAGTAGGTGGGTTACCTACCTTATGTAGGTAGGTACTTGCTCCGATAACATTCACCTGCTAACTACATAAAATCTGCACGCGACAAATAATAAGTTGACCACTGGACGTCATCCAGTCCTCAAGTCAAAGTTTCCCTGATTTAGGTCAGGTGTCTTCATCTATAAGTCTCGTGAGATCAAAATATTTAGGTGGGAAACGTTACCTACGTAGCAGAAGGCTACAGAAATGGCAGACGAACAAGTGTCACTCACTTCCCTAATCTTCATAATCGTCCTTGGCGGCCTCATCATTCGATATCTATTCTTTTCATCGCCAGCCCAACCCTCGCGACCACTCCGAGATGCTCAGGCGGTATCACGCGCTAGAGAGGCCGCAGTAGAAAGGATACAACAAATTTTTGGACCAGATCGAGTCGATCGGAGAACTATATTGTGGGATTTGCATCGCAATGGGGGAAACATAGCGGCAACTACGGAACGAATATTAGCAGGACGCATAGAGACCGTAAGTCCAACATTATTTACGAACGCGAACCTCTACCACCGTATTCCCAACTTTGATAAATTAATTCATGCTAACTAACATTGTGTTCTCGTTTAGCCCCCTATCACATTCCAACCGCCACCTCCTCCGACTTCTCCCAACCCCTCGGCGACACTGACGCAACCCTTCAAAGCGCCTCCAAAGCCTGCCGAGCCAGATTTGATTACTAGATATAAATTACAGGATAAAGTTAGTACTGGCAGCGAACCCGAATCCTCGACGAAACCTAAGGCGTGGAGCTCCAACCGGAATGAGCGACAGGCATCACTACAACGAAGGCGAGACGAGATGATTTTAGCGGCAAGAAGGAAAATGGAAGCCAAAATCGCAGCAGAGAAATCTACCGGAAACACCCAGCAATAAAATAAACATTGGCTTACGGGGTTGGACTAGTAACCCAGGGTCTGGATCTCCGTTTAGGGAGGCGGGCTGTATATCTCGAATTCAACTCTCAAGTTGAGTGCTTTGTATATCATGGTTGAAGTATATGTAAAGCGTACCTCGGTCTGAGATAATACTATAGACCTTGAATCAAATCAAGCGTATTAATATAACAACTCCGAATCATCGAGTGAAGAGCAATTCCACGAAAGTCTTTACCAAGCCATTGTCTAACCAAATTTATCCCCGTATTTCCAATGCAACCATATGCAAATTCTATCATGCCAAACAAAGAGGAGAAAATACCGCTCTATCTCCCATATTTACGCCATGCCGAGCTAAGACATTAAGCAATGCAAAGAACCGTTCTGTCATGTCTCATTTCTGTCTCTGCTCGATCAATTGTAGACCCTGTCCGATACCATCTTGAACGCCTCCAGCAACGCTCTCTATAGTCCAGGTGGCAAGGTCAGACATTACCTTCCCAAGTTTACCTTCGCTTAAGGCGGATACTAGATATTCATGTTATTAATAGTTGCAGAAAACCTTAGCAGCGATTGTATCTGCCTCACAACCTTATAACTCTAAAAGATGTTCCGAAGTCCAAGGTTACGCTTTGAGGACAAGGGGTAGTAGAACAAGAAAGAAGATGGACAACGTACTCTTCTCGCTCAAAGCTCCACTCTGCTTCCCGACTGTAGTGGCGAAGACGAAGCTATTAGAGATGATGTGCTGTGAGATGTTGTACTGGCGCTCGTAGTATGCTCCGGCGCGGATAACAATCGCAAAGAAGGACAAAAGTAGGTAGATAAAGATAACAAGGCCAGTAACGAATCCTTGAACCGCTGAGTGGAGAAACGTCTTTGCTCTGTCAGACGGCCGCCAACCTGGATCGCCCTTGATCTGACCATTCATACCTAATTGTGCGCATGACTTCGGCAGTGCTCGGTGGATGATGCTAACTTCGTACTCGTCCATGTCGTCCGGGAGTGCCTTGAGCATATATGCAACGCCGTCGATATACGATTTCCTCGCAAATATTAGGTCTGCCGTTTCTTGGGAAGCCGACTGCTGTAGAAAGGATCCTAGATACTAATAAATAACCTACACTTTCTCTGAAAACGGGATAGGAGTACTCATACCTTGCCTAGCATACCTCCACTTCACGCCTGAGCTTGTATTCATAACACGACCGTCGGGACCGGAGGGCTTTGGTTTGTCCTCCGCGAGTCTATTGTTGGCGACACCTGCTGCTGCGGTACATGTTTGTAACTCAACAATTGCATTCGCATCTCTTCTTGCGATGACCACAGGCTCCATATCATCTTGAGATGTTATAGAACGCCGCCGAGAGGGTGAGATATACCGGCTTGTAGACCGGCGGAACGACTGAAGAGCCGGCAATCGGGACTGGACTGACGTCGGTAACATGTTGAACACTACTATGGACATATTCTGCTCCATCATGGTGTTTCTATTTACCTCTTCCCCCTCTTTTCCTTCTCAGGCTCTATAATATTGAGGATTCTATGTCCAGGTCGATTCCTCGATCATTGTAGTCAAATAAAAATAAAAATAAATAAATAAAAATAAATATAGCAATGGAGGTCAGGCTAAGCTCGAAGGAAAGTTGAATTTATGCAGCAGAGCCCCTTGTACAAAATCCAGGCTAGACTTAACGTTTACTTAGGTAGGTATGCACCCATGTCCAGGTAGGATGGGAGTGTTAGGGAAGATACATATATATATTCAGTGCAAGGTCCCAGGGTCCCTAATGCCTAGGTAGTTATTGCTGCATCGCCACTGTTTCAACCACGAGGCCCACCTCTCCATTTGTAAAAGGTGCTGTTGTTTGAGATGGAGATAGATAAGCGATTTTCACATGCAACCCTACCACATGCCAAGAAGGTACATGTACGGATCCGTACCAACCTATGATATCCAACACTGGCCTTGCGGGTATATACATGTATTAATATAAGGTAAGTAGGTATGTTTAAAAAGGCTTCGAATATATATCTTGACTAAATCTATCATTAAATGCTTGGATTCTCCTCTTTGTAATTAGAAGCGGTCAAGGCCGACCTATTGCAAAGGTACTTATCAAGATGAGCATGTGAAATACTTTTCTTATGTACATTTTTATAAGCACTTATTGGTCCAGAATGAAGAAATCGCAGACAATACAGCTTAGCGTCCCCATAGTTCGGATCTATACACCCAAGGCGCGTTTTCTTCACCCGACCTAGGTACGATTTCTCATGATGTAGGTATATAGTTATCTGCTTATGGAGTCATACGTGCCTATTTACAAACAGACTAACTATTAACCATCAGGCCCCCGAATTTAAAACAAATATACAGTATCAAGTTTTCATGTGTAAAACACCGTCAAATCATCATGCTGTTTGCCTAGAATATAAGCTTGTTAATAAAATAGGTAGATTCATTAGCGAGGTACTATGTACGAACTTAAGCCTCAAAATACAGGGGTTGATAATTCTGAGTTATTATTTCGGAAAGCTAAAACCGCTGAGAATGTCCCCGTGGCGGGGTATGTAACGGAATAGACTTTATCCGCGCCTATCTGTATGTCTTGCCATGAAAACTGATAGTGGGCTGAGTGGGTCTTCCGGGATCTGGGCCTTATCCTCTCAAAAAAAAAATTTCGAGTTGAAGAAATTCATTCAAGTTGCCTCCACTACGCGCCTAGTTTCTTCCTCTATAAGGTCGTGTGCGAATGAATCACTTCCTTCACAACCTCAATTGTTAATTCTTGTGAGGAAATTCCCAATTCTCTGCCATAATGTTCAAGTCTTCTTTACAGAGGCATGCCCGCCTGGGTAATTTGGCCCGTCGTCAACTCTCGACCTTGGTCTCGCAACAGATTCGCTCTCGACCAGTGGTAGCATCATGTCAGAGACTGGCGCAAAGAGAACGACAGTTAGTCCCTCTGAGACAAATTGCGCTGCGGTTATATTCTCAAGAGTCTGCCGCAGCTTACGCTAATACACAGACCGACGACTCGCCGGCTTCATTATACAATATAACACGATTTGAAGATCTATCAAAATTAGGTGTTGACGAACGTATTATTCGAGCTATTACCGTGGATATGAAATATGATAGCATGACTGAGGTCCAATCATTAACTATCAACCCAGCTCTCAAGGGAGTCGATCTGTAAGTATAATATAGTGTTTTACTTGTTGTATTGTTACTAACTGTAGATAAGGGTGGCACAAGCAAAGACAGGAACAGGCAAGACCTTAGGCTTCCTTATCCCGGTCTTTCAGCGTCTCATTACGGCTGATCCAAGCCTTGCTTCCCCGCAACACCGCCGAGATGCTTCTTCACAAGATATTCGTGCTATAATTCTATCTCCTACACGCGAGCTAGCAGAGCAGATTGGCGTTGAGGCCAGGAAGTTAGCGCGACACACCGGAATTGTCGTTCAAACCGCTGTTGGTGGGACAAGGAAGAGGGAAGCTATGTTCAAAATGCAGCGCGAGGGATGCGACGTACTTGTTGCGACTCCGGGCAGGCTCCACGATATCCTATCAGATCCCAGTACTAAGGTTGATGCGCCGAAAATACAATCATTTGTATTGGACGAAGCCGACCGTATGTTAGATGTTGGCTTTGCGGACGCTATCCGCGACATCGTCGATCTTCTCCCGCCAATTAGCCAAGTCGACCGTCAAACACTTTTATTCTCTGCGACTATTCCCCGAGATGTTGTACATCTAGCCAAGAGTATGGTCAAGACAGATAATTTTGATTTTGTTCAAACCATCAACCCAGATGAGACTCCAACTCACGCACGTATTCCGCAACACCTTGTGCCCGCGAAGGGATACGAGAATTGGTTCCCGGCCATCCTAGAAATTGCTGATCAGGCAGTCAAGAATTCTAAGAGCGACCCCGATGCCCTTCCTTTTAAGGCAATACTATTCTTCTCAAACACAGCCACCGTCCAGTTTGCCAACCGCGTATTCAAGAACACCCCCCTAGGACACAGATTAAACGGTGTGCCAATATTCGATATCCATTCAAAACTTAGCCAAGACGTACGAACCAGGAACGCTGAGGCTTTCCGTCGTGCTCAGACCGGTATCCTTGTCTCGTCAGATGTTACTGCCAGAGGAATGGATTTCCCCAATGTATCCCATGTCATTCAAATTGGCCTTCCCCCAGACAGGGATCAATATATCCACCGAGTCGGCCGAACAGGTCGTGCTGGAAAATCTGGAGAGGGTTGGTTAATTCTGGCCGAGGAAGAGATCAAGGAAGCACGAGTTCGTCTTCCTGGCTTGCCTATCAAGCCTAACCACACCATACAAAGTGCAAGCCACACCCTAGGAGAGGGCACCCCATCTCCGGAAGTGGCTAAATATTTCGAGGATGTATCTAAGGCCTATCAGCGTATCCCACGAGATCTCTTCGCAGCTGTCTATAATGCTCTGCTCGGCCAAAAGTTCGGAAGAAGTTTGGACGTTGAGGATTGCGTCCGGCTCCTTAATAACTGGTGTATGAATGGGCTTGGCTGGGAAGAGACACCCGCCATTACCCCCACCTCGGCCAGGAACCGTGGCTTGGACAGAGTATCAGGCATCAGAATCGGGTTCGATAACTATGAAAAAGAATCGGACGATCGACGAGGTGGCGGATTCAGCTCGTATGGTGGTCGAGGTGGTGGATTCAACTCGAATGACCGACGAGGTGGTGGTTTCGGCTCGAATGACCGACGAGGTGGTGGTTTTAATTCGAGTGGTGGCCGAAGTGGTGGTTTCAATTCGAGCGGCGGCCGAGGTGGCGGCTTTGACTCGGGCTCCAGATTCAACTCCAGAGATCGTCGTGGAGGAGGTGACCCGTTTGCCCGGCGCGTAAGTTCAGATTTTGAGTCTCGCGGAAGACAACCTTCTCGAGCATCATTCTAGGAAACTCGCGACCTCTCCCTATAATGGGAGTAACAGTTGATTTTTCAAGATTCAGTATCTTGTGCTTAATTTTCTAATGTACTATGCTGCTTCGGAAGCAAACTCCCCTTCCTAGGTAGACACCTATGTATGAGGATATAGATCCGCATGAACCCGCCAGCACACAGCTTAGGACTGATGACGTGCAAGGACTCATGGGATGGAAACACGTCTTATCGATAGATCTACATTTGCGGGAGGGGGCCTCAATCGGAGTCAAGGTTGTCTTGCTTGGTTTCACGGAACAATTCAAGGCGTCGGGCGGTCACTGGAAAAGGGGGCCGCACGGCACGGAAATCTCGACTATTTGTACTATAGTGTAAGACGACTCGTAACGACAGGAAAAAAAACAATACGAAGCCTATGAAGCGCCATATTAACCTTGTGATATGTGACTATACCAAATTTTACAGATGTCTTCTTTCGCCGTACTTAAATCTCGTACTACGGAGACCACTTAAACATAATCCCCCCAAACCATGCAGCTGTCACTTCTATCCTCAAAATTTCCAACTTAGTTGAAGTATAGGAGAGAGTTAGTATCGTAGCATCCACCGTATTGATGCTAGAGTTGTAGGGTCTGGGGCGGTAGTTTAGTTAGGTAAGCACATAAAGATGAAATATATGCCTGATATAGGAGTATAAGAATGCCTTTGTATATTAAGCTGTTTAATTTATATATAATCATCGAAGAGCAGGTGTTCTCGGACAGGATTAAACTTAGCAATTTATTAATGATATGCTGTTTATAGAGTGGTAGGTAAGTGTACCAATAATCATGCTTCAGCCATGAGTGATATTTAACTATACAATATCTAAGAATATATCAGGAACCTAGGTACGTATATTTGTAATTATGGAGCTACACCTCTAACAGTATGCAGTCCAATATTGAGGGTATGTGTTGTGTAGAATTATCCTGCCTATGTATTTACATAGATAGTTAGGTAAATAGCTGTTGGGTAGGCATATGACAAGTCTAAGTTGGCATTGATCTATAATATAATCTTTCGGCGTATCTATGAATATATTAGAAAGGTATACAAACTCAAGTAGCTCAATTTAGCTTACAGGTATGTAATATAATTTAATTATATCCAATATCATTAGTATCAATGACGATCTCCTTAAACGCCTCCCAATGCAACTTCCTGTTATATAGCTAACGCCATGTCTTTTCCAGCTACTAAATGCCAATGAGTTAGTCTCATGCTTGCCCCTGTAATAACCTATTTGCATCCCACAATAGTAATCTTTCATCCCATCCCACAGTCGCAACCCAACCACCGACGCCAAATAAACACCAATCCACGCCCGTTACAAATTCCGTATGCCTGTTCATAATACCGAGCTGGATTCCAGCCTTGACTGGAGACTCCTGTTGAGTTGGCATTGTCGACCCGTCTGTCCATAAACGCACTGTCATGTCGTAACTCGCGCTGATCAAGATATCGCTAGCATGTGGGCTCCACGATAGCCTCCGAACAGCGTAGTCGTGACCTAGCATTATAGATGCAGGCCCTGCTGAAGGATGCCTAATATCAAACGTCCGTATTACCTTGTCTACACCGCCCGTCGCGATCACTGTGTGGTTGTATTTGTTCCAGTCGTGGGTTAATATTTCTCCTGGTACAGCAGGAGGGGTTGGTCCCTGGAGGGGAGGGATAGGAGAGGGGATGTGAACTGGAATCTTTGTTGTTAAATGATATTGAGCACTGATTGGCGTTCGGAGATCGAATATGCGTAAGTGTGAATCTGTCGACACTGCGGAGATGATATTTGGATTAGATGGACAGTATGATGTGCTGTAAGTACAATTTCCGACAGGGAGAGTTTTGATGGATTCCTTTCTTGCCGGTGACCACTACTCAATGCTGTTTAGAATTTATAGTGCTACTTGACACAGGCCTAAGGGGATACGTACAATCTTTATTGTTCCATCCCATGAGCTAGAGGCAAAAGTATCTTTAGTAACGGGACTCCATGCTACCGAGAAAGTCTCCCGCTTATGCTCATGGAAGTTCATTACGGGGAACTCATTCACATTCATATCGTAAAGCTTGATAGAGCCATCACCACATGCGACCAGTAGCTGGTTCTCGTTGATCTCAGACCAGGCAAGGTCATACTGGGCGTCGTTCGTATCGAAGCTGGACAGGAGTTTTAGTTTCTTATTTTAGGCTATAAATGTACTTATAGTTGCTCACGTCTTCTCAATCTGGACGCCTTGTGGTCCCAATCCCAAGCAGAATAAGCGGCCATTTCCCACAATGCCGTAATTCGCTGCGGATGCGACAGCAATTCGTGAATCGTAGTATGGTGAATATTTGACGGCATAAGGATTCCAGCCAGGTGTGCGGAACTCCAACATAGCGGCCATGTTGCTTGTATGAAGAGCACAAGCTCAGACTTGCTGGCGCATATATATATATATAAAGAAGTAACTAAATGTACTTAACCTAGCTCAGTTGAAGATTGATAGCTGAAGAATGACGATGAATTAGAAGCCAAGACGTGGGGCCTCGGCTTTATAGTAGGTACCTAGGTACATTCAATGCTGCACCTGTGTGGGGTTTTATACATTTAAGTAACTTAGGTACAATGGGACATAGTAGGTACCTTGATGTCCCTTGAGTGCTGATTCATATCAATGGGACCACCTTCACTGAATGAATTACCTAGACAATTTCCACTTTCATTATTGCATCTTTAGGCAACGAAGCTAAGACCGAGAAATCTATTGTATGCATCTCGCCATCTGAGTTTCTTAGAATTCTCATCGCCTTCAAAGAATATGAAAGGTGAAATAAATATGAAAAATGACGTGACACGTCTTATATTGGGGATTTTACATTCTATCTTACAAGTCATATCATGGACGCATTCTTGAAAGGAACAAAGCGAAAGTCATCCGCTGTGGAAGACTCATTTCTAGTCGACGATAATGAATCGACGGACGTAAAACTGGCAATTCTCTCGTCATTGCACTCTAATATTAGCCAGGAAGCCTTACTGGAATCCCTCTTGGAGCATGACGGTTCTGTTCGAGCTGCTTCCGCTTCTCTAGCAGAGGATCGATCAGTATCTCCAAAGAAGAAACAAAATAGCGCTATCGGCTTTCAGTCTTCGCTCAGACTATTTACGTCCACGTCTTCGACTAGGGAAGGACCTATATCGCCGAAGAAGGCAAGAACCCTTTCCAAAAAAGGGACGACGCTTCACTTGTATGATCCTGAGGATGTAGCCGAACATACACCTTGCAGTATCATTCATAATTTTCTACCGCCAGATGAGGCTAACGAGCTTCTCAAAGAAATGTTAAGCGAATCTACTTCGTTCGATAAAATCACATTCAAATTATTTGATAACGCTGTCCAAAGCCCACATACATCAAGCTTCTACGTGGGGACGGAAGCCGAAATCAACACCCAGAAACATGATTACTTCTACAACGGGGCCCGATTGACGGACGTACGGCCTATCACTCCTCAGCTTTTACATGTTCGCCCAAAAGTTCAAGAAGCGGTAAATCGAGAAATTCAAACTCGTATCAAAACTCGTTACCCCGGCGGACGAAAGTTGAAGTATCAGTCTCCGGATCCATGGTCACCGAATTGTGCCTTCGTCAATTGTTACAATGGGCCTCAGGAGAGCGTTGGCTATCATAGCGATCAACTAACCTACTTGGGTCCGCGGGCTGTAATAGGCTCGCTTTCCTTAGGTGTGGCAAGAGAATTTCGTGTTAAACGGATCATGCCAAAAGACTCTGATACTAGCCCTACGGATGATCCGGACGCTGAAGGACAAATATCTATACACCTTCCACACAATTCCCTCTTGGTTATGCATGCTGAGATGCAAGAGGGATGGAAGCATAGTATCGCCACGGCCCAAGCGATTGATCCTCACCCTATTGCAGGCAAGCGGAGAATCAATATCACATACCGGGATTACAAGCCAAGTTTCCACGCAAAATATACGCCGAGATGCAAATGTGGTATTCCCGCCATACTAAGGGTCGTTCAGAAGAAGAAAGAAAACCAAGGGAAATATTTCTGGATGTGCCACGGCGGAAATGTACCTGGTAAAGAGAATTGCTCATTCTTCCAATGGGGCGACTTCGATGACGACGGAAATCCTAGTTGGGACAAGTCACGATATAAACTTACCCAGAATAAGGACAATTTCGAGAACGAGATAAAATGATATGCTTTTAGTACTTTCAACACTCTGTTTTTTTGTATCGAAGGAACAACTTTGATGTTACCACGAATCGGACCCTATACTATGCTGGCCTAGATTTGAGTGGAGATAAAGCTTCGATATAAGTGAATATAAAAAGCAATATTCCCCGTTGCTCCCACCCAATCTCGATATTCATTCGCAACTTTAGGGTTTCATGGCTCGACGTAGAGCGGCGGACGATTGTAGCCATCAACCTGTTTCACGTTTAAGTTCCCGACATCCAAATCGTTGAAGACCCTCAGGTTAATCGGTGTTAACGACAACCCTCCCTTGATGAACTCCCGCACGCCTTCGGGTAGCTTGTTGAGCTCCTCCTCGGAGATTGGTGGTATGTTGTTGTGAATCGATATTCCACATGTTTTACAGAAAGACTTCTCGGCCAGCTCAGTACCAAATTTATAGTACGCGAGATTTTCTTCGCCTTCAATCTCGACCTGATCTTTCTGAGGATAGAGCCATACGTAACCCATCTATAGCAAGTCAGTCCTGGGTCTCTAGAGGTTTTAGCGATACCGATACTTACCCTGTTACATATACTGCAGTTACATTCCATAATGGTTTCCGTGGAAGTCTTATCGAGAGGTTTTGTTTTCAATGCCACTTTGACTGCGCCGCAATGGCAACTACCAGTGTACACCTTCCCGCCTTCTATCACAGCTTTCGGCTCTGGTCCTGTGAACTTAGGCGTCTTATAAGGGCCCCTGAACTCTTTGTTATCCGCACTGGAGATTGGCGAGAAATTGCCTGTCAATATCTACGCTTTGAGGACTGAGGTGGATATGAGCAACTCACTAGAACTTTAGTATATTCCATACGTCGACACCTTGACCATGCTGAAACGATCGAACCTAAAGGCGGATTAGCCATTTGCAAGTTTCGCTCTCTTTAGTGTCTCTGAAGAGATGCGTATCACTTACATTGGCTCCCATCCGAGGTTCCTCACCGGGCTTTGGAAGCGTGGCGTCTCCGACAAACAAAAGCTGAACTCCACAGTTGGGGCAGAACTAGTTTCCCCTCACGTCAGCCTAACGAGAGCAAACAACACAAAATCACAAAATTGTACGAGCCTTATGGTTAATGGTTTTCTCTCCGAAGGTATAATTTGCCAGGGTATTATGGTCGCCTTTGACGAAGCGAATGTTTCCCGGCTCAGGAACAACCCACAAAGCGCCCTTCTTATAGCACGAACTGCAGTTGCACTCGAGCACCTTGAAGACGTGGGGCATCTTGGCTTCATAGACATAGGCGCCGCAGTGGCAGCTGCCACGGTAGGTCTTCAAGTCTCCAGACATTCCGTCGACGAGGTATCTATAGGGTTTCAGCTCTTCAGCCATCGCAACAAGGGGTTGAGTAATAGTATAAGAGGCTATTTACTAGTGTAAAGACGGAGTCACAATCTACCTATGCTTGGAGATCGCCTGGAGATTATAATGGGTTTAATAACCGTTGTTGATTCTTGGTCCAGTACGATGTTGAGTAAAACCAGACTGCAAACTTATAAGGGTTTAACCAAGATTTGAACTCCGAGGTTGAAGACCTTCTTAAAGGAGCTGCCCGATTCCAGAAACATGCCCGATAGCCGAAGCCAAGTAAATCCCGCAGGAGGGATAGCACTGTGTATCCTGAAATCCTGGAACGGATTAAGACATGCATATTATTATCGTGATTTCCAAGACGGGATATTCGCCAGCCGTCGAATGCTCCATGCTATAAGTAATCTATAGCCGCAGTTGGAGGACTAGGTATAAGAATGGTGGGGACTAAGTATCTAGGTACTTTATAACTATCCGTTAGGTGCCTACCTAGGGACATAAATAAACCAGTTCCTATGCTAATTCCTACATATAATATAATCCCTATATCAATGCGCGTTGTCATTATTTGACCGTGGTTGAATCGCGTCACGCTATCAGGTGATAGACTAGCCGGATGACTCATTTACTATGAGAATAACGCAATGTATTCTTGTTAGATTTATAAAGATTTTATCCTTTACTTGTTTATACGTATCGTGTTTTTGTTTCGAAGGAGGATATCCCTCTTCTGGAGAGTAGGGTGAATGTTAGGGGAACATGTTACAGAAAATCTCTTCTCTTAAGCGGATCTGCATTACCATTTGTGCCCGACTAGTGGTTGTTTGTGAATGATAAGGTAATTTAGAGAAAGGGGATTATTGTTGACCACACAAAACGGACACCAGCAGGAGACCTGACGCAGGAGCGCATGAGCGCATTCTCGGTTGCGTATCGGCGGCGGGGGCGGGGGACCGGGGCCGTCCCTAGCCAATTGTTTGCGAATAATCATACTTTCGAGCATAGCAAACCCGTTGTATAAGATGCACCAGGGGACCAGATGTGATATTGGATTTTAAATCTGTAAAAACGCCAGCCACTAAATGGAAGTATTCCTAATACTAATGATACACTTACAGGACAGTTTGAATAGATAAGCAGGTGGGTATCTAGGTGCCCGTTTGGCTACATATGTAGGTAGGTAGGTAGGTAGCTACTACATTACCTAAGGTATACCACATACTTTTATACTACACTAGTGCGAATAGCGATAAGATAAGGTAAGTGGGGATGGGGATTGCAGGTGGTGGGACATCGAAAATCCGGGCTCAGGCTGTAAGGCGATCGAAATTGCGGTAGCAACATCCGGATTCCGGCCCAGCCACCTAGGTTGCTATCAGTGGTGATTAGATCAAACCTTACGTGGGTCGCGACGGATACAACGCGATGTTGGCGCCTTAGTCTCTTTCCACCGAAGTATTCTCCAGCCTTGTGCGTTGTACAGTAGACGATCGTTTCATCCACTTAATTCGGTTTCGCATGCAAGCGCGTACTTTATTTTGGATTAAGTGTCAACGATGGCATCGTGAGTTTTGTTAAGACTATTACAAAGTCTTGCGCGCGATTTCTGCGTTACTAGGGCAAACCGAGCACCATCCCATCGTACCATTATCACAACCACAACCACAGAGCCCAGCGGGGCGACAGTAACCCAAATCCTAAATTGAAAGCCCAATCAATTGTTTTGTTGTTTCTCCTTCACTTACTTCGATTGGTATCGTCTTCGGAATCAAGTTCGCCATGCCGCCAATAGAGCCTTCGCGCAGCTTCGCGCGTAATATGCTCTCAAATCTGGCATCTAGATCATTACCTACGACAATCACACCTACGTCGACGTTAAACCTTGCACAGAAAATCCACGAATTTGCCTCCCGCACGCTCCTCCCCCGACTAGCGACGGATGTGAGCACGGTCCCTGAGGGATACGGCCGGACTGCAAGCGGTCCGGCCCCGGGTGCGGTCGCCGGTATAGTCTTAGGTTCCGTCGCAGGATTCATACTCCTGTTGTGGATAATATACTGGTGCGTGAACTTAGGATCACCGGCGCCTCACCTCGAGGAAGGTTCCGTAAGCGGAGTGGGTGGTTCCTCGTCTGTAGTGTCGTACCGCTCGCGACCGCGGGTGCGCCGTCACCGGCACAGCCATAAATCGTCGCAGCAGTACTCACCGCATCGGCGGAAGGAGACCGTCGAGATCACGCGGCGTGACCGCACTGTTCGCCGCTCTCCATCCTCATCTCCTGCCCGTGTACCAGAGGTTGATCAGATTGTCGTGTTGGAGGAACATAACCGGTCCCGGTCCCGATCTAGGCCACTGTCACGGTCGCGATCCAGGTCAAGAAGTATTAGCCGCCCACGACCTGCTCCGACACGTAGCGACGGCGACGACGAGATTGTAGTGCTGGAGGAACATACACCGCCTAGGCGGGGGAGCAGGGGTTATAGACGTAGGAGCAGCGAAAGGAGGAGTAGCGCGCAGTATAGGGACGTGGAATATCGTAGAAGGAGTAGCTCTCGAAGATGATGATGATTATAGCAATAATAGGATAAGGAAATGAGCAAGTGATTTTTAAGGGGGATGAGTTTATGGTTATATTGAAGTGCAATATGAACGAATGTATGAGAAATACCTGGAGCTATTATGTATTAATTAGTGGAACAGCATGGTGTATGAGATTATATGAGACGATAGGCATGTTTAAACTGTTATAGTATAGGTATCATGTATTATTCATATACTTTCATTTACTGTTAAGATAACAAGGTGCATGCTGTCTCTATGTCCTCTCTCTAACACCCCCCCCCCCCCCCCCGGTGGTAGTGGAGCCCATTAGTCATCCATAGGCCAATACCAAATAGTTAACACTGGATTTAACTTTAAAGTTAACTGGGCTAAGAGGTAATTAAGTACTTCTTATACACCTATAAGGATAAGACTTGAGAAGTGCTCGCTTATAGTGAGAATGTGAGAATAGTGCCCAGGTAGTTTTTACGCATACGAAATTTACTAAAGTTGCATCTTCTGCTCAAGTATCGATATGTAAAGCTCCTAAGATGCCTACATTATAATGGGTTAGTTATAGCTTTTAAGCTACTTCCAAAAATTCAAAAGACTTCAATTTACCTAACATTGTAAATGCCTATTGCAAGTTATATTATAAATACCCAAGTAGATACATTTAGGGTAGGCGGGTTGGGACTTGTGGATCATCGAGATTTCCTGAATGATGTTGAAGTGGCTTCACATGTTAAGAAGGATCCGCGCCGCAAATATAATGACATCATCATCACAGGTACCTAAAACAACGCTCTACGAGAACGGACTTACCTTACATATCATAGGTCCTTATATTTATTTACATCCTGGAACCTCAACTCTTCTTGTCTCATACAAACTTTCAATTCAGAGATCCCGATATAACGTATGCGGCTAACGTCCCAATAACTTGAATAAACAAAACCAATCAATCAATTAACTACTCTTAATCAATAATAGTATCTCAAAATGGACCATCCCGAACAGCAAATTCAACACATCATCCGCGGCTTAACGCAATATTCGCGTAGCGAGCAGTTGTCCATTCTAGAAGACCATTTCCTGCCCGATGCCTACTTCGTACATCCCTTCTGCCGCGTGCCATCCTTTGTTGACTACAAGATCCCATTTACGAACTTGACTACAAACTCTCGCCAGTTCGTCTTCTTCATTTACCAATGGTATAGAATCCTAAGCCCAGATATACAGCTTTCCATCGATTCGACTAGTAAGTTTGCACCCATTCAGCAGCATATGATGAAGTTATTTATATAATTGGTTACTAATGTACTAACCAAGGCTTCGACAAGAATAAGAATCTCTTGTACGTCACGCTCCGCCAGACCTTTACGCTGTGGTTTGTGCCGTACTCGCTATGGCAGGCCAACGTGAAGCTGGTCACGGTGCTGGAGTTGCAGCGGCTTAGCATTGATAAACACCATAAACCGTTACTCGACGAGACGCCGATTCCCGTCGATGTTGATCTAGCTCTGACTTCAGACCCGCCCATGCGGTACTTCATTAAAGGCCAGCAGGACCACTATCAAGTAGAGGATTTTCTGAAGTTCATTGCGCCCTGGGGAGCATCACTTCTCTGGATCGCCTGGCAGCTTTATGCAACACTTATCTGTGCTATAGGCGTCTTGCTCCTCCAGTTCCCCATTGCCTTGTTCCAGCGGCATGTCCTTGGCCGGGATATTAGTGCCATCAAGAAGCAGTAGGATGCTTCATCCCCGACTTTCAAAGTATTCCCTGAGGTTTGGGAGGTGAGTGCTCGCTTCGCAAAGCGGTGGACTCGAAATATCGGGAACAAAATATCCGCTTGGGTGGTGTCTTCATATTTGGACAAGGACAATAACAATGCCGGCGATTGTGAGGGCCTTTTCGTTGATCTTTCACGCTTACTCCATTTGCCCATAAACCAAAACGAGAAGCTGTCACAGAATAAGTCAATGCTATATAATCCCCCGTCCAATTACAGTGTCTACACCAACGGACTCTCAACTTACGGAGCAGATGAAAAGCAGAGGTTTTCGACATTAACAACAACTAATAGCAAATATACCGACAAAGGACATATTATATCACAACAGGCCCTATGGCAATCCTAAAACCATCTTCCGTACGTAGCCAGGGCTGTACGTAGGAGCAGCACCAACACGGGTAGCAAGCTCAAATCCTCAATGTCAGCAGTAGATATCCAATATGAGCCCACCATGGAAACGGAAGACGATGAGTTTCCGTCCGATTACATAATATCAGAGCAAGACGACGATGGCATCCACGTCGACGATGAGGACTTGAAAATCTCACGGCCGATAACGTCATCACCGTCGATGATTTGCCGCCTCAGATAGAGAATTGGTTTGCCGAGAGGCTCAGGGCCGAGGCCCGGGAAAGTAAGATCGACATGTAATAGCGCGCCCAAATCTGCGCCTCGTATTCCCGAAAACTTGGACCCGAACTGCCGGAGGATCCGGAGGGGAGGCTCGGACGTGTAGGTACCTAGGTACTATGACGGCGCAGGAGATCGGATTAGCGGAAGAGAAAGCGAGAGATGCGTTTACGAGACTACTGGGGTCACCGCAGTAGATACCGATGACAAGGTTGCTGATCTTTGACTTATGCACGAATAGATTCTTTCAGCTAAGGCACTGGAGTTGGAAGTAAAACGGCTTCTAGCGGATTTTCGATATAGATTGAATGTCGTATGGAGACTTAGCGCCTTTAAATTTTTCTTTTTTGTATACTGCGTCGATTTTGGCACGCGCCTAACATCATGTGTATGAGTATTCGAATAGAATTAGTCTCTTTCTGTGTTGGACCGTCTCGGTACTCAGCCTAATCGTGTAGAATAGCGATGAAGCAACATAATTACATAAGAGAAAGACTCCGACAAGTGTGTTCTGCTACGTGCTATAACTTATACTCTAGGACAAGCCGTGGAAACAGGTCTCTCGTGAAGTAGCCTTTAAAGGTGAAATTTCTTGCCTATCACATCCTCTTCCTCTATTAATGCTACGCATAAGTCGGGAATTGGTATGTACTATCTAGATATATAGAATATATTTAGTACGAGGGCTAAACATGTTGGCGATGTTAGTGAGTAAGGGTTGTATAGTCCTCTCTATTTTAGACATGAAGGCCTACGAGTTAGGACTAGAAGGGACGTAAAGACCGAAGATAGGTACTCTTATACGCGTTTAGTGTAGTTGCAAACAGCAGCAACGTCAAAGTATGGATTAGGATGGGAACAACCCTTGTCTATATCAAGCCCGAGACGATGATATATATTATAATAGTTAGATAGGTGCATGTCTGGCACTTCAAGCAGGTATATCTTTCCATTAGATTCAAGCGAGCAAGGAGCGTGTATTCAATATGTCCAAGGCATTAACCCACCATACCTAAATCCAACGAAATTAAAAAAAAAAAAAAAAAAAAAAAAAAAAAAAAAAAAAAAAAAAAAAAAAAACATCTCTCATCTCTGGCTCTAAGACCATCTACCCTCTTCTCTTTAGAGCCCTTTACACTCCTATCTTTTTTGGTCTCCTCCGTACGTACATGCGTACATGCGTACATGCGTACATGCGTACATGCGTACATGATAAGCGTGATTCGTCAAATAATGGGGGTATTAGAAACGTATGATACAAAAGGTGCAAAACGAAACTCAACATGCAAAAAGTTAAGCGTGAAACAGATGCTTCGTGAATCCCGCAACTCGGGATCTTATCCGGTGGACAAATAATAATTAGATATCTCCATTCCTCATGCCTCATTTAAGCTCAGATCTGGGGTAGCTTATTGAAATAAATCGTCCTATATGACACCATATACTCCAACGCCGTCGTAGAGCAAACTGAATTGAAACCGGGACGGTTCCAGAAGGTTGAATTTTTTGTAATTGTTTATCCTCCCCCTTGCTGTCCCCCAAAGAAGAACCCGTCAAATAAATCGACCTGCTGTCCGTCGCTGAAGTCGTGATGCATTCCCTCCCAGCCCAGTCCAAAACCCATGTCCATCTGCAGATCCGCATTGACTACACCATCCGCATTCGGCTGTTCCTGAATACCTTGTAAGAAGTCCATGCCTTGCAGGTCTGAATAATTTATCGCGCCGCCAGGGGTGAAAGTGGCGGCCGGCGATCTAAAATTGAAATTTGAATTCCCTGTGTTCTGATTGTACTGTTGTCCTGGATTAGATTGCGGCGTCAAGCTATTGACGGATACCGGAGAGCTAGTGTGCGCGCCGGGGGAAGGTAGAAGAACGGGATCGATGGCTGAATTATCAGGAAGTGAGGCCACATCAGACAAACTAGCCGTGCTGAGGGTTGATTGTGGCATGGTGCGCATCATCGAGTATCCGTCTTGCTCTGTCTTGACGTTGGGCATAGAGAGGCGGAACCCGCTGGCTTGCGATGCCGCCTGTATAGAACCTATCTGTGACGTGTCGTGCGAGCTGTAACTTTCCTGTCCAGGCGTATTATAGGATGAAGTGGTCCGAGACCCTGTGTGGTCTAACGAGGCGCGGTGGTGAGCTTTGTGTCGATTAGCCGTCGCGTCTCTGGCGTTAATGTAGTCAGTTCTTTCATTACCATTTCTTGAAGAGCGCTTGCTCCGATGTAGTACCTGTCCAAACCCGCCGGTAGAATTTGCCATTTTAATAGTTGCTTTCGCAGTTCGGTCGAAAGCATCCCGGCAAGCTTCCGCTGGCGGGCATTTTTCGATAAGGTCTGTGAAAACCGAAGTGGCTGCTAATATCGTGAAATCAACTTCATCCATCGTCTATAGCTAAGTTAGCCGCAACGATCGGATTTTATAAAACGAACACTTACAAGCCGGCTTCGGACGACGTGCGAATGCCAAATTGCATAAAGATAAGAAATTCCCGCCATGAAAAGGTGATGCGTAGCCAGATATGTATAGTTGACAAGCCCCATAAGATGGAGTTGTCTGTATAAACGAAGGATCTTCTGACCTGCTTCGGCAACCTTGACGTATACTCTCTCTTCGTCTTCTCGTGACTCGGCAGCATAAATAGAAGGGCTATTAACCTCTTTCGAAGTATTATATTCGCCTTCGAACATGGATGGGACACTTAGGCTCTGTCGATAAAGCATAATAATAGTTTGCCAATAGTTGAGTTCTAGGAATTCGGGATGAAATGCAACTCCTGAGTCCTGCTTTGTCGGGGCAGAATTCTTCCAATCATATAATCGCTGGTCAATGTTCCTTCGCCAGTTCCTAAACGAATCGAATCTATGTAAGAAGGGTGATGGAAGTTGAGTGTGCATATATTCGTTTCTCGTATTCTGACCATTAAACCTCGCCATCTGCGTTTGCTGGTATTGCAAGACTTGCAAAATCTCAGACTGAAGTAGTCGAAGGCGGAAGTAATGTTTTGCAACAATTTTATACGTGGGCTCGCCCTCGGTGGGGCGCCCCTTGAATCCTTCGGAAGTAATATAGCGGTCATCTAGCAAGGAGGGAAATTCGGTTGTAATCACTTGATCGGACACGCCAAACGGTCGTCCAACGCAAGTACTAACAAGTCTGTCGAGTGAATATGTAGACCACCATAATCGTCTTCTAAGGTCGCGTGTATATTCGCGTCTTCCCCTCTCACGTAGATAAGCTTCTCGTGATTTTTCATTTCCTTCATCAGTTTTAGTATTCGAAGTAAGGTCAAACTCTACATCTTTTCCATCTTCATAATGAAGACCCAGGTCGACTGCCAATCTCACGGCAACGCCAACGATATACCTGGGGAGATTTGATGTCAACTTCTAATCTTATAAGCCGAAAATAGGTGGAATTATTGATGAGACATACCATAATCCAGGCGGAACCGGGCGAAGCAGGGCAAAATTGGCTAGCAATAGGACAGCTTGAAGCTCTTCTAGTCCTCCGCCACTGTTGCTCAGACAGGCTTCTAGATGAACGACTGCACTTGCGTGGTATTCCTCTGGCTGTGCCTGCTTCTTTTCTTCGCCAGTCGCCTTGGAGGATGTCGTCTGAGCATCCATAATTATACCACCTCCGATAGCATATACCATATTTAAGATATAGAGCTCTTTTGGTCCTCGTACCCTACCCTCTTCGGCATATGCACGTTCGAAGAGTTGCATAAAATTTTCTCGATGTAACACGGGTATCTGGGGATTTGCATGTTGGAAGTACAATTCGACCATTTTGATAGCAAGGTCTCTGGGAGGGAATTCAGCTGGCCTAATAGTCGGCCGAGTGTGGAGGCCGAAAAAGGAGTCACGCATGGACGTACCCGATGCCGCGGCCCCGTTTCCTGCAATTGGTCGGTAGGGCCGCACACCGGTCTTGTCGGAATTTGATCTCTGATCTCCTACGGATGACTGTACAGCAGCAAATACCACACGCGCAAACGATATTCCGGTAGCAGATCCGAGGTGTCTCTGGCCACCACTTCCACCAGGCCTCACAATCTTGACCGGTTTCTCCACCTCATCATTACCTTTATGAGGTTTCGCACTGCTTGAGGTTTCTGAGATTCCAGGTACGGCTGAAGGCGCGCCATCCGTGGGTGATCTTCCAAGACCGCCGTCCGTCCCAGGCCGCGAACAATATTCAAGATTGTTAGCGGGTGGGAATTGAATGTTGTTGCGACGAAGTAGGGCTTCCAATTGATCGACACGAGTTTCTAAATAGTACACATAGCTAAAAAGAACTATATTAGCCATGCGGTCAGGTGGCTTGATGATAATTAATATACTGAATAGGGAACCAACCTGCGCGGAATCTCTCTTTTAGTTATAGGGTCATAGCCGACGCAGGCGACCCTAGCTTTCTCACAGCTGGCGCAGCTAGGCAGCTTCTGGTCGCATCTGTTCTTGCGCAACCTGCAACGGTTACATGCGCTGACGTTGCGGAAGCTTGTGGATTGGCTAATCTTTGAGCTTTGACTAGCGCTATCATGCAACGAATGTTCGGCGGTGGGGGAGGTAGGAGCTCCATTTCCTTCGGAAGGCGAGTCCTTATCTGGAGAGGAAGCACGTTGGCGTTTCGAAGGATGCGGATCGGGCGACGGCGGTGAGCGCGGTGGCATGGTTTCCGAGTCCAGGTCCATTCGCAACCAAGTGACACTATCCGCAGGAGACTCAAGTTCTCTATGTTGGATTGCGCCAACCAGGGCTGTCGAGGTGGTTGTTTCTCAGCTAGAATTAGGCTGGGTCGGCTATTCGTAGGAATTCGATATTCCCCGCCCCATCTCCAAGCTTAATCTCAATGCGTGAAATAAGCAAATGAAACTAGAGCTTATAGATAGAGAATACAACGACGGTAGAGCAATAAAGCCGGGACTAGCCGTGGGGAAGTATAAATTTCTACTCTATCCAAGCTATAACAATGCGCGGGTGGTCGTTAAGGCGTAACGTCTAAGAATGGATAAGGCTCGGGGGAGGCTGAAGATGAGAAAGTCAAAAGTCGATACTTTTCTTGGGCGGGATTCGGGGGTTGCGCGAAGGAACAGCGGAGCTTCCTCTCCTGCTGTATGCAAGCGTGGGTATGGGAAGTGTGGGAAAGCGTAGGCTGCGTTGCGTGGTAAGCCGTACCGCCGATCTTACTATTCTTGTTAGGGCTTGTTCAATACTGCACTGCACACCCCACGACGTCACCGATAGATTGCAGCTGATTGCGCAAAGGCATAGGTAAATATTTTTTGGAGCAATTGGAGCTTCGTTTTAGGGGTTTTGTTATCTTTAGCTATATTCTTTAGCTATTAGAGGTATCTACCTAGGTAGGTTAGGTACCTGTATGTGGTATCTTCCGACAAATTGGGGGTCTAAAATCTTTTTTTTCGCAGGGACGTCCCTGGCTCACATAGAAAGGAACTTACCTTCTACAGGTTAGAATTTACTGTTTAGCTTAGGCTGCTTTAGGGTCTTAGGCTATCTTTGTTCTTGTTCCACATGCCCGCCTAGTTTCAACTTCCAGAAGCGAGCTAGGGCGCAGCTCCAACCAATCACCTGTTAGATGATTTTTTTAGTAGCTCACCTAGGTTAGGTACCTAAGGTACGACGATGCCACAATCAAATGTAGCTACCACCTAACCTAACCTACCTATGCATGTTGCTAAGTTGCAGACTACCAATCAATAGACCTATCAATAGCGACCAAGAGTCCGGGACCCTCGGGTTGGAGACGACGTAGGCCTACGCACATGGATACCTTCCTTCTCACGCATGAGGTAGGCACATATGTCGGCAACTCTATACTATATCCAAAATCCTTTGCCTAGAACAGTCGAGACAGCTCGCAGGGTCGGTACCTATTCTCTCAAGAGGATATAACTACCGTTTTCGTATTATGTTCCACAGCATGAGTTCTAGAGATTTCGAACTGGTGGAGGTAACACTATGGAATGACTGTCATCCTATCGACCGATATATGCTCTCGAATCTATGTTATAGACACCTATATTTATCGTCGGCTTAGTCTGCCATAAAAAACCAACAGCATCCGGAACTTACATATAACCTTAGAGTTAGGAGTAGTTGTTTCTTTGATTATAACATGACAGGAAGGCATAGTCAATACTATACGCAGTGTCTAGTTATATTATATATAAAGTATACCTAATATTGTACATGTATGAGGTAAGGTACCTTAGGTAACTGAAGAAGATAGGTGTTCTTGCTTTCATATAACTAACTGCAGGAATCTGCTCTTTCTTCAACCATGGTCATTATAGAAACCCTTAGGTAGGTACTTTTATACGTTAATAAATAACTCGCCTAATAATACCTATATGTCTAAACATGTTCAACTAACAGCTTATACCTGTATTATCTACATCATTTACATATGCAACAGCATTAAGTAAATAAATATACGCATAGCCCCTAAGAAACTCTACAATAACTAGTAGTCTCGAGACAGGAATACTTGCCAATCATGATCGCAGTTGGCAGTACGTTACCTCCAGAAGCAAATATGCCACTGCCTAATTCCAGCCTTCCACAAGAAGATCGAAACCGCAACCTGTCATGTGGACACTCTACACGTAAGAAACGAAGGGCGCGACGGGCATTGTCTAGTAACCAAAAACGATTCCTTGTCGAGTCTTAGGCGGACATCGTGGACAATGTCCCCGCCAAAGACGCCACAACCGAAAATGTCCAGATATGGCTGGTCATGGTGCTTTATCGCCGGTCTCACCCAGACCCCCAGCGTATTCTAAATAAGCTAAAATGGACGGGTCGGGACCTACATCGTGCTACATACCTGACTACAAGATATCGGCTGCGAGCCGAATCTGACGGGTGGCCTATTGCCTACGACATCTCTGATGCTGTGAAGGTGAGTAAACTTATAGTCTAAAAATATGTGAGGGGAGTCATAGCTAACATCAATGCCTAGCAATCACGCCGACGAGTGAGGCTACGAAAGAAAGGGCTTGAATCTAGAAGGCTACGTTAGATCAAGGTTAGCCTCGGTCTGATTTTAGGTGCTTATAAACTAAGACTGCGTTTCAATCTCAAATTGACACTTTTTGACGGCTTGGGGATTCTTACCCTTAACCTTGGGATTCAGGGGGTTGTCTGGGAAAACATGATTCACTTAGAATTAAACCTATAGCTCGACATGACTATAAACCTACATATTCCTCCACTTAAACAATAATTATTTGGGTATTAAGATACACATATGCTATACTTTAATAAGGTCCCTAACCTGTAAGGCCAATCGAGTATATAATGAGGTAGAGGGATTAAGCGGTTATATTATAATAAAGCTAAAATGTGAGTATTTAGTATACTACGTCTTACACTACCTATTTCCCCTCAGAGCTCCCTTATATAATCATTCCGTAAAGTATGTGCCCATATCAAAAATATGCAACTGGGCCGGACAAGTAAGGTTATATTGAAGGATGATGCATTAATAGGAATATTCTTCATTGATACGAACGACCGGCTTCGTCTATGAGACGTCTCCTTCCCAAGCCCTTTCTACCATATGCGCCCAGGCGAGTTTCTGTTGCTTAACTCCCCGAAATAGCAAGACCTAACTACCTATGGAATGCCCCGAAATAATGATTCGCCCAAGATAATAAACATCTATAAAAAAACCTTCGTACTTGAAAAACGCCTTGGCCCCATAACTCGGTAGAATGATGCAGACAAGGTATAACAGAAATGACTCGACAGTACCGAAATTCCCTAAGCCCCTTTCCCATGCCCAGATTGAGGCTCTTTTCCCAGTACACAATTTTCGTTTCGCAAATGGTGACCCCTTTCCCCTGTGTGATCCCCGAAATCCTGATTTTTGGTCATTGTACAGAGGTATCGTAGTGGTTCCCAATGCCAGGAACATGATCTAGTTGCCCAATCCAGTCTATGTAGTAATAAGTGTAATAACTTTTTCCCCAACCAGAGACGTAAACGACGACGGTGAGGCGATTCGATTAGAACCGCGATGATCCGGCGCCGAGGAAAGGAACAAGTCATTAAACGTCGTAACCCGAATGTTCCAAGCTCCCTGTTGCCTGGAATCCCGCCGAGAATGAAAACATGGCCCTGAAAGTAGCCGCAAATAAACTCCGGTCCACTCTATGATGCCGGTTCGGGCGAAGCCGCTCGATCGGTAACATTAGTTATTTCTGGATTATTATTAATTAGAGCAGCATTGCCGTCCGTATGGCTTTGCGGTTCCTGAATCTGAAGTCCAACGATCGCACCACCAATAGCTACAAAGGCACTACACCACCATGCTAGGCCCGAATAACCAGACTTCAGGCCAACAGCATAGAGAATACCGGAAATGGTTGGACCGAATGCGCGACACAAGCTCGCAGTCGAAGCTGCTACGCCATTGATGGTACCGAGGGCAAGGGGGCTTGGCGACGAATCTGCGGTCAAAATAGCGTTGCTCGGGTATGCCATGCTAGCAAATGTGCACTTCCAGACCAATACCATTCCAACACCAATCATACGGTACTTCTCGGGTAAAAGGACTAGATATGGCGTGATCAAGTAAAGCGAGAAATAAGCGATAACCAAGAACCGGAATAGCCGACGTGCGCCAAAATGCTTTAGAACCGGCGGAATTATGAACATGTTGATGAGCAATTGATACGCGCCTTGAGCACTTAGAATGATGCCGACTGTCTTGCTGTCAAGACCGAAACCGTCGACAAATTTGAAAGGGAGCGAAGGTGGCGTCGGATGATCCGGTGGCGCGGTGCTTAGAAAGACTGGGAAGAGTTGATCAAAAGTCATCGTGTGACTTCGAGATGTGTTAGTTGTAATGAGCTTCTCTAATATGATAGGAATGGTAAACATACAAAGCTAGAATGCCGAAAGAGATAATGTTTAGGATCACTGGACGAGTGAATATCCTAGAGACGCCAAGATTTGAGCTTCCATGTCCGCTTTCGAGGTCAAGCGAATCCCATGATATCGAAGGAACGGAGGCTGATCTGATGCGTGGCGAGTTTTCGGGGGAGTTCTCGTTGGTCTGATATCCGGGTAGCTGTTCATCGTGGTCGATAAGGGGTTGCGTTTCCATCTCGGCCAATTTAGACTTCTCATCCCGCGACTCGGCACATTTTCGAAAAATCGGTAATTTTGATAGGATCCAATTTCCAAGTTCTAGGCCTCGATCCCGCCTCAGCTTCTTCTCAGGGTGAGTCTCCTCAAGGAACAGGATTCCATTAATAACGCCAACCACCACGATGAAAGCGCTGAAAAGGTTAGGAAGAAGATATGGATATTTGTCCCAGATACCACCAGTTGGGAACAGAGCTGGGTAGCTGATACACGGCCGGGCGAGCGCGCCACCGATCATAGGACCGACAATCGACCTGCCAAAGAGTTAGATTAAACCAGGAAACATAACAACTCTTTAGGCGTCGTAACTAACCCTAAACACCATACGACAGGCATTATAGTGTAAGCCCGGGCTATCACAATAATTAGCTACCTTGTCCAGAATGCCCCGATGTGACGACTAAGCTTACGCTGATGCTCTTTGGCAGTTACTAGTTCAGCTACTGTCGTCTGAAGCACGCCCATATTCCTAGCTCTATGTTAGTAAAATTTCGAACTGGACAGATATGGCATCTTACCCGTTCAAAAGCCCTCCAACGGCTCTAGCAATAAGCGCAACCGTCAAGTTAGGAGCGAAGCCGAATATCAAAACGCTAAGAGCTGTACCGATGAGACCCGTGAGCAACACAGGCTTTCTTCCAACCTTGTCACTTAGCCGCCCCCACAGCAGCCCCGTGGAGAATTCGGCAAATGTGAAGGCTGATGTAACCATGCCGGCGTAAAATGAGATTCTGCTCTTATCCTCGGTGATGTGGAAATCCTCGATCATAAAGTAGATATATGGGAAGATACCCATAAACGCGATTGGCTCGCATATTCGACAGATTGCTAGTTGACATATCAGCCCAAGGCCCACAATACATTTTTTACCAAATCATACCTAGGACTAGCATCTGCCTCTTTGGAAACGGTGGTATGGTGCCATTACGAACATTAGAAGGACGGGTATCCTTCATAAACGAATTATTCCTCATGATACTCGGGGTTCCGCCGGTGCGGTGCGCTACATGAAAGACGGGATAGGTGGGAGAGCCGCAACGGGATTGGGCGTCTGAACAGGCTTAATATAGCTATGCCGGGCTCAAAGCTGGGCAGTAGCTCGGAAGTCCCTCGAACCCTGGGATGGAAATATATCAAACTAGGCACTTGTGACCCGAAGGGTGTAAAATATTTGGCAGATTTTATAGATCAATCAAGGAGGTCTAAAGTTGGAAGTTATAAAGACAAGCGGGAGTGACTTGTCAACCCGGCACAGTTGAGTTGTTATGTTCGACAAAGGCTGCGTGTGTGTATTAAAGCCACGCAACAACGACGACGGGAAATGTGAATAATCAGCTTGGCACCGAGAGGATGAGAAGGAAAAGAAAGCTGATAGAAGTAGGCTAGAAACAAGCCAACAGACGTAGGTATCCATGGCGGGTGACGGATATTAAGTTATTTAATATTGGAACCAGCGGTGACAGATGTTAGGCGAAAAGCAAAGGGCGAGTGCAAGTGCAAGTGCAATAGATGATCCTTCCAGCGGTGCCAGGTGTAACGCGGCGATGGTCTCACAAGGTATGGAGTCCCAACTTCGTGGAAACAGCTCTGTCATAGCAGGTGGACTACTAGTGGATCCCTCATCCCATGCTCGAGGCGGTACGGGGTAGGTATAGGGTTGACATGTACCTGCAAATGAGAAAAGTCGGGACTTGGCCCTCTGCTTCTGGAGCCTTACGGGTTGCATAAGGAGCAGCAAATGCAGCCTGACTCGAATGACCACGCGGGTCACGGAAAATGCTTTGACTGGGATGATGGAAGCACCTTAGCACACATTGAGGGTTGATGAGAAGTACCCGGTACACCATAGATCCCTACTAGGTAAGGTCCTGCTACCCTCCGGCATTGGATGCTCTGACAGGACAAGGGGGTAAGGTAGTAACCCAGACCTGCCGGTGTCCGCCAGCTTTAGAAGCAGAAGAATATGTAAAAGGGCAGTGAACCTTTCCCTCTTGGGTTTAAACCCTTCAATAATAAGCCGGCCGGTGGTGAGCGTTTAGCTCATTGGCAATTTCACCACACACCAAAGCTGAATGGTGGAGCCGCCGGGGATCTGAGCGGACGGACACTTAGGAAAGACGGCAGCAGTTAAAACAGTTGAGCGGTGAAGAATTATCCACAGCCTTCCAATTGCTCTTGAGAAAGAGAGGCTTAAGAAGAAGAAAGTGAACCGGCGAGGGGATACCGATTATGCGTGGCTGAAAGTGGGATTGGGCAACGGAAATAGCACAACTGGGGTATTTTAAGATGAACCAAATGGCCGGTACGGGGGACTTGAGGAGAATCGTCAACCATGACGCAGAGTCTGCAGAAGGCTTCAGCCCAGCTCCGCCAAGCCTCGTTTTCTTTTCTTTTTTTTCTTTTTTTTTTTCCTTTTTTTAATACCTTAGGTACCTACCAGGTATGTAGATAATGTAACTCGTACCATACATACATGTAGTACCTCATCGTATTATCGTACCTAATGTACGTACATACTGGAACTAGGTAATGTACCATGCATCCCCATACCCGAGAATAACCCGTTACAACTTACAAGGCCACGAGATTAAATATGTAGGTAGGTAGGTATACTATAGTATATTATTTTTACTTTGTTACTTTACATAGGCATTATTTTTGTTATTATAATTATAATTATTATTAACTATTATTATTATTATTATTATCATCATCATCGTTATTTTCCCCTTCTTCTTATTCCTGTTCTTTCCTACTTGTGGATGTGTGACGTGCGGTCGCGACAAAAGCTGCACCCACGAACTCGGAATATGACCCCCGTCTTCATCTTATGCGCATGTTGTGCTACGCCCGGTAGTCTGCGGAATTGCCGCGCCCGGTATGTTTCGTCGGTGCTGCTGCCCGTTTCGAAACTTCCCTTCATTGAACAGTGAACAACATCACGTTGATTTTGCATACCTACCCGTCATCATCTTGTCCTTGTATCATAAAACTTGTATGTACCGTACCTGACCTGACCTGGCCCCCGTCATCTCGACGGCGGGGAACCTGCTGAGTGTGTTGAGTCAAACGATTTCGTTTGCAATCCCTCTCCACAGCTCACAGTTCACAGCTCACAGCTCGTGGGGACAAACCCGTCTCATCCGCGCTGAAACCCTTCATAATGCCGCCACTCTTTTTATCTCGGGTGATAAATGAGGCGGATAGTTAAGACTGGTTTAGGGTAACGATGTCGTTATCTGACGATTACAGTCTTAAAGCAATGCAACATAAATTCCCCACAGTATACGACGCCTTATCCTTGTGCAATACCTTGCAAGTGCGTGCCGTTAATCGTCTTTTTCTAAATTCAATATCGACGATCAGTTACCGCAACATTCCCCTAACTCGGTACCGGAACGTCGGTGATCAAATTGACGTACAGAAATCTGCTTCTTCACTTTTTGTGATGGCTTGGGTTTTGGCCCTTTCCCCCTCTTCCGCGTGGTTGGACTCTCATTCTAGTGATGATTGGACATTTCATAACTGAAGAAAGTCGCTGAACAATTCAAGTGTACTTTCACTAAAGCGCAGCGGTGGGGATAGCTGTCTTGTCAGCTGAGCGCATCGTACACGTAGCTTGACGATCAGAAAAGCGTTTGCGAATACAACTTCGTACAATCTCACGGTCAAGACCCCACAACTATTTTTCTCCCCGAGCTGGCCAAGTTTTCTGCTTTATCTCCTTGGCGCTAGAGCAGGCTATGGAACAAATCCGTAACGTTCTAGAAAAGTGCTGGCAGGATAGTCCCTGTCGGACCATGTGGCAAATGAAATTTCGTAATAAGTGCTGAGTAGCCCAGGAGCTTCTTCCGAATGGAAAGCAAGTCTGTGTTTTTTTTTTCTCACTTTTTTTCTTCCCCCCCCTTTAGCTTAACCTAGACATCTTATCTAGAGCTCCGCGGCGTGTCGGGTAAGATCCGGTGAGCCGCTACGAAACATGCGCGGCTGCGGAGAAGCCGAGAAGGTCATCGACTCGCCAATTCGGGTTTTTAGCGTCAGGTACTCACTGCGAATAGGATCGCTTGTTAGAAAAAAGTAAGGATGCCGCCTTTCCCCCTTGTACCGAGATATGCACGGGGTATAGGTACGTATTTCCAGGCTCTGCACAGGGATGTTCATCGCTCACAAATAACAGAGATTCTTTTTTTTCGCCCTGTGTTCGGGGCGCACGGCTGTCATGATCGTCCAATTTCAAGGATACCGTATGGGGGGTTTCAGGTACAAGGGTAAACCCTGATCTACAAGCCTGACCCAACCATTTGGCGCCTTGATGTTGACTACCGGAAGCTTGCCGTTTAGGAAAACTTTCTCGCTCGCCTTAAACGCCAAGCCATAAGTACTATGCTAGTCACTCCCTTGTTTTTTTTTTAACCCTTTTTCTCTTCTACTTAGGTACCTCGTAGATCTGATTTTCGTTCCAGGAATTGCTGTCTTCTGGGAAAAGGAGAAAATGGGACGCGCATGCAGACGTGATCATATGATCTATCCTCCGAAACGAGATCGATATTGATGGATTGTTAAGATCGTCAACTTAGCGTGACTCTAATCGAGTTAGAGAAGGGGGGTTTTTGAAAAATTACTAACTCCGAATATATCGAGAAAAGCAGTGCTATGCACGAATCAGCAAACATCCGCTATCAGCCTAGTAGCGGAAAGCTAGATTCAGATATTCTGCATATATAGTACATGTGGAACATGCAATGTCGTGCAGCAGAAGGTCCACGTTTGATGAGGCACGTCAACATCGTGCGCGACCTGCTGTACCGGTCACCTGGGTTGCCTACAAAATGATGGAAATTTTCCCTTTCCCATGAAAGCCGAGTTGTGGCAGGGCTGCTGCGTTGTCTCCAGTAATCGGAGGTTTATTGGGTTCTTAAGGACCCGATTACGTCAATAGCTCACCGCCCCTTTTGGCCGACGTTGGACTTGAAGATGGGATTCTGCGGCGATGCCCGACGAGAAATTTGCACGTATCAGCTAGCTAGATCAAAAGACCTAGGGCATCGTGAAATTTGCTGATCCTCTTATGCCTATACTTTTTTTAAATGATAATTTCCTCTGACCAGGTTTCTTTGTTAGCACCGATACACAGGCGAAGTTTAGTCGAACAATAGGGATCAAGGAAGACTAGGACGATAATACCTGAGTAAACGAAGTCCCTAACGATAAGGTACATACATATGTGTAGATGGGTATGTAGGCACCTAAACTAGGGTATTCTTATGATGTACATCAACTGTACATTTGCAGCTCGGTCAGAGCAAGCCTCGCTAACTTAAACTTACACACGCGGAAGCCGGCTTCAGACTAAAAGCTCAAATTTCCTTCGGAGCTGGCAAGAGTCCCGAATGGACAGCATTCTTCATTACCCACTCTTCCCCCTTCTTTAGCGCCTTGCAACAGCCTCGCGGGACTAAGGGAAAAGGGGGGTGCCTGGCCTGGTGCTGTCAAGGTAGCTGTGGAGCTAGGTAGTTGCCGGACTGTCTTATGCCATGATAATATTCCGCGAATATAAATGATTAGACGATTAAGTATAGGCTACTCGCGCAAGGATTATCTCGGGACTATAATTGGAAAAACAAAGACTTAATTCTAATAGGGAATGGCGGTCGGCGGTGAGACATTTCGGCACGGTTGACGACAGCCGGGACTTGACCCGGCTCCACAGCCCGCCTAGATGTATAGTGCTTGTCGTATTATCGCAAGACGCAGAAACCGGCCAAGAAGGACAGATTAGGGGAAAGAAAGGAAACCACCGGCGAATAGCATCGATGCCTCTTGCTACCGGCATAAAGATGCGTGAGAAAAGTGTGTGAGATAACCACGAACCTTAGATCGCTGGACCGATGAATGCACCGGGGAAAAGCATGAATGCTAACCGGTCGACATGAAATCGGATGATGAGCCTCCAATCTGGCGCGATACGGCTTTC